GAGGCAGCCCATCCTTCTGAGTTGCCGTAAGGACACACCCAGAGGGGCACAGTGCTGGACAATGGCACCCCGCACTCTTGATCTGCTTCCAGGAGAGCCATGTGTGGCCCTGGCAGGGCCAGAGGAAATGGGCCGAGAACACAGGTGCACCATCCCTCAGGTGTATGACCAAAGGTGCTTTATTTTCTTATCATTAAAGTTAAGGCTGGCCGGGCGCGGTGGCTCACGCCTGTAATCCCAGCACTTTGGGAGGCCGAGGCGGGTGGATCACGAGGTCGAGATCGAGACCATCCTGGACAACAAGGTGAAACCCTATCTCTACTAAAAATACAAAAAGTAGCTGGGCATGGTGGCACATGCCTGTAATCCCAGCTACTCAGGAGGCTGAGGCAGGAGAATTGCCTGAACCCAGGAGGCGGAGGTTGCGGTGAGCCGAGATTGCGCCATTGCACTCCAGCCTGGGTAACAAGAGCGAAACTCTGTCTCAAAAAATAATAATAATAAAATAAAATAAAAATAAAGTTAAGGCTTAAACAATGATACAGCAAATTGTTTTAAATAAAATACATGCCAGAGTTAGAGACAATGTGGTGCTAGTAGGACCCAGCCACAAGCTGCTGGGTGCAGGGAGGCTCCCCAAAGTCAAGCACAGCGGGGAGGTGGGGCCCCGAGCTGCTTCCGCTGGACGGCAGGCACTGCGGGGCAAGAGGTCGGAGGGAGACGACCATAGTGACCCCAAGGACAGAGCAGCTTCCCCTTCTCACTCTCCCCAAGCTTTGGGGCTTGATAGAAAATGGCCTGAGTGGGTTCTTCTCTTTGAGGAGCCAGTGGAGTGGGCAGGGAGTCAGGGTGGGCAGGGAGTCGGTGTGGGCAGGGAGTCAGGGTGGGCAGGGAGTCGGTGTGGGCAGGGAGTCAGGGAGTCCGGTGGGCAGGGAGTCCGGTGGGCAGGGAGTCGGGGTGGGCAGGGAGTCCAGCTGGTCCTGACCACCTGGCAGCAGTGTACGGTGTTTCCTCTGCAGGTGGGAGGGCAGGCGGGAGGACCCCGCTGGCTCACCGGTGCTATAGTGCCTAATTAGTGGCCATTTGGGTTTTTTTGACACAAACTTCCAAATGACTAGGGCCAGGGGCTGCGCCTGCACCAGGACCAGGTTGTCAGAATGGGTGTCAGATAAATGCTCAGCCCCGGGTGGCCCAGCCCCCATGTCTGGTCTAGGGGTGCACCCTGAAGGCCAGCACGGCCTCCTCACACTCCAGCAGGGAGTCAGGGCTCGTGGCCACAGGCCCTGCCCGCCTCAGACCCTGACCCATTGGTTAAGTTCCCTGGGCACCTACTGTTGTGGCAGGCGCTGAGCGAGGCCCCAGCGAGTCAAAGACAAGTTAGGGTCCCTACCTTCAAGACCTGGCAGCCTACCAGGGAGCGGTAGTGCCCACAACAGCACAGCCAACGCTACACCAGAAACGTGGTTCTTCGAAGCAGGGGGCACAAGGGAAGGAGGCGCTAGGACTAGCTCAGTGGGTTTCAGAAGAGATGCTCTCTGAATGAGGACTTAAAAGGTGAAGAGGGCTAGAGCAGGGGACAAACACCGTCCAGTTTGTATTGAAATAAGTCACGGACTGGTCAAGTGTGGCGGCTCATGCCTGGAATCCCAGCACTGACAGGCCAAGGTAGGCGTATCACCTGAGTTCAGGAGTTCGAGACCAGCCTGGCCGACATGGTGAAACACTGTCTCTTTTTGTTTTGTTTTGAGACAGTCTTGCTGGTTTACCAGGCTGGAGTGCAGTGGCACAATCTCAGCTCACTGCAACCTCCGCCTCCTGGGTTCAAGCGATTTTCCTGCCTCAGCCTCCCAAGTAGCTGGGACTACAGCTGTGCGCTACCATGCCCCGCTAATTTTTCTATTTTTAGTAGAGACAAGGTTTCACCATGTTGACCAGGATAGTCTCGATCTCTTGACCTCCTGATCCACCCGCCTCAGTGTCCCAAAGTGCTGGGATTACAGGTGTGTATCACTGCGCCCGGATGAAACCCTGTCTTTCTGTATTTTGTAAAAATAAAAAAAATTACCCAGGCATGGTGGTACATACCTGTAATCCCAGCTACTTGGGAGGCTGAGGCAGGAGAATTGCTTGAACCAGGGAGATGGAGGTTGCAGTGAGCCAAGATCATGCCATTGCACTCCAGCCTGGGTGACAGAGCAAGACTCTGACTCAAAAAAAAAAAAAAGAAGAAGAAAGAAAGCAAAACAAAACCCAAGCCATAAGATGGAAAGGAATGGGAGCAATTGCTTAAAGGGGACAGGTTTTCCTTTAGCAGTGCTGAAAATGCCATGGAACTAGAGGTGGTGGTTGTGCCACCCTGTGAGTGTGCCAGATGCTCATTCCTGCAGCCACAACCTCTCTCTGAGCAATGGTTGTGTCATATGTCCATTTCACTTCAATTTTTTTTTTTCTTTTTTGAGACGGAGTTTCGCTCTTGTTACCCAGGCTGGAGTGCAATGGCATGATCTCGGCTCACCGCAGCCTCCGCCTCCTGGGTTCAGGCAATTCTCCTGCCTCAGCCTCCCAAGCAGCTGGGACTACAGGCACGCGCCACCACGCCCAGCTAATTTTTTGTATTTTTAGTAGAGACGGGGTTTCACCATGTTGACCAGGATGGTCTCGATCTCTTGACCTCGTGATCCACCCGCCTCGACTTCCCAAAGTGCTGTGATTACAGGCGTGAGCCACCGCACCCGGCTCACTTCCGTTTTTCAAAACGGACAATGAAACAGTTTCATGGCAGGCTAGAGGGGAGAATGTGCTCTGGACACCCACCACAGACCGGGCCCAGAAAGCAGCCTGAGGGAAGGCTGACGCTAGAGGGGGCAGGAAGGGAGGGGGCAGTCCTGCCTGGCCAGGCTCTGAACAGACACCAACCCCACACTGAGCCAGCCTGCCGGACGATACAGCCCCGGGCCCTGCCTCCCACACCAGAGCACTCTGCAGGGCCCGCTCAGGAACAGTCTTGCTCAATTCTGGCCTGAGTGCATATCCTAACGTCAACCACAAGACAGTCCGGGCACTTCCAGTAAGTGTAAGAGTTACTGCAGGGAGCGTGGCCAGGGTGGGGAGGGAGTGTCCCGCTACCGCAGGCCCCAGGCGATCACCCTGGACGCACGGACCCACAGCGGGTTTCTGTTCATTCTGCAGTGCTGGGTGTTCCTGCCCCTCGAGGCTGACAGTCTTCAGGATCCGGGGCAGAGAGACCGGCCAGCACCTGTCTCAGGTGCTGTGAAGCTAGAACGGGGGACCCAGCCTCGGCAGGGAGCTCAGGGAAATCCTGGGAGGGACTCTGGGTCTAAGGCATGAGGAGTAGCAACCAGCATGTGCAAGGCCAGGAAGCAGAGGCTCTCAGTTCAGAGGAACTGAAAGAAACCTGGTGGAAGCTTGGCCCCCAACATAGAGAGCTGTGGCTGTGTTGGGGGGCAAGCTTCCTGCAAAGCTAGCAGACCAGGAGGCCTCCCAGACCCGGGACAGGCTTCCAAGCGGCTGCCCCAAAAGTCCCCTGAAGGCACTGCAGGAAGGTGTTCAGAGGAGCAAAGAAGGAGGGCTCAGCAGGAAGGGGTGACCCCGTGGCCAGTGGGGAAGAGGGACCCAAGAGGACAGAGCGGGCAGAGGCAGCTCATGTGAGGCCCCGCAGCAGCTGCAGGGAGGGCCCCTGGAGGCCTTGGTTTCACCGAAGGAACTGGACGGGGAGGGGGCATCTGTGTGGGGCTCAAGGAAAAAAGGCATTTTATTCTTCTCTGTCTTATACAGATCAACAATTAAACACAAGATACTAGAGAAGACATCTGGCTGGGCGCGGTGGCTCACGCCCGTAATCCCAGCTCTCTGGGAGGCTGAGGTGGGCAGATCACTTGAGGCCAGGAGTTAGAGACCAGCCTGGCCAACATGGTGAAACCCCATCTCTACTAAAAATACAAAAACTATCCAAGCCTGGTGGCAGCTGCCTGTAATCCCAGCCACTCAGGAGGCTGAGGCAGGAGGATCACTTAAACCCGGGAGATGGAGGTTGCAGTCAGCTAAGACTGAGCCACTGCACTGCAGCCTGGGCAACAGAGCAAGACTCCATCTCAAAAAAAAAAAAGAGAGAGAAGACATTCAGTAATATTGATGCAAACTTCCAAATGAAATGCTCACTTGGAATGAGGAAGGTTGAGTTTGCTTTTGGATACTTGGTTTTACACATGACAGGGGCTCTTTTTTTTTTTTTGAGACAGAGTTTCGCTCTTGTTACCCAGACTGGAGTGCAGTGGCGCGATCTCGGCTCACAGCAACCTCCACCCCCTGGGTTCAGGCAATTCTCCTGCCTCAGCCTCCTGCGTAGCTGGGATTACAGGCACGCGCCACCATGCCCAGCTAATTTTTGTACTTTTAGTAGAGACGGGGTTTCACCATGTTAACCAGGATGGTCTCGATCTCTTGACCTCGTGATCCACCCGCCTCGGCCTCCCAAAGTGCTGGGATTACAGGCGTGAGCCACCACGCCCAGCCAACCAGGGGCTCTTTATTATTTTGTGTGGAGATGGGGATCTCCGTATTTTCCCAGGCTAGTCTCAGACTCCTGGCCTCAAACAGTCCACCCACCTGAGCCTCCTAAAGTGTTAGGATTACAGGCATGGGCCACTGCACCGGGCCTTGCCAGGGATTCCTGATGAGACATTTGACCCTGATTTTTCATGGTAGAGCCTCTAGTCTCCCTAAAACTTGGCTGAGTGCTGTTGTCCACAGGACAGGCACTAGGAAGAAAGGAAACGAGACAGATCAGGGAAGGACGCTGTTCACTCCAGCCATGGCTGCAAACGTGGCAGACACGTACCTGTGGCCTCCACGGAGAGACTCCCGGTGACCCTCATGTTGGGATTCGGACTTGTGAACCTAAGGCCTCCCTCTCTCCTCCGACAGTGAAGAGGCGCCCGGGACTTCCCAGCCGTCTCCCAGCAGGTGATTTCACAGTGACCTTCTTCTAGCAGTTCTCAATTTTATTTAGGACTCGAATGAACACCAACCAAACCTATCACTAAGTCACTTATTTTCACATTTTCAAAGCTGGATCGCACTCCACGTCCATACATTTGTGCTCACTGCACATTTTTTATTACGGGCATTGAGAGGCTCCAAAGCCTCAGCCCAATAAACGTTTCTCCAGCCCGATAAGCCTCCTTCATAGGAACTAAGGGGTAAAACTATTCACACAACTATTTTTCCCCTTCAATGCTTAGCTCACAGCTTTTGACCAAACGTCAGGGTTTTGTCAGCGTGTTGTCCGTGCCTCGTCACAGGTCACGTGTCTGCAGGACCCAGTATCCACTGACTTTGCTTCCTTGGTCCCGAGCAAAGGTGCTGCCAATTCCACCGTTTGGTGAAATGTTGAGTCTCCACTGCGGGAGGCATTTTGTTTTTAGCAACGAATCACGTGACATTGTACCTAACTTCTCAAGCACAATCCGACACGAGGACGGTGAAGATGAGTTTTAAAGCTCTTCACAGCAGATTATGTGTCAAAGTCCACGCTTTCCTACCTAACAGAGAAGCTGGAGGGCGAAGCGCCGCTGGGCTTGTTTGGCACTCCTGCTTCATTTCGTGATTTCTCCATGCACACAAGACATTCAGGCTGAGAGAGAGACCCAGCAAGAATCCCACTGAGCTGGGCACGGTGGCTCACGCCTGTGCCCCCAGCACGTCGGGAGGCAGAGGCGGGAGGATTGCTTGGGCCTGGGAGTTCGAGACTAGCCTGGGCAACATACAAAGACTACGTTCTCTACAAAATGGGAGCAAAAGGAAAAAAGAATCCACGTGAACTCAAATCTGAGGCAGGTGCCGTATTGCCTAATGGGTGGTCATTTGGGTGTTTTGGAACAGTGTTGGTCTTGTGAGTTTGATGACATTCTGGATTTGGTGAAAATGTGAGAAAGGAAGTAACCGTAAGGTTTAAACTGGTTCCTGGACGGTGGGAAACACGCGGCGGTCTCCGCAGGCCTGTGGTTACTGAACGGCGGCGCACCGTTTCCTTGTTTCGATGTTGCCGTCGGGGAAGGTGGGGCTGCACGGAAACCCTGTGCGTCTCTGCAACTCTTCTGCAAATCAAAAATTACTTCAAAATAAAAAGGTACAAAGTAAAAACTAAATTATTAAATATAAAATACTCAAGGAGACTGCAAATGCTTTATGGGTTCAGAAAGTGGATCAGAAAACAAGTTTCACTGAAAAACTCAAAAAATGAAGCATGTGGCTTACAAAAATAGAAAGAAATTAAAATACTTTTAGTTCATTAAAACTCTAAAAAAATTCCAGTCCAAATGACTAGCTCTCCTAAGTCATTTTGCTGAAACTGACTTTCTGAAGCGCTGAAGGCATGTCATCTGCTTCAATAAATTCATTTAACAAACTCTTTTCAATTAGGTTCAATTTTTGTTTTAAAAATAAATGTTAAACATTTATTCGGCACAGTCTATTAAAAAAAATCAAAAAATAAATGTTTAAATGTTTCTAAAAACAAAGGATAATCCATGATGCAGCTTCATGGAATTTCAGCTTTCTGTCGTTGTTAATAAAGAATGGCTACTCCAAAGGCAGAGCAGCCACTTTTGGCTAATTTGTAACACCCAAAGCTAATAAATAATCAAGAAGAAATAAGATCATTAACAAAATAAATTATGTTCTATTTGAGAATACCTAGTATCAGATGATAACAAGTTCAATGATAAGAATAAAAAGAAATAATCACATATGCCTTCTAGGTCAGTAGGCAAGTTAGGAAAAGATAGTAAATGTAAAGAAACAATATTGTGCATGCACACACAACACAGAGAGCTTCGCTCATGACGTGGAAATCATGACCCAGCAGCAGTCGTTCCTCCCGGTCAGGATCACCGGGAAGGCCGGGACAGGCCCCCTGGGGCAGCCAGGCAGAACCTGCTGGACTTAACTTGCCAGAGAAATCACCAACCAGTTCAGGAAGTTTGCAGAGGGAAACCTACAAATGGTCCTCAAATGTGACTTCCCTGCTCCTGAGGGCTCCCTGGAAGAGGCTTGCAGCGTTCCAGTTGTAGAATGTGGGTGAGCACTGCAGCGGGCAGCCTCCCACACCCGCTTGGCTACAGGCCCAGGAAGCCCCCGGAGGCCCCGTGGCTGAAGAGACCAGAGTCTCGGACTTTTGGAGCTGAAGCAGCAAGACCGTGTGTAATGAACACCACAGCTGGCGGTACAGACAAAGGCCTTGGGGGTGGCTCAGGGGCAGGGGCTTGGAGGGCTGCAGTGCGCCGGGACGGATGAGTGGCAACTTTCCTCCCCTACCACTCCCAGTGAGAGGGATTCACACTTCCGCCTCTCAGCCTCTCAACAGTACCGTGAGGAGGACTGCAGGGCAGGGGGACTGGCCCCATTTCACAGTTGGGGAAGTTGAGTTCCAGGCAGGTTTGTCAGCTTGCTGGAAGCCACACAGGGTTCCAGGTTCTTCCTCCTGCACCACTGTGGGCCCAGTCAGAGGCTACGTGAGCAGATGGCCAGGGAAGGCTGAACGCCCACGGGAGGAGCAGGCAACGGTGTGGGGATAGACAGCGGCATGGTGCAGGGGACCCCAAGTGGCACTGGCTGGAGGCCAGCAGGGATGGGGGTGGGGGCAGGACTGCTGGCACCTGTCTGTGACCCAGGCCTCCATGGTCCCAGAACAGCCACTTGGGTCTCTGCTTCTCTCTTCTCCCCTCCGTGGTGCCCAGACCCTCAAGACCAGCTGAAGGAGGTCACAAGGCGGGGGGCTGGCCCCTGCAATACCCAGAGGCAAGGCCTTCCTTGGTGTCTACCTGCATCTGGCCAGTGCAGGGCTCAGGCAGGGCAGGGGCCCAGGGGCCCAAAGGCTGTCATGGGAGAGGCGCACAGAAAACCTGACATGTGGCCGGCCTCGGCACCAGGAGAGGGACAGAGGGAGGACATGCATCCATGCAAGGTGGCTGAGGCCCTCGGTACCGTGTGGCCGGGCCTGGGGAGGGCGCAGGGCAGAGAAGCAGCTGGGGCTGGACAGAGATGAGCATGCCACAAAGAAGGGATGCGACGTGACCCTGGGTCCCAGGTCACTGCAAAGACAGAGGTAAAATGGGCGGCCACGGAGGCTGCAGGAGCTCAGGGAGGCCTGGGCTGGAAGGGAGGGGCTGAGAAGCACCCTGGGTCCCGGCTTCTCTGGGCAGACCCCTGGAAATGGAGCTTGCTGGTCTCAGTTGGTCCTTGGGGGCCTCTCCTGGGGCCACCTCTTCAGAGGGGAACTCGCAAGGAGGCCCAGCAAAAGCTTCACGCTCTGCAGAAACACAAGGACATGTGACTTCCCCTCCAGCCCCCACCCTCTCTGGGGGAGGAGCCCAGCACAAATCCCCCCCTCTTCTTGCCCAGCAGCTCCCAAATGCAGCCCAGGGGAGCCTCAGAGCTGGCCAAGCAGGGCTACTATGAGAGCTGGCCAGGAGGCCTAGGGACAGAACTGGGGCAAAGGCCTGGGGCAGGGGTGGGGTCCCACCAGGCGGCAGGCCCAAGGGTGCCCGTCTTTTAGGATCTACGCTGGGATTCAGTCGCCAGCCAGGCAGGCTGCAGAGCCCTGCTGGGGAGGGCGCGATGCTACTCGGCACCAGCAGGGGGCACCACGAGCCCACCCTTGGCGGCACGTTCCTGCTGCCTTTCCACTCCCACCCCAGAGGCTCAGGCTGCAGGAGAGGCTCAGGGGCGACAACACCCAGGCACTCCCAAGGCCTTGAGCTCAGGACGCCTCCACAGAGGAGGAAGGTGCTTTCTACGCCAGCTCTGGGTGGGGCTGGGGGCACGGCAGCCCCTCCAGCTCTGACCCCAGTGCAGGTAGACTGGGGAAGCCCAGCACAAACCCAGGTAGAGGCAGCAGCAGGTCTGGGCAGTACCAGGTTCGGTCATGGGGACCTGATGTCCCCCGGCCCCACCCACCACATGGGGATCTGATCTGCTCTCTGCTGCCTGAGGCGGCAGCCCAGCCTCCAGCTCACTACCCCACCCGGCTCAGTCACCCTGGCGCAGGCTGTCACTGGGTGTCAGGGTCCTGGAAGCCCCAGGCCTCCACGGCGGCAATGAGGAAGTTCTCGGAGCAGAGGGGCTGGTTGTTGAAGGTGTCGCAGTGGCTTGTACGGCCCCGGTTCAGGTCCCCATCGATGTAGAGCGCCTGGCCACCGCCTCCCCCTGCGGGATGTTCAGGTCAGTGGGCCCGACTGCCCCATCAGCACTGCCCTGGGCACCTCACCTCCTGTCCCAGCTGTCCTGCCCTACACAGGCCTCTGAAACCATACAAACCCTTGACCCTCCATAGCCCCCAGGACTGGCTGTCCAGGCTGGTCTCTCCCTCCCAGCCCCCTTCCACCCATGGTGCCTGGTTTATCCCTGACACCCAGGGCCTCTTCTCTGTCACCCTGGTCAGGGAGGGCTGGGTGCAGCGGCTTCAGCTGCCCAGACCCCCACAGCCTCATCCCAGAGCCCCGTCTGCTGGCGCTCACCGACAATGAGGCAGTCGCTGCCCCCGGCCATGAACATGGACTCGGTCTTGGAGGGCAGGTTGAAGTGACGAGTGGCCAGGAAGGGTGAGAGGCGGTCGGCGGGGTCTGAAGAGGTGGAGTGGCTGAGCGGGGCAGTGGGCTCGGCAGCCATCAAGGGCGTGGGCTTGGTCAGCTCGGGGTGCTTAATCACTACCCACTCGTAGCGCTGCACCTCAGGCTGCAGCTGGGGTGGACGGGCAGTGTGAGGAGCTGGTGAGGCACCCACAGGCCCCTCTGCCCCAGAGCCGCAGCCCGTTCATCCCGAGAATCTGCACCCAGAGCCCAAGGTGGGCGTAGCCTGAGCCAGGGGCCGGGGAGGTGGTGGCTCAGGCAGATAAGGCCCCTGTCCTGGAGCAGTGCGAGGCTGAATGATCAAACCCAGAGGCATGCAGGGCGATGACACTGCTGGGTGACTGCCATAGCGACACTCAAACAGGGTCCCCAGGGCAGGCGGGCACTCCCGGGGGGATGAGGCTGCAGAGTCTGGACGGTGGCTGCAGAGCACTTGGCCCCACTCACCCTAAACACAAAGCATTCTCCGGTTCCAAAGAAGCCCAGTTTGCCTCCAAACTTATTTCTCTCGCTCCAGTCTGTGGAGAGGTAAGCGCCACACACCTGGGGGAAAGGCCTGGGTGAGGCTGTGCCTGCAGGTCCCCAGGAGCATCCCTGTGCTCCAGCCTGCTGAGGGGCCCATCCCACGTCACAGGTGGGGGTGCAGGCATCACCATCTCCCACTCCCACCCCAGGCTAGGGGTGGTGTGGGAAAGGCAGTGCTGGGGGTACGTGCACCCTGCCTCTGGCTTGGAGCTGGCAATGAGGGTGGGTGGGGCTATGTCAGGGAGAGTCTCATTTCCCTTTTGGCCCTTATGTGCTGCCAGTACCCACGCTCTGACTCTGGCTCCAGGCTAGGACACTGAGGCCCTGGAGCCATCAGAGCCCACCCTGACTCCCAGGGCCCCTGCTCACCTCCTTCTGCGTGGTCTTGATGAGCAAGAGGGTAGGCTCATGTCCTTCACACTGGAAGTAGAACCTGGCATAGAGACAGGCGTGCCAGCTCTCACCCTATACACCCTCCCTGCCGGCTCCTGCAGCCTCCGCTGGCCCTGGCTATCTTGGGGCGGACGACCCGGGAGGTGCTTTTCTCTGGCTCCCGACAATGCCCTTACCCAGGTGTTCCTGCCTGGCCTTTCTCTGCCGGGAGGTATGGCCCATCCTCACAGCCCAGGCATGTGGGAGCCAAAGAGGCCTGGGTCCGCCAACGTGGCACCCAGAGCTTGGGTGTTGTCCTTGGCAGGGCTGGGAGAAGTGGCTCCAGCTGTGCCAAAATGCTTGCAGTGTTATGAATCTGTGAACAGTACCAGGTGGGGGCTGGACCAGCTCTGCCTGCCTCACCTCCAGGTCACTCCAGGGCTAAGCCAGAGCTCCCACGGCCACATGCTGTCCAAGGCTGGAGGGAGCCTCCCTGGCTGTACCTGGCAGCGCCACCCTGGAGGGCAGCATGCCCTGGGGCCCTGACAGAGCACCACATGGATGACAGGGCGGGGGGCGAGCACGGATGGGGCCTGCCGCGCATGTGGCCCCTCCAGACAATATCGTGAGCTCTGAGGTGGGGATTCTGCCTCCCGCATCTTCACGACGCCTGCACGACCTGAGCTGTGGCAGGCCTGGCCATGACCCCCAAGGTCTGGGTGGCCTGGGGAGGACAGAAGCCCAGAAAGGGACCCCGATTCTCAGGACCCACAGGAAGACGCAGGGCCTCAGCAGGTGCTCAGGGCTGAGGCCCATTTCCTGACTCTGCGAGCAGGACATGTCGCTGGGCAGCCCCTTGGGGTATTACCTGGCCAGGCTGTACCCGTGCTGCAGGGAGGAGAACAATAGGAGGGGCTGGCACAGGGCAAAGCGCTCAGGGACCCAGGACCAGATGTCTCTCATCTCCCTCACGCTGACGATCTCCGAATGGAAGTTCTCTGCATGGACCGCCAAGTGTACAAACTGCCTGAGGGGAGTGAGCGGGGTCAGAGTCTGAGGGCGCGTCCAGGGCCAGGCCATGCCCCCTGAGGTGTGCCCCAGAGCTCCTTTGGAACTAAGGCCGGAGGGAACCTCACGCCTGCTTTCACGTGTTTAGGGCCGGGTTCTAGATGCCCAACAGGGAGAAAGTTCCCACGAGCCAGCCCCACCTGCCACCCATTACAGAGGGAGAGTGCCCAGCCTGAATGGGGACAATGCACCTTTTCTCTAAGAAATCAGGAGAGTGACTGCTCTGGCAAGACAAGGCTTCATGGCGAGCCAAGCACCGGCAGAGAGCACAACAGAGGCAGACAGGCAGGCAGGCAGGCAGACATACAGACAGACAGACGGAAGGTGCCTGAGCATCAGCCAGGCTCGGAGGCAGTGCTGCTGAAGCCGGCCCGCGAGAGCAGCCCTGGGACCCAGAGCAAGCAGCCAGCCAGAGGCAGCCTGGTGGAAAGACAGAGGCCAGGCGTGCAGACGCGGTTTCAGACCTACCTTTTAGAAAGTGACACACTGAAAAACAGGAGAAAGCAACGGACATGGAGAAGAAAAATAAAACAGACAAGGAGAGATTAGTGTAAGTACCGATCCCGGACAGGCCTTCGCTGGCCCAGAAGAAAGAGGACTGCACTCCAGCAGGCCGCAGCGTGGCACCGTCACAGCACCGGCTACCAAATGGACACAGGACACCATGAACCCCTGACCCTGCTCCCCTGGGGCTATGCTCCAGGTGGGGAGGCCACGCCCATCAGCCACAGCATCGACCAGCCACGGAGCCCAGAGCTGGAGGGGCGGAGCAGGCGCTGCCCTGAAATGACCATGGGAGTGGGCCGCCCGCCATGCCTTCTGCCCCCAGGGCCAGCATCAGCTTTCCTCTCAGCTGTGGGCCTGTTCCCAGAGGACAGGACCCGACGTCCCTCGTCTGTGGCTGTAACCGGGAAGGCCCTTCCTGTTTCAGTGTCTTTTCAGCCACGCACAGATGTCTGGGTGGATCACGGGTAGAGGCTGCCTGGAGGCCAGCTGGATGGGCTCATGCCAGACACGTCCCGCCCAAGCCCCGACCCTGGGTGGGGCCCTCGCAGCCTGCCGAGGACCTACCTCTTCTGCTTCACGGTGATGCCCTTCTGCTTCAGGGCTTTCTCGTTGGCCATCTGCAGGAGCTGGATCTCCTTTCGGGAGAAGAGGCGGATGGCGAACGCTTTCTCCAGCAGCTTCTCGGGGGATACCGTCTTGGCAATGTCTTTGACAAACATGCGGATGTCCTGCTTCACGCTGTCCGACGCCAGTGGCTGCCCGGCCCTCACCTTGTGGAAGAACTTAAGGATGGCCAGTGCCACGCGGTACAGCACCTTGTAGCCCTCCACTAGGAAAACGTCAAAGACCCGTGCGAAGTAGCAGAGAGGCAGCTCCCCAAACAGCCAGCGCTGCCAGTCGGCATAGACCTGCAGGATGTCCTCCGACACAGCCACCATCAGCTTGTGGGCCGCCTGGCAGTACTTGTTCACAAGGTCCCCGAATGTCATGCAGGACGACTCGAAGGCCAGGAAGCTCTGGTCGATCAGCCTCCGGCCGGGGTCATTGCAGGCCAGGATGCGGCAGGCCTTCTCGAAGCACTCGGCCTCGTCAATGCTGTAATGCAGCAGCAGGGCCACCACGGCCGGCAGGGCGGGGCAGAAGGAAATGTCCGGGAACTGGTTGGCAATGCACAGGAGGATCTTGCGCACGGCCCCCTCGCCGCGCGCGTTCAGGCAGTAGCTGGGCACCTGGGTGTTGTCCACGAACTCGGGCAGTGGCAGGCAGCTGCTGCTGTGCTTGCCCACGATCTTGCCCACGATGTCGCTGTACACGCTGGCGTCGGGCGTGACTGTGCGGCAGGGGATGCCCCGGATCAAGCGCTGGTACACCTTTCCCCGCAGCGCGTGGCTCTGGGCCCAGTAGCCCTGGCGTGCCAGCTGCTTCAGTTCCTGCAGATCGGTGCAGCTCAGCTCCTTGGGCCCCAGGTCCTGGATGGCAGCGTCCATCTTGTCTCTGTCCACGAAACAGTTGTATCCTGGGGAGTCCATAGCGCCGGTGTGCTCAGGAGGACGCCCGGAGCTGCCAGGAGGGGAGCACAGAGTGGCTAAATCCTCCAGCCCCCTTTCCGTGCGTTTTCTGCTAACCTGTCTGCCATCTCACACCCTGCAGGATTAAAAAAACATTTTTAGCATGTGTGTTTCAAGGTTCACATTTTAAAGAACATATTTTTTTGAATGTGGCACAGTTTTCTTTTCTCTTGACACAGGGTCTCGCTCCGCTGCCTCGGTCGGAGTGCAGCGCAGTGGCGCAACCTGCTCTTGGCAGCCATGAAGGGCTCGAACGATCTTCCTGCCTCAGCCTCCCGAGTAGCTGGAACTACAGGTGTCCACCACCATGCCCAGATAATTTTTGTTTTGAGACTCACTCTGTCGCCTAGGCTGGAGTGCAGTGGCGCGATCTCCGCTCACCACAACCTCTGCAGCCGCTCCCTGCCTCCTGGGTTCAAGCAATTCTCCTGCCTCAGCCTCCCGAGTAGCTGGGATTACAGGTGTGCGCCACCATGCCCAGCTAATTTTTGTATTTTTAGTAGAGACGGGGTTTCACCTTGTTGACCAGGATGGTCTGGATCTCTCGACCTCGTGATCCACCCGCCTCAGCCTCCCAAAGTGCTGGGATTATAGGCGTGAGCCAGCGCACCCGGCCTCCAGGCTGGTCTTTAACTCCCAAGCTCAAGAAATCCTCCTGCCTTGGCCTCCCAAAACGCTGGAATTACAGGCATGAGCCACCGTGCCCGGCCTTGTTTTGTTTTGTCTGAGACAGGCCTTGCTCTGAAACCCAGGCTGAGTGCAACGGTGCCATCTCAGCTCCCTGCAGCCTCTGCCTCCTGGGCTCAGTGGTCCTCCCACCTCAGCCGTAGCTGTAGCTCGGACTACAGTCAGGCATCCCCACACCCAGCTAATTTTTTCTATCTTTAGTAGAGATGAGATTCTGCCATGTTGCCCAGACTGGTCTTGAACTCCTGATTTCAAGCAGTTCACCCACGGCATCCTCCCAAAGTGCTGGGATTACAGGTGTGAGCCACTGTGCCGGGCCCAGGCCTGTTTTGTTTTTTATTAAATTTTTTTTTTTTTTTTTAAGAGATCGGGTCTTGCTCTGTCGCCCAGGTTGACCTTGAATCGCAGGCCTCAAGTGATCTTCCCACCATGCTGGAATTACAAGTGAGAGTCACGGTGCCCAGGCAGTTTGGCTTCATCTTGGTGTAGGTATTAGAAGGGCTGCTACTGAAGTGATTGTTCTGAGAAGCCGTCACAAACTTGGGAGTGTAACTTCTTTTCCCAGAATTCACGGTTACGAGGTCACACAGATTCTGAGTAATGAGAGGCTAGAGACAGAGTTCCCAGAGGGGCTTCAAGAGCTTGGCCCCTGGCCGGACACAGAGACTCATACCTATAATCCGAGCTACTCAGGAGGCCACGGTGGGAGAAGTGGTTGAAGCCAGGAGTTCAAGACCAGCCTGGGCAACACGGTGAGAGCCCATCTCTACCAAAAAAAGAGACTGACCCTGCTGAAAACAACTCTCCACTCGAGCATGGTCTGCCCTAGCGTCCCAAACACCACCCTGCACCCTGGGGTCCTTCTGAAAAGGAACCCCCAGTTGGGAAGATCCCTTTGAGCAAAGAGATGCTCCATTCCAGTTCTCTTTAACCAGCTGTGCACGGTGAGAAAGACGCAGCCTATGCTGTCCCACCCTGTCTGGGTTGGGATTCTGAAGCCAGCTTTTAACTTTCTAAACCCACCAGCCTGAAAGCTACGCTTCAGGCAGGTGCTCCAGGGAGGAATCTCTGATGAGGAGCAGGTGGGTTCCCCAAGGGACAGCTGGGACCTACGTGGAAGATGCCGCAGCTTCAGAACTGCACATCTCTGGATCCAAATGAGCCGGAAGTCGAGTGGGGGTGTCGGTGCTTCTCCGAGAACAGCATCGCTGGGCTCAGGTGAACACAAAGGAGTGGGTGCGGGGTGCCCTGTGGGGTTCTGGACGACGGGTGGCTGCTCTGGGCCAAGGCTACCATCCTGGGCACAAAAGTTGCAAGGTTTGCTTATGCACAGCAGACTAACCTTTCTTCCTGGGATGGTACAAGTTCCCAGAGATGCCAGGGGGGTCTGCTTTAGCGAGTTCTGGATAGTGACCGACCACTCTGCTTTCTCCTGTAGCTAGAACATCTGCCTACCCATTAGAAGGCAAATGCTACTTCAAACTATTCCGCAAAAAGTAAAAATCATAGCGTCAAACCTACATCTGCGACACACTGTCTTGGGAAAGCACCTTACACTGTGTTTTTGTGTGTGTGGTAAAATACACATAACATAAAATTTATCAGTTTAGCCTTTTTTTTTTTTGAGACGGAGTGTCGCACTGTCATCCGGGCTGGAGTGCAGTGGTGCCATCTCAGCTCACTGCAACCTCTGCCTCCCGGTACAAGCAGTTCTCCTGCCTCAGCCTCCTGAGTAGCTGGGACTACAGGTGCCACCATGCCTGGATAATTTTCTGTATTTTTAGTGGACACAGGGTTTCACTATTTTGGCCAGCCTGGTCTTGAACTCCTCACCTCACAATCCGCCTGCCTCAGCCTCCCAAAGTGCTGGGATTACAGGCGTGAGCCACCGCCTCTGGCAACCACCGTTATATTTTTCTGTCTCTATGAAACTGACTACTCTAGGTACCTCATAAAGGTGAATCATACAATATCTTATTTTCTTTCCCCTGAGACGGTCTTGCTCTGTCGCCCAGGCTGGAGTGCAGTGGTACAATCATGGCTCACTACAGCCTCTACCTCCTAGGCTCAAGAAATCCTCCTACCCCAGCCTTCCAAGTAGCTGGGATCACAGGCACACGTCACGGCACCCAGCTGATGTATGTATTTTTGGTAGAGATGTCTTGAACTCCTGAGCTCAAGTATTCCCCCCACTTGGCCTCCCAAAGTGCTGGGACTACAGATGTGAGCCACCACGCCTGGCTATTTTTTTTTTAACAGTAGAGATGAGGTCTTACTGTGTGCCCAGGCTGGTCTCCAGCTCCTGGACTCAAGGGTTGCTTCTGCTTCAGCCTTGCAAAATCCTCGGATTACAGGCGTCAACCACCATACCCGGCAGTTTTGTTTTTAGAGACCACGTCTCACTATGTTGCCAAGGCTGGTCTTGAACTCCCGGCTCCCAGCAATCCTCCTACATCAGTTTCTCAAGTAGCTAGAATTACAGACACAAGCCATCACACCCAGCCCTGTCCTTCCTTTTTTTTTTGAGATAGGGTCTTTGTTCTGTCACCCAGGCTAGAGTGCTGTGACACAGTCATAGTTCACTGCAGCCCCAAACTCCTGGGCTCAAGTGATTCTCCCGCCTCAGGCTCCGGAGCAGCTGGGACTACAGGTACGTACCGCCAGGCCTCGAATAATTTTTTTTAAACATTTTTAAAATAGAGACAGAGTCTTGCTATAGAGACAGAGTTCAAGACCAGTTGCCCAGGCTGGTCTTGAACTCCTAGGCTACAGCAATCCTCCCGTTTCAGCTTCCCAAAGTGCTGGGATTATAGGCGTGAGCCACTATGCCCAGTCTGTCCTTCCTTTCTTTTAAGGCCAAATAACATGACATTGTATGGACAGACCACATCTTGCTTATCCATTGATCTGTGGACAGATACCTGGGTTGACACCACCTCTTGGCTACTGTGAACCATGCTGCTGTGAACATGGGCGTACAAATATCTGAGTCCCTGCTTTCGATGCTGTTTTTATAGGAACTTCCCCAGAGAAAACATTCATCAAAACAAAGTTTTCTGACAAAAACATTAAAGCCACATTGATTTTTTTTTTTTTTTTTTTTTTTGAGATGGAGTTTCACTCTTGTTGCCCAGGCTGGAGTGCAATGACACGATCTTGGCTCACTGCAACCTCCGCCTCCTGGGTTCAAGCGATTCTCCTGCCATGGCCTCCCAAGTAGCTGGGACTACAGGCACGTGCTACCACGCCCAGCTAATTGTGTATTTTTAGTAGAGACGGGGTTTCTCCATGTTAGTCAGGCTGGTCTTGAACTCCAAACCTCAGTTGATCCTCCTGCCTCAGCCTCCCAAAGTGTTGGGATTATAGGTGTCAGCCACCAAAGTTGATTTTAATATATCCCACTGGAAAAGGCTTGACCACAGCCAGACCAGGCCTCAGAAGAAAAGAAACCCTTAAGATCGTTGATTGCTTTGCTTTGTCCCCAGAGGGAAAGCAGCAGGGGCTCTCCCCTGGTCCTGAAGGCCAGGCCGACGAGTCCACTCACATCCACGTGGCCACGCCCAGGTCACCCTGTACAGTCTTGTCCACTCACATCCACGTGGCCACGCCCCGGTCACCCTGTACAGTCTTGTCCACTCACATCCACGTGGCCACGCCCCGGTCACCCTGTACGGTCTTGTCCACTCACATCCACGTGGCCACGCCCCGGTCACACTGTACGGTCTTGTCCACTCACATCCACGTGGCCACGCCCCGGTCACCCTGTACGGTCTTGTCCACTCACATCCACGTGGCCACGCCCCGGTCACCCTGTACGGTCTTGTCCACTCACATCCACGTGGCCACGCCCCGGTCACCCTGTACAGTCTTGTCACCCTGTACGGTCTTGTCCACTCACATCCACGTGGCCACGCCCCGGTCACCCTGTACAGTCTTGTCCACTCACATCCACGTGGCCACGCCCCGGTCACCCTGTAGTCTTGTCCACTCACATCCACGTGGCCACGCCCCGGTCACCCTGTAGTCTTGTCCACTCACATCCACGTGGCCACGCCCCGGTCACCCTGTACATTCTTGTCCCCTCACATCCACGTGGCCATGCCCCGGTCACCCTGTACAGTCTTGTCCACTCACATCCACGTGGCCACGCCCAGGTCACCCTGTACAGTCTTGTCCACTCACATCCACGTGGCCACGCCCAGGCCACACTGTACAGTCTTGTCCACTCACGTCCACGTGGCCACGCCCCGGTCACACTGTACAGTCTTGTCCACTCACGTCCACGTGGCCACGCCCCGGTCACACTGTACAGTCTTCCACGTGTTGGTTATCCACAGCTTACCTCCCTCCTTCCCAGCTCTGGGCCCACAAACCTCTGGAGGAACCCCGGGCCCATCCTGTTTGGGTGAAAGAACTGGCTCCTTCTTGAGGCAATAAACATGTTTCTAAACAGAACAGGAGCTGGGCAGAGCAGCACCAGCCTCCACTCAGCTGGCCCCAGATGCAGGTTGAATATTAAACTGGAAACGGTAAAAGCTGCGACTGCACCTTACAAATTTCCCTCAGGGAGATGCGGATCCCAAGTTGTGTTTGCTGCCGCGAATGATCCAGGGATGTGTTGGACTCGGGGACACTCAAGCCAAGGAAGGGTGCAGAAGTCCCTGAGGGAGCCCTTGGATTCTCTCTTGCTCCCCAAGCCCCCACCCAAAAACAGAGTAGGACGTTTCTGGGGCTGTGCACACAAGGCAACAACCCTTTTACGGCACCTGTAAAAACCAGGGCCAGGCCAGCACAGTGGCTCACACCTGTAACCCCAGCACTTGGGAATGGAGGCGGGATGATCACTTGAGCCAAGAGTTCAAGACGAGGCTGGGCAACATAATGAGACTTCATCTCTACACACGCAAACAAAAGAAAGAAAGAAAGAAAGAAAGAAAGAAAGAAAGAAAGAAAGAAAGAAAGAAAGAAAGAAAGAAAGAAAGAAAAGAAAAGAGAATAGGCAGTCGTGGCGGTGTGCACCTGTAATCCCAGCTACTTGTGCGGCTGAGAGGGGAAGATCTTTTGAGGCCGAGCCCAGAAGTTCAGGACTAGCCCATGCAACATGGTAAAACCCCATCTCTGCAAAAAAAAAAAAAAATACAAAAACTAGCCAGGCGTGGTGGTGCACGCCTGTAGTCCCAGCTACTCAGGAGGCTGAGGTGGGAGGACCACTGGAGCCCAGGAGGTCGAGGCTGCAGTGAGCCATGATTGTACCACCGCCCTCCAGCCTGCAGGACAAAATGAGACACTATCTCAAAAATGAATTAACAGGCCGGGCATGCTGGCCCATGCCTGTAATACTGAGAGGCTGAGGTGGGCAGGTCACTTGAGGACAGGAGTTGGAGACCAGCTTGGGCAACACAGTGAAATTAAAAACACAAAAATTAGCTGGTGTAGTGACATGTGCCTGTAGTCCCAGCTACTCGGGAGGCTGAGGTGGGAGAATCACTTCAGTCCGGGAGGTGGAGGTTACAGTGAGCTACGATCGCACCACAGCACTCCAGCCTGGGTGACAGAGCAAGACTCTATCTGAAAACAAATAAATAAAAATAAATAAATAAAAACGAGATCCAGATTGGTTTCCTTAGGTTTAAAAAGTCTTTTATTATGCCCGTGATGTATGAATGGAGAAATAACAGAAAGTCAAATAGTACCAAAATGAGGGGGTAAAAAATGGAGTTCTGTTTAAATCACCCTCTAATCGTACTCCCTTTCCACATAGAGAGATTGCCATTCACAACGGAGTGAGGTTTTCTTTAAACTGGCAACTGAGATGAAGAAGTAACGGGAGGTGAAAACTGATCAAAAACATAAAACGCTCCGGGCTGGCACACTTACGGGTTTGAGTGCCCGCACTCTGGAGGTGAGTGCTCACGGCCAAGTGGCCTTCCCTGCCATCTGCCCTCGGGCTGGCTGCTGTCCGGGCTGGCACACTTACGGGTTTGAGTGCCTGCACTCTGGAGGTGAGTGCTCACGGCCGAGTGGCCTTCCCTGCCATCTGCCCTCGGGCTGGCTGCTGTCCGGGCTGGCACACTTATGGGTTTGAGTGCCCGCACTCTGGAGGTGAGTGCGCACGGCCGAGTGGCCTTCCCTGCCATCTGCCCTCGGGCTGGCTGCTGTCCGGGCTGGCACACTTACGGGTTTGAGTGCCTGCACTCTGGAGGTGAGTGCTCACGGCCGAGTGGCCTTCCCTGCCATCTGCCCTCGGGCTGGCTGCTGTCCGGGCTGGCACACTTACGGGTTTGAGTGCCCGCACTCTGGAGGTGAGTGCTCACGGCCGAGTGGCCTTCCCTGCCATCTGCCCTCGGGCTGGCTGCTGTTGAATGTCATAAGCCACATCTGCTCCCACGCAGTGAACAAGGCCTTGCCTGTCCCCATAGCCTCCCAACTTCTGATAAAGTGCAGAGCCGGAGGCGGCAGCCGGGGAGAGGGAGGGGAGGCAGGGGCTACTGTAGAAACGGCCCAGCTTTGCAGTCAGATGGGCCTGGCCGCAGAGTCCGGCTCTGACACCTGTTTGTTTGAAACGTGGACGAGCCACGCATCGTCCTTAACCTGCGGTTACCGTGTCCGTAGAGCGGGGCTGACGAGTAACAGCCACCTCCTCACGGGCATCCGTTCCCAAGCAACCCCTGTGGGTTGAGCGTCACTCTGGACTCAATGGGTGGAGTGCAGATGACATTAGGATGACACCCCACAAACAGTATATCCCACACTGTCTCTGGGTTCAGGCAGCCCAGCGCAGACAGTGCCAGCAGGGCCCTGTGGGGGTGCCTCCCTCGGTGGGGGGGAAGCCACTTTCCCTTGGCCTCTGAGGAGTGAGGGCGTCACTTCTCGCCACCAACACTGCATTGCCCTCACCTAAGTGGTACTCGCCCACCAGCCTCGAGTTCCCTGCAGAGGCACAGGGTGAGGTGGCATTGCTTCTCCGAGGTGGCACCTGTCAGCCCAGCTACCAGCAGCTCCCTGAGTGTGGAGTGGGAAAGCACTCCTCCTGTCTTTGGGACCAGCCTGCAATTCCAGGAAAAGAGGAGATATTTCACCTGACACACGTGAGAGTCACAAGAATTACAGACAGAGACAGTTCCAGAGGGGGGCGTCCACATAGTGGGTCTGGAGGGTGACAGCTAATTTATCAAGAGTCCTGAGGGTAGACCTCCTACAACAGATGACACTGAGTCAGAGCAGTGAGAAGGAAGAAACCGGGATTGCGGAGGATGAAGCACTCCAGACACCAGCAGAGCAGGTGCAAAGGCTGAGGGAGCAACAGGCCCGCTGTGCTCCAGGGTGCAGAGGGCAGCACAGACACACCCATGGGGCCCGTGGATTGTATTCTAAGCACAGTGGGAAACTGGGAAGGGAGAGGATCCAGTCCGTGTTCTGTTGCGGGATTTACTGAGTCTGTTGATAGAAAGCACTCAGCCCAGCCCGGCCAGCCAGGGCTGCTCAGCCGCCTGAGGGCTCTCTCGTCCTTCCCACCACCAGCACCCCCGCCCGCCATCCCCCCCCCCCCCCGACGGAGTTTTGCTCTTGTTACCCAGGCTGGAGTGCAATGTCGAGATCTCGGCTCACTGCAACCTCCGCCTCCTGGGTTCAGGCAATTCTCCTGCCTCAGCCTCCTGAGTAGCTGGGATTACAGGCACGTGCCACCATGCCCAGCTAATTTTTTGTATTTTTAGTAGAGACGGGGTTTCGCCATGTTGACCAAGATGGTCTCGATCTCTTGACCTTGTGATCCACCCGCCTCGGCCTCCCAAAGTGCTGGGATTGCAGGCTTGAGCCACCGCGCCCGGCCTTTTTTTTTTTTTTTTTGCCATCTGTATGCTTTGATGAAATGTTTGTTCAGATTTTTTACTTTCTCTTTGATGTTTTCAACTTCAGATTTTTTAATTGGGTTGTTTTCTTAGCAATTTTTTTTTCTTTTTTTTTTCATAGGAATCAAAAAGGTCTTTGCTAACTACCAATTTATGTAAATTTCCATTCTTTCTGTTTTTATTCTTTGAGAGAAGTAAAGAAAAAAAAGGAGTGAAGGAGAGGAAGAAAGAGGAAGAAAAAGAGGGAGAGAGAACGGAAATTTGCTTTATTCTAAAAAATGGGTATTAATAATGGCCAATCAATGTTTCATTTAAACTTATGGGTAGGTGTGATGTGGTATTGACAAGAATGTATATTTTGTGTATTTGAAGCGGAGAGCTCTATGAATATTTATTAAGTTTACTTGTTCCGGATCTGAGTTCGAGTCCTTGATATCCTTATTAATTTTCTGTCTCATTGAATCTAAGTCTCTAAGTATCTGGGTGTTAGGATCATTAGCTCTTGTTGTTGCATTGATCCTTTTACCACTGTATCTTTGTTGCTTTAAAATCTATTTTATCCGATATGAGAATTGCAACTCCTGCTTTTTATTTATTTATTTATTATTTATTTTTGCTCTCCATTTGGTTGGTACATCTTTCTCCATTCCTTTGTTTTGAGTCTTTGTGTATCCTTGCATGTGAAACAGGTCTGGAGGTAACATGCCGTTGGGTTTTGGCTGTGTCTTTTGATTGGGGGGATTTAGTCGATTTAAATTTAGGGTTACTGCCATTTCATGTTAACTGGCTGTTCCATCCATTCGTTGGTGTAAATTCTTCTTTAGTTGATGCTCTTTACTTTTTGGTGTATTTTTAGAAAGGCTAATACTGGTTGTTTCTGTTTAAAAAACAAAAAACAGAGTTTTGCTCTTGTTGCCCAGGCTGGAGAGCAATGACACGATCTCGGCTCACCACAACCTCCACCTACTGGTTTCAAACAATTTTCCTGCCTCAGCCTCCCCAGTAGCTGAGATTACAGGTGCCCAACACGTGCTGACCGGTGTTCAGCCAGGAACACCCAACGGCGGCCTATGTCCTCACTCCACGGAGCCCCAATAATACCCCAAATCCATCCTCCACAGCAAACCGCCTGAAGGTGCCCACAGGAAAAGGGAGGCAGCCAGGAGATGGGTAGGGGGCGTCCCTCAAGGGCAAGGCGCCATAAGCTAATTTCTAGCCAGGAGGCAGGTGGGAGGGAACATGGATGTGGGAGGAGGCGAAGCCTCACCGTGGACAGTGGGGCAGGAGGCCCCCCATGGGTAGCGGCCCCTCCCCTCCAGCAGACCATTACCTCACCCCAGCCTCAGGTGGAACACAACCCCACAGCTGCTGGCTACTGGCGACTTAACTTCCTGCTCATCTCCCTTTACCCTGGGACAAAGAGGACCTCCGAGAGAGGCTCTAGAGGGTCCCTAAGCACAGGCAGGACCCACCCAGGTCTGGGACTCCAGAGCACTTGGCCATTTCTAGTGCCCAGGGCCCTCCCACAAGTCGTGGAGACAAAGGCCACCCGGGGCGGCTCCTGCTAGCAACACCATCTGCCATCCCCAAACACCAAACTCCAGGCCAGAGAGCCTGAGTCACGAGGCCTCTGCATGTCTCACTTCTTTGGGAGGAATGTGATTTTCCCAAACAACTGGATTAGAAAACAAACTCTGTTTCATGTGACAAAAACAGAACACACATTTAGCCTCAGTGATGACATTTTAACATCACCAATGCCAACCCTGAGCACCAGGCCTCCCTTGCTGGGGACCGCTCCTGTCCTGGGTCACAGGAAACGGGAGGAGGCAGCACATGACCGAGGCTCCCTCATCCCGCAGGTCGTCATGTGACAAACCTCCACTGAGGTGCCTCCTCTGTGCCAGGAAGAGAGGCCTTGAGAGGAGGCTGTCAACCTCGGCAGCTCAGGATGTGCTAGGGGAAACCCAAGGTCAGGGCTTCGAAAGGGGCGGAAAGGTGTGGAGGCAGCCTGTGGGTGGTGACGGTGCCCCTCAGACCCAGAGGTAAGAGTGGGCAAAGGTGAAGCAGGCTATCCTGGCAGTGCTGAGGGGCTGGAGTGGGGTAAGAGGCGAGTACCCCCACACGGGGTAGGATGAGTCTAGGCAGGTGACCGGCTGACATCTGTGTTTACAAAAATCCCCCATGGTGGCCCTGGAGGAGGAAGGGTTGGGACAGAGAAGCCAGGGAGAGAGGAAGGCAGAGTCTAGACCCAGAGGGTGGAGAAGACTGGGGGAGTCCAGGCCACTGGAGATGCTGGAGGCAGGGGACAAGCGATGAACAGGGAATTCCAGTCCAGGAAAGCCCCACTGTGAAGTTTTCAGAGCCAGTTTCGATATAGATGTTTCTTAGACAAATGCCAGAGGAGCGCAGGCTGGAGGCAGAGCAAGGCCCACAGCACATAGGGTACCCTACGTACTCCCAGATGCTACCAAGGGGCCAACTGCAGCCCCCTGGGCGAAAAGTAGCCCCATCCCAAGGTAGGTCAGTGTTCGCTAGGACTCCAGGTTGAAAAGCTGGGGTTGCAGGCCTGGGCCCCATCCTGCCCTGGCCTGACCACCACACCCATCCTGGCCATAGGATCAGCCCCTCTCCCAGAGGGGCTAACAAGGACCAGGGGTTCTGTCTGGCTGGGCCTCAGTCACAGGGCCGCAGAACAGGGCATGGGCATCAGCTGTGTTCTCAGTTCGTCCTGTCTGCTCTGAGCAATCCCTCATCATTTCCTGGGAGTGGGACCCAGAATGAAGAGGAAGAGGAAATGAGGCCGGGCTCCGTGTGTAGGGAACCCCAATGTCAGCAGCCACGGACAACAGGAAGGAGGCACTCTGGCCCCCGCAGGAGACACACACTCCTCTCGGCGGGCTTCCCTGGCAGAATCCAAAACACTCTTGCTCCTGGACCTAGCTAAGCGCTGCCGGAATAAGGTGGAAACCTGCCATGGGCTAGGAAGGCTGGCAGGCCCCACCCTCTCCTGAGCACAGACCACACCGGCCAGGCAGCCCCAGGGATGAGACTGACAGGGAAGCTCAGAGTGCCCGGAATCCATGGGGCAGGGGCAGGGGCAGCGGTGGGTCAGGTGGGAATGGTAGGGACGGTGTGGGGGTGGCTGAGAGAGCTCAGCTCCAGGGTGTCTGGACTGGTTGGAACAACTCTCAACCACGTTTTCCTCCTCTCTGACACCAGCACAGCCATCGGCACAGGCTCTGCGACCCAGAAAATGCAGAGGCTCCTCCATGCAGCAGGAAACCCATTCTACAGTGGGTGCTGGCGGGGCGACCTCCAGTTCAATCCCGAGCCCTGGAGACACCTACCTGGAGAGAGCTCAGATCCCACAGGTCGGGAGCTCAGTCCCCAGGCCCCCCACGCCCTCAGGCACCAGTCAGAAATCCAGGCCTCTGGAACTTCTGAGGGACCACCTTTAGGGTGAGGTACGGGAGAGGGACACGGTGCTGCCCTCCAGGCACCCCTCCTGTTCGGCTGTCCAGAAACTCCCAAGTCCTATCCTCTAGGCCGTAGTGGAGGCTTCGTTAAGTAGGCACGACTGATGAACCCACTGGCAATCAACTTGACCTTCAACCTCCGGACCTCTCCCCTCCCTGCGATTAGGGGTGGGGCGGAAAGTCCTAACCTGGCAATCCTGCCTGGTCTTCCCAGTGACCAGTGCCACCCTGAAGCTATCAGTCAACACCAGCACACAGCAAGACAGCGCCACAGAGATTCTGAGGATTTCAGGAGTTGTATGTGACAACACAAGGACAAAGACCAAACAGGTATTTCACAACATGACAGAGGTGTTGGGAGAGTAGGTGGAGGGAGGCCGCAGGAACACACTGGACGGGGCGGGGCTGGGGCTTGGGCCTAAAAGCAGACCTGGAGTGGCGCTTGGATGGCAGGGGTAAGGGGAGAGGTGGCCCAGCATTCAGCCCCAGGGAGGTGATGGTGCCTCTTCTGGCTAGGAGACCTTCCTCTCAAGTCCGAGCCAAGTCTGATTTCTTCAGGAAGGGCCCAGGCCTCCCACCTCCCTGTTGGGAGAGGCCAGGGAACACCTAACCCTGTGCGCCGAGAATCTGCTGGATGCCTCAGAGACACAGACAAATCCCAGGAAGAGGCCTAAGGTGCAGGCAGACACTCGCCCACCACACAGCCCCGCCGCCCCAGGCCTCAGCCCTGGAAGAATGGGGCTGGCACAGTGGGCCGTGACGGAAGAGAGCCACTGGCCTCGTCTGTGCACCCAGGTTCACCTGTTCTTTCTGGAACCTTCTCCGGATGCTTCCTAAGCACCTGGCACTGAGCTAGGAACAGCCGAGAGAAATCGGTCACCTGGCAGTGAGGCTGGAAAGTGGATTTGTAGACACATGTAGATGGAGAGGCCCCGGGATGGCTGCGTGCCCCGGGGAGCTGGAGTGGTTCTGGAGCCCTTCTGGGAGGTAGCGACATCTCACTGGGGTTTGCAGGGCAGACTGGGAGGGAGGAGCGGGCTGTGCCAGGGGGAAGACTGGCACTCACCATCCCGATAGTGACAAGGCACCACCAGAGTACGGGGGTGGAGAGGCGAGATCAAGCTTTGATTCCAGAAAGACCTGTGGCTTGGTGGCCTGAATGGTGTGTGCAGAGGCCACAGTTGTCAGAAACATCCAGGGGGTGGCGAGTTGGGGAGGAAAGGAGGGTAGGCTGAGAGGAAAAGACCACCCGGGTCCACTGTGTGTGTGTGGGGGTACGCCCTGGACCTCCCACGCAGAATGTCAGGGGTGGGAGACAGCCACACAGGCATGTTTTGAGAAGGTTCCTCTGGCGATCCCCTTCCCCTGACCTGTGTCCCCACACCAGTGAGACCCTGAGCTATAGGAATATGACTGATTGGGGCTAGATAGTGACTGTCACTAACCTTGGTGAGCACAGCCACTGGTCCCCCCACACCTCCTTATCTTGCTATCCGCCTTTTACCCATGGCCCCTGCTCCCAACCTCTCGTTTCTCTGGAAATTGTCTGTGGCAAACACACCACTGCCACATTCTCGTCCTTCACGAATGTCCCTCCTGGCCAGGCAGCGGCTGGGCTCTCTCCATCACCACCTGCCTCCTCTCTCTCCAGCTCAGGACCTTCCTCTCTGTGCTGCCCTCCCTTGAGGGCCAAATTCGCAGTCCTGGCTGGCAGCTCCATGTTCTCTTGAACCTTAAAAGTCTTTACACCTCTGCCTTTCTACCCAGTCCCTGGGCATTCCAGAAAAGCACTCTACCTACTCCAGAGGCTGCAGTCATAAACCCACCCACAGCCCGTCCAGAGTCCTCAGCGCCCCCCTCCCTCTCCCAGCTGCCAGCCCCCCAACCACCTGCCACTCCAGCTTTTCTCTCTTGCCAGCTCAGCCTGGATCAGTCACGCCAAGGCCCAACTCCCACCCACCAACCCCGCACTCATGTCTCAGCCATATGGAGAAACTGCGCAAGGAAGTCGGCGTGAGGCCCGAGAGTAGCTGAGAGGAGAGGGAGAAGTCTCGAGCGGCCCCCCCACAGTGCCTCCTGGCAGCCTTCGCAGCCCACCTTGCCGACACCCTCTCCTCTCCAGCTCACAGCACCCCCTCCCACCCACTCTCCCCCAGGAAAGGGGGGTTGTCAGACAGGAGCTTCCCAGCTATCTGCATTCCCACCGAAGACCAAACCCCCCCCCCGACCCAGTCCTGGCTCTCACCTCCCGGGGACCCTGGCTCCCCATCTCTCCAAGGCTCCCCTGTGCTGTGACAATGGCCCTAAACACAGCAAACCACAGGGCCTAGGGCTCCGCTCTAGCTCCGCCTCTTCTCCGTTTTTTCTTGAGCCCAGCAGCTGGCAGGAGCAGACGACACCCGGCTTCCGGCTCTCCCGCCGCTGGCTGTGCCGGCCACCAGACCTCCCGGCCACCAGACCTCCCGGCCGCCTTGGCCCTCATCCCGTCTGCCTCCCTCCCAGGCGTCTCCTCACCTCCCCACGGCTGCTCCTCCAGACTCTGCGCCTGCCTCTCCAAGGGAGCCCACCCTCTCCTGAGGCTAGAATTCTTCCTTGAGGTTCAGGCCCGTCCCTCCAGCTGCTTCCCAGGTGTCTCCGGGACACTCACAACATTCACACTCCACGTGACTCCAGCGCAACTCAGCTCCCACTCCCAGCCTCCTGCCTGCTCAGGGCTTCCCCCGGTCACCGTTCTCCACCCGAAACCCTCTCCCGGTGTCCCCCGCCCTTCAGGATCCAGCCCCTCCCTGCCCCCGGACAACAGCTTCAGGAGCCCTGGTCACACAGTACCAACTGCAGTCCCCACACTAGACTGAGGGAATGTCACTGTCCAGAGAGGCAGGACACACTTGCCCCCTTTCGCGTTCTGCTCTCAGTCCAATCTCCCCTCCTTCACAGGCGTCCATGCGACCTCCAGGGCGGGGTCAAGCCTTCACAGAGCTCCACGCCTCCTGTCCACATCTGTCCTCACCCTCGCCCAGCACACCCACCCTCGTAGCGCCGGCTTATCCACCCAGCCCTGCTACTGGACCGTGACTTTCACACTCTGCCCAGTGTACTCTGGGAAGGAGGGAACAGAGAAGACAGGCAGAGACCCAGAAAAATCACCGACCACGTGGGCCCCAGATAAATTTAATTTTGAAGGCCAAATAACAGCAGGAAGCATCGCGAGCCCGCCAGGCCCGGGTGTGGCCTTTCCTGCAGGAGTCTTCACATGACAGGAAGGGAAGGGGTGCCTGCCTCAGCCTGAAGCAGAGCACAGGCATCTTTCAAATATTAATGGCGACCGGCATTCCACAGTGACTACCAAGCAGCTGCTGACCGGGGAACCTGATAGTAGGCTCTTTGCTGGAGGCACACGATGGGTGCCAGGTGCAAGAGGGGTGTGACCTTTAATGAGGGGTAGCCACCGCGCTGTGGCCGGGTGGCCCACCTGCCTGCGCTGGAAATGCAAGCACAGTGTCCGTGGCTCCTGAGCACAGTAACTGTGGCTTGGAGCCTGAGTGGGGCAGGCTGAGCCTCAACCGTGGCCAGCCACTCAAGACGGTACTGTTCCCTCTCATAGGCAGACACCTTTCTTTCCCAGCCTGGTCTGGTCCACCCAAAGGCAGGGGCTGGAGTTGGCCCAGGACTCTGCTAACGAGGATCTTTATCGTCTAAGTCCAAAGGTTCTCCCCACAGCAGGTCTGGAAAACACCCCCCAGGACACAGGAGAACCGGAGAGCTCAGCTCTCAGCAGCACAGGAATTTTGGTGGGTCTGAGTTCCAAGCCAGGTGCCAGTGACAGGTGTGCCGTGGAAGGCCAGGCACACATCAGGGTCTCAGCAAGTGTCTTTAGACCTAGGAAGGGATCCAGCTCGGGATGGAGTTGTGGCAGGTTTAATCATTTTATTTTTATTTACTTTTTATATCTGGTAGAGCGAGTCTCACTAGGTTGCCCAGGCTGGTCTCAAACTCCTGCCCTCGAGCAGTCTTCCCAGCTTGGCCTCTCAAAGCATTAAAATTACAGGTGTGAGCCACCACGCCCAGTCCTCATCATTTTAACAGGCATTCAGGACATGCTTCCTGAATGCCAGTGTGCCAGGTGCCTGAGCAGAGAGGCACGGCCCCACCCAGCCCGGGTCGGGTGTACTGACTACACCAATTCAAGGTGCAGGTGCAGTGACAGGGTGCCTTCCCAGAGCCAGCGCCTGCCTCCACTGGATCTTACCCTCAGGAAGTGGTAGGGACAGCGTGGTCAAAGACAAGACCTTGGTGGGCAAGCCTGGTCAGAGCTACACAGCTCTGTGAGAGCATGGGCCAGTGAGTGTCCTCTGGGGCTCTGATTAAGACAGTTCTATGGTCCAGCGTAACAGGCACCAAGAAAGCAAAGGGCCCAAAATAGAGGCCTGGGATTCACTGGCCTGCCAAGAAAGGACAGTGCACCTGAGCGCGGCGAACAGGGAGAGGGTAGCCCGGGAAGCCGCCGGAGCAGAAAAGTTCATGTCCACACCCCGATCCTTCTAAAGCCACAGGTTTACCAAGGTAGGAAGGCTGGAGGACCCTTGCTGGGAAAGGGATCAGAGGATAATTAGGGAAGCGGGTGGACATGATTCGAGGAAAGGCTGAAGGGACCCAGGTGACGGGATCCGTTTAGCATGCCACAGTGAGTGGAAGGGCTTTTACTGGAAGCACCCAATTCAAACTGTAACAATCAGTCAGACACACAGTTTCAGATTATGGGAAATGTGTATCCTCAGTAGATTCCCAGGTCCCCTGTGGTGTTTTCTCAATGACCCGTAAAAAAAGGGAACAGGCTAGGTGTAGTGTCTCATGCCTGTAATCCCAGTACTTTGGGAGGCTGAGGTGAAAGGATCCCTTGAGCCCAGGACTTGAGACCAGCCTGGGCAACACAGTAAGATATCATCTCTACAAAAAATAAAAAATGAGGCAGGTGTGGTGGCATGCACCTATAGTCCCAGCTACTCAGAAGGCTGAGGTAGGAGGATGGCTTGAGCCCAGGAGGCTGAGGCTGCAGGGAGCCATGACTACACCACCGCACTCCAGCTTGGACAACAGAGTGAGACCTGGTCTCTTTAAAAAAAGTAGTCACAGCTGGGTGCAGTGGCTCACGTCTGTAATCTCAGCACTTTGGGAGGCCGAGGTGGGCAGATCACAAGGTCAGGAGTTTGAGATCAGCCTGCCAATATGGCGAAATCCCATCTCTACTAAAAATACAAAATTAGCCGGGTGTGGTGGCGCGTGCCTGTAGTCCCAGCTACTGAGGCAGGAGAATCCCTTGAACCTGGGAGGCGGAGGTTGTGGTGAGCCGAGATCGCCCCACTGCACTCCAGCCTGGGCAACAAGAGCAAAATTCTGTCTCAAAAACCAAACCAAAACAAAACAAAAACAATTAACAAAAAGAGAAAAAGAAGAGCGCACACTGGGGAGGGCAGGAAGCCGCGGCTGCACATGCACACGGAGGCCGCACAGCCCGCACCCGAGAAGGTTCTGTCGGAGGGTGTAGATAACGGCTCACAACCTTATCCAGAGGCTCACGTGCCGGCTGCGGGCAGACAGAGGCTGCTTTGGGGCACAGCCTTTCCCCAGCCTCACCCATATGGCCCTCAGGGTGGGAGGACTGCGGGAGGCACACCACACGCCTGGCCTCTATCCTTAGTAAATCTTTTTCCAAAGTCACGCCTGTTGCCAGTGCTGATAGATGACACAGAGACGGACTCCTGGTAGGAGAAGGAGGTGCCCCGAAGGCTCTGCAGCCTTGGGTGTCTGGGTCTGAGAAGGCCTTTTCCAGAGCCACACCTGTGAGAACGCTCTGAGAAGATCAACCCTCGGACCGCAGGTGAACCAGGTCCTTTGAGAAGAGTGACGCCCAAGTTGGAGGATCCCCAAAAGGTGAACAGGCACGTGAGACAGGAAGGCCACTGCAAGGACACTGGCACCCTCACGTCCCACATTCCATCCTTCACTCTAGGGGACACACTGGGTGTCGGTGACAGAAATGAAAAGCCCAGGCTGGGCACTGTGGCTCACCCCTATAATCCCAGCCTTTGGGAGGCCAAAGCGGGAGAACTGCTTGAGCCCAGAAATTTGAACCAGCCTGGGTGACAAAGTGAGACCCTGTCTCTACAAAAAATGCTGGGCGTGGTGGTGTGCGCCTGTAGTGCCAGCTACTGAAGAGGCTGAGGTGGGAGGACTGCCTGAGTCCAGGAAGCCGAGGCTGCGGTGAGCCATGATGTCATGATCCCACCACTGTACCTCAGCCTGGGCAATGGGAGGGAGACCCTGTCTCAAAAAAAAAAAAGAAAAGAAAGGAAAAAAGTCTGTAGTCCCAGCTATTATGTCTCAAAAACAAAAAACTAAAAAAGAAAGAAAATCAAAAGCCCACTCCCCTCCCCCATTCTCCTGAAAGGCAGTGGGTTACTGGCCGACCTTCTGTCACCTTCATGACTGTTTTCGGAATTTATTAGGAGCCTGCAGGGTTCAGGGTTCGGTCTTGTTTTTCTCACTCTGCGCATTCTCCTGGGAAGACCCAGCCCAACTGCCCGCTTAGACACCACATAGCATCCCCAAAATGCTCTGTAGCCTAGTACACTCTCCTTGGCTCCAGGCCAGAGCACAAGTGCTTGCTGCCCAGACACAGTCTCACAGTGACCTCATCGGCATCTCCACACGGTGCCAGCCCGCTCCCTCCCTTCACACTCTGCAGGGGGTGTGGCTCAATCCTGGAACATCCCCTCCTTCCTCCCTGCCTCTTCCCATCCCGCAGCTCAGAGTCCCAGAGTCTTGTTGTCTTTTTTCTTTTGACACAGAGTTGTCCAGGCTGGAGTGCAGTGGCACAATCACAGTTCACCGAGCCTGCAACTCCTGGGCTCAGGCGATCCTCCCGCCTCAGCCTCCCAGAGTGTGGGCTTGCAGGTGTGAACCCCGGTGCCCAGCTGAGTCTTCCTCTTTGCTGTGCTGACGTCTCTCTGGGTGTGCCATGGCAGTCCCTCAACTGGCCTTGGCCTCTATGCAGCCCTTCACCTCCCTGGCCACCTCTGATCAAGTCACTCACAAACTCGAGATCTTCAGAGGCTTCATGGCACTCAGAGTGAAATTCACACTCCCAGGCTGTCACTCAAGGCTTTTGTCAGCCTGCGGTCAGCCGAGCTCACTCACTTCACCCCATCCACCTGGGGCCACCATTGCCCTTCTCCCAAGACCTGGTGGGCAGGAACCACACCCATTGCTTTATGTACACTGTCCCTTTGTGGGAAGGTGCTTTCCCTCACTTGTTCTTGCCGCCCCTGATCATCCTCCAAAATGAAGCTCAAGCCCATCTCAGCGCCCCACCCCCACCATAATCCGGCTGGACGCCAGGCCTCTGCACCCACTGAAGGTTCTGTCCACCTCTGTGGGAGGTTCTACCTTGTGTTGATTCTCCTCTCTCCTCACTGCAATGTAAGTCCAAGGGCCGAGACGGACTCTTACTCAACATCGAATCCACGGAACGCACAGCATGGTGCCTCCTGTGAAGTATGAATTCGATAAACGCACTGTTGTTGTTTCGGTTTTCAGAGGCAGGGTCTCGCTATGTTGCCCTGTCGCAATCACAGCCCACTGCAGTCTTGAGCTTCCCGAGTAGCTGGGACCACAGGGGCATGCCACGATACTTGGCGAATTTTTTATAGAGAGAAGACCTCTCTATGTTCCCCAGGGTGGTCTCGAACTCCTGGGCTCATGTGATCCTCCTGCCTCAGCCTCCCAAAGTGTTGGGATTACAGGCATGAACCATTGCTCCTGGCTTAATAAATCCATGTTGAAACGGTAAAGAAAACCATCGAATAATGAATTCAGGCTGGTCCTCAGTAAAGAGCCTGAGGTTTTGTTTCTCTGATATTATCTGCAATTGAAAGGCAGTGTTTGAAACAGCCACTGAAACTGCTGCTTTGAGTTGGAAAGACTTCTTTCTTCCACGTACAGTTGTCACAACAGAAAAGGTACGCTCAGACAGGTGAAACATTGAGCGGGGTAAATGTTAAGTGCTTTTTTATAAGCTGCTTCATCGTCCTTATGTACTTTAACCAGAAACCATCTAAAGGCAAACATTTATGTTTTTTGAGTTTGGCTCAATCTGTAGTTCATTAAGAGCAACACAGCATGTCCAAGGTCACTCGAGCCTGCTGGACAGCCCTGGCAGGTGTGGTCATCGAGAGCTAGCAAGGCTACCCCGCAGGTGACTTTACAGACCCTGGGTGGCCAAATTGATTGCTGTTATGAAAACCTGCCTAGATTCCTTCTGCATCCCCAGAAGGTCACCCTCAACCCAGTAGAAAGCAACTGCAATAATTATCATCCCGACAAAGGACCTCGATCCATTTGAACCATTATGTAGAGAGAACCTCTGCCCCAGCACCCCCACCCCAGTGGCCAGGCTTGGGGGAAGCAGAGATGAACAGTGTGGCTCCAGCCCTGTTCACAGGGAAAGACAGGCTTCTAAGTAGAGCACACACTCCCCAGTAAGTACTCCACGTAAAGCCTTTATCTGAGTGCTCAGATTAGATGACGATCAGCCCTCAGCATAAAAGGAAGCGCACACAGGGGTCATGCCACGGGCTAGACAGGAACTGTAAAATCTTCATATGATTTCTTGATATTTTCTTATCTGGATTGGTTTTGCCCAGTCTGTGTTCCTTAAAACGAAAAGAACCTGACTGCCTGTCTTCACCACAACTGAGCAAACATCCACAGGTGCCTACTGTGTGCTGTGGACTGTGTGCTCTGCCCTGGCCTTAGGCAGAGGAAAGGCCACACAGGTCATCCACAGGTGCCTACTGTGTGCTGTGGACTGTGTGCTCTGCCCTGGCCCTTAGGCAGAGGAAAGGCCACACAGGTCATCCACAGGTGCCTACTGTGTGCTGTGGACTGTGTGCTCTGCCCTGGCCCTTAGGCAGAGGAAAGGCCACACAGGTCATCCACAGGTGCCTACTGTGTGCTGTGGACTGTGTGCTCTGCCCTGGCCCTTAGGCAGAGGAAAGGCCACACAGGTCATCCACAGGTGCCTACTGTGTGCTGTGGACTGTGTGCTCTGCCCTGGCCCTTAGGCAGAGGAAAGGCCACACAGGTCATCCACAGGTGCCTACTGTGTGCTGTGGACTGTGTGCTCTGCCCTGGCCTTAGGCAGAGGAAAGGCCACACAGGTCATCCACAGGTGCCTACTGTGTGCTGTGGACTGTGTGCTCTGCCCTGGCCCTTAGGCAGAGGAAAGGCCACACAGGTCATCCACAGGTGCCTACCGTGTGCTGTGGACTGTGTGCTCTGCCCTGGCCCTTAGGCAGAGGAAAGGCCACACAGGTCATCCACAGGTGCCTACTGTGTGCTGTGGACTGTGTGCTCTGCCCTGGCCCTTAGGCAGAGGAAAGGCCACACACGTCATACACAGTTGCCTACTGTGTGTTGTGTACTGTGTGCTCTGCCCTGGCCCTTAGGCAGAGGAAAGGCCACACAGGTCATCCACAGGTGCCTACTGTGTGTTGTGGATGCAGCCCTGGCCCTCAGGCAGAGGAAAGGCCACACACATCATCCACAGGTGCCTACTGTGTGCTGAGGACAGAACGTGAAGACGCAGCCCAGGCCCTCCGGTGGAGGAAACAGCACACAGGTGCCAAGTGATGGGACGGTTCCTTCTGCACGTTGTCTGGAAGTCACCTGCTGACTCCAGAGCAAACACAGCAAAACAGAAAAATCACCCACTAGTGCTTCCATCAGCCGACACCCCCTTTCTGGAATAAGCTGCTGGGGAAACAGTGACACTGGCTTCACGACCTAAGCAACCCGCAATTGACCCAACAGGGCACCTGCAGCTCCACGCAAACCAGGTGGCTTTTAGACGACCTTGGCCTTTCACGGCACCCCGCAGGCAGGAACCCGGGAGGCCCGCAGCGGGTTTCCGCGCGGGGCCACCAAAGAAAGCCTGTGGCCAGGCCGCGGGGACCCCCGCCTGGAGGGGGCGGGAGCAGATGCAGCCCAGCGAGGGTGGGGTCGGCTCTCCCCTCGGCTGTGCTGGCTCAGGGCTGGGGGTCCCCGGCTTCCACCCCCAGGGCTCGGCGCACCCAGCGGGGGGGGGGGGACCGGCCGGGGACTGGCGGACCCCCAGCAGGGTGTGCCATCCGGGGTGGGCCGGGCCCGGGGACGCTGCAGGTCCACAGGGCGGGTCTCACCAGAATCTGTGTCAATCTCACCCAGCCCCGAAGAGGATTTCCGACCCTGCGGAGACGGAAAGCGCCCCAAGGAAACACTGACACAGAGCCGGCTCCTGCCAACGTCACCCTGCCCTGGGCCGGGACGCGGGCGACAGCAACCGGGCGGGGTTCGGGCCTCGCGCCTCGCGCCCAGGGGGTCCCGCTCCTGAGCCGCCCCCCGGAGGACGAGCCGCAGCTGCAGCGCTCCGGAGCCCCCGACCCCCGCGTGACTGGGGATCCCCGACTCGAACGGGGCCCGCAGCCCAGTCCCCACGCTCCTGCCCCCAGCACGCGTCGCCGCGGTGACCCGACCCGGCCGGGCCACCCCGCCGCGCGCCCCCCGCACGCCCCGAGCGCACCCACCTCCGCGCGCTGCGGTCTCCTCGGCTCGCCGCGGCCGGGCTCTCTGCGCACGCGCACGCGCGGCCCCGCCCCCGCCAAGCTCCCGCGCACTGCCCACCCCGGGGCGCCGGCGGGTCTCGGGCCGACCGGGCTCTGGGCATGCGCGCCGGCGGCTGGCGGCTGCTGCGGCGGAAGCAGGCGCCGGCCGGGGACCGGTCCGGTGCAGAGGGGCGGCGGCCGCAGTGTGGTCCCAGGGGGCGAGCCAAAGGGGGCGGGAGGGTGGCAGGGCCCCGCCGAGGGCATCGGGGGCCGGACAGCCACCTGTCGGAGTCTCCACCCCGCCCGGTCACGCGTGGATCTGGAACCGCGTGGGCGCGACGTCCAGCCCCGAGCCGAGCCGGGGAAGAAGGGCTGGAAGGGGGTCCTGGGACAGGCCCTGAGCGGGGGAGACGCGGCAGAGAGAGGGACGGCCGGACGGAGCCCGCAGATGGGGACACAGCCGGCCAAGAAAGATGCGAGACCGGGCGGCAGACGCCCAGCCTGCAGGGGCCGAGGCCGCCGCCCTCGCGGGGCTGCAGCAGGCAGGAGACGCCCTGTCCCCCCAAGGGGGGCTCCAAGGCACCTGCGGTGGCCACAGTCTGGGGAGGTTAGCGCGCTCACTGGCGGGTCGCCGCCCGGGTCGGGGTGCATCACCGAGGCCCGGGGGATGATCTGAGACCCCCGAGAGGGCCCGGCATCACGACGGGTTCACAGCCTTCCGGGTACCACAGTGCCCCTGGTACAGGGCCGACAGCCGAGTGGGGAGTGGGGGGAGACCAGGGCGCCGTATCACCCGCCTCGGTGCCGGGCGGGCTGTCGCTGCGCCGGTCACATCCCCCCGGGGCCAGACGGGAGGTATCGAGGGAGCGGCCGGAGGGGCGGGGCGGTGGCCCAGGTGGCGGAAAGCACGACGAGGGCAATGAATCCGCGGCACGCGAAGGCACAGGGTGAACGTGCTCCTGGATGTGGAGCAGCGCCCGCCCCACCCCGCCCCGCCCGCGGGCTCAGGCCGCGCCGCAGCGCCCCCGCCGCTCGCGCCGCTGCAGCCTCCGCAGGCGCCGCGTCCACGCGTCCCTCCAGGGCAGCACTAGGCTTCCGCGGGCGGCGCTGAGCCCGGGACCCCGACCCCCTGCGCCCCCGGCCGCGGCTCCGGGCCCGCCCCCCAGCAGCAGGTAGCGGCGGCCCGGGAGGAGGCGAGGACAGCCGCAGGCCGCGTCCCCCGCGGGCACCCACAAGGCGCTGCTCCCGCGCCGCGCGCGCTCCTCTCCGCTCCGGAACACGGCGAGCACGGCCACTGGGAAGCGCGTCCACGCGCCGCGCGCCTCGCCGCGCGCGCCCACCGCCACCTGCACCGCTGCGGGAAGAGCGAGAGGGGGCGGGGTCAGGAGGGGGCGGCCCGCGCGGGGTGGGGCGGGGAGGACGGTGGGGGCTGAAGGGGCGGGGCCGCCGTCCGTCGGGGACCTGAGGGATGGGGATGGGCCCTGGGGCCCAGCAACGGTCAAGGTGTTCCAAGGGGATGTTGGTGGAGGAGGGGAGGCGGGGAGAGGAGGAAGGTGGGCAGGTCCGCGGGAGGCCCGATCGCGCCTACCGTAGTCCTTCCTGCAGAACTTCTTCAGGCTGATGCGGTAGCTGCCACGGGCAGGTCTGCAGTGCGAGTCACAGTCTGCGCAGAGGGTGGGAGGCTGGGACACACTCCCATCCCCCCTCTCCCCACCCTCCTCTCCCGGAACCCAGAGCCCCCTCCCCTAGAATCATGCCAGTCTGGGGTCTTGTCCTGTGTCCACTCACCCTGGGGCTGCGCAGGGCTGCTGTCCTCAGTGGGTCCAGGGATAGGGGTCTCTACGGAGAAGGAGGGAGAATGGCCTGCGATGGAGGGGCAGAGAGATCTGCAGGGCTCCAAGAACAAACTGGGGACAACAGCAGGGAGCTGGGGTGATTCTGACTTGGTGGCTGAGGCAGGGCAGGCACTCACTAACACAGGGCGCCACTGGGGAGCGGCTCTGCTGGAAGCCAGGGGCGCAGCGATTGCAGGTGAGGCCGGTGACGCCGTCCTTGCAGGGACACTGGCCTGTGGTCTGGTTGCAGGTCTTGCCAGCAGCACCAACGGGGTGACAGTCGCAGGCTGAGGACAGAGGTGGGAAGGGCCTGGTCAGAAGCCTGTCTGGGTATTTGCGAAGTCACAGGGTGAAGGCCTGCAAGTCGCCAGTGGCGGGCTCACCCCTGCAAACCCGACGGTCACTCAGGGCGCGGCCAGGGTCTCGATAGAAGCCCTCCTGGCAGTAGTGGCAGTGGCGGCCGGCAGTATTGTGCCGGCAGTTGAGGCAGACACCCCCGCTACGGCGGCCGGACAGTCGGTACAGCTCCATGTTGAAGCGGCAGCGGCGGGCGTGGCCGTTGCAGGAGCAAGCTGCAGGGAGGGATGGGTCAGGGGCAGGCTGGCTGGGTCCAAGGTCCCCAGGCCACCCTCCAAGGCCTCACCGAGGCAGGCGTGGGGTTCCCGGGCCGTGGCCCGCTGCCATGGCCTGTCGCAGTAGAAGGGCTTGCAGCGGCCGCAGTCGGGGCCCTCGGTGCCGTGCCGACAGTCGCAGATCAGGTGGCCCTGCGCGTCCAGCAGGCACCGTGAGGCATGTCCATTGCACTTGCAGCGCCCGCCCACCTGGAGGTCGGTGGCTGCGTAGGAGTAAGAGAGGGACTCCGAGTCCCTGGGGTTGCCCACCGCGCTAGGCCTTGTGAGTTCTATGCGGATGTCGGTGGCGGTCACCCAGTCTTGGAGCACTGGGCTGCTGTCCAGGTCCAGGCCTGGTGGGCTGCTGTCCTGCATGCTGAAGGCCAGAAGGCCACTGCCATCAGGCTGGGCCTGGGGCGCTGGGAAGCACAGGGCCTCAGGCCCTGGACCAGCTGGGCCAATAGCAGGGGCAGGCAGGCGGCCATAGTCCAGGCCACAGTGGGAAGAGAAGAAGCCCAGCGGGGCCCAGCTGCGGCCATGGTCCTGCGACTTGAGCAGGGCCACGGAGGCTGGGGGTGCTGAGCAGAAGCGCAGGCTCACGAAGACAAGCTCGAAAGCCTTGCCGAGTGGCACCGTGAGAGTCACGTTGAGAGGTGCCCGAGGCAGCGACTCTGAACGCCAGCACAGAGGGCTGGCCGTGCCCCCTGCGGAGGTCAGGAGGGCGGCGGGGTGTGCCCGTCGCGGGTCGGAGGCGTCGCAGGCCCGAGTGGCCGGCCGCCCGCACGTGCTGGACGCCAGCACCTCGCGGCCCAGGGCGGCGTTCACCAGGCCCGGCACGCAGCCCCGGGGAGCGCCCCCCTCATCGTGGCAGGGGTCGGCGGGCGCCGGTGGTCCCGGGCTCAGGGCGGCGGAGAGCGTACCTGCCGTTAGCAGCAGCTCCCAGGGCCAGCCGGGCATGGCCGGAGCCGCCGCGGGTCAGCCAGCGGCCTGGCCCCAAGACGCTGCCCTCGGGGAGAAGGAGCCCCCTCCGCGGCTCTGCCCGCCAGGCCCCGCAATGCTGAGGAACAGAGCCCCCGGGCGGCCCCAGCCCGGCCCAGAGGTGGGAGCCGCGGCGGGCACGCCCCGGGCCCTGCGCAGCAGCGGGGATGTTGGCGCGTCCTCCCGCTGGGCCTGGAGCGATGACAGGCGTCGTCCCCGCTCCCGGTGCCTCCGCCCGCGGAGGCCCCACCCGCCGCCCGCCGCTCGCACTCACCCACCGAGGGCCGGGAGGAGTGGGTCTCCCGGCCTCCCGGGAAGGGCCGTGGGCGGGCGGGGCCTGCGGTGCACTGGCCGACGCCTCTTCCCGGCTGCAGCCAGGGCTAACGAGCTGTGCCAGGAGGGGGTGGGGGGCGCAGCAGGCGCAAGCACGGGCCCAGCCGGGGGCGGGGCTGCTCGGGTCGAGAAGCACGGAGGGAAGGGGAGGGGGCCTCATCGGCGGAGCTGGAATCAGAAGCAGATTCAGACGCGGGCTGGGCCAGCGGGGAAGAGGGCTGGGAGGCCCGGGAGCCAGGGGAGGGGCCGGGGAGCCAGGAATGCGCTGGCGGGAGGGGTCTGGAGGGGGCGGCTCAGCCTTCGCAGCCCGTGGGGGACCACCCAGCAGGGTCCTGGGCCCACAGCCAGGCCTTGACTGCTCATGGGGCTGTGCCACGTGCTAGGCGGGGGTCTGGGCCACCTCCTCCCTGAAGCCCATCAGGCAGGCAAGGCCCTGGGTCTGACAGCAGAGACTCTGGATGCTCCCTGGGTAGGGAAACCAGGTAACCACCCGTTGAAGGGTTATCCCCAAAGCAGCATCTACTCGAGTAGAAAGAACCCGGGATTGGGGTCAGGTCTGATTTTGAATCCAGACTGCTCCATTTCTGGCTGCACGGGTTGGGCTCCTGTTTCCTCCTCGGCCAGATGCCTTTTACTCAGCACGTGCTCTGGAGCTGTTGCATTTGAGGAGCCCGAAGTGGTATCTAGGAGGCCCAAGTGGGGAGCTGCACAGACTGGAGGGTCTCCTGCCTGTGTTGAGGAAGGAGGGCACCCCCTGGGCCTGAGCTGGGCTGACACGAGGCCAGCAACCCCTGCACAGGCCAGACTCTGATCCCAGTGCTCCCTGGGTCTGCAAGTTTCTAGTTACATCTCTGCCATGGGTTCAGCTGGCAGGGAGGACATGGAAGCTGAGGGTGTGATGGGGTGGCTCCTGGGTGTTCAGGGACTTGGTTAGCTGTTGAGGACCCCTCTGCAGGGACAGAGAGTAGGGTTTAATAATAGGAAGGGACTGGTGGCAACCCTGAGCCCACTGGCCCACGTCGCAGCAAGTTTGGACAGGGAAACTGAGGCAGAAGCCCAGCTGGGTGGCCTGGGGACTAGTGGGGAATGGGGCAGCTGTGTCTGGGAGCAACACCAGCAGAGGGTCCAGGGACAGCTCTGGTCAGAGAAATGTCCTTCTCTCCTACTTTTAGGTCCCCGACAGAGGAGGCCCAGCATCCCAGGGAGGGGCCAGGAACAAGTTCCCTGCGGGGGCCACCTCGAGGCCTGCATGCCCTGTTTCACATGGAAGGCCAGGCCCTGCAGATGGTGGAGGGGCCACGTGGGTGGACCCTGGACACAGCCAGAGATATGCAAGGACAACAGGAAGAGGATGGAGAGGCAGGAGCCTCACACTTCTTGGGAGAGGAGGGGCAGGAGGACACAGAAGCCTCCTGGGGGAAACTGAAGGACCAGAGGAGAGAGCAGGAGGGCCTGCCTGTGGAAGGGAGGAACAGGAAGACAGGGTGATGGGGCACCTGGCTTGGCTCCTGGAACAACTGACCCTGGCTGGTGCCCACCTTCTCCGGGTCACATGTTTGCGTATGACAGCCACAGATGAAGGGATGGGGCCACGGGAGCACTGAGCAGAGAGGACTGAGGGGCTCCCTCTCTCTGCCACAGGCCCCTGCCCCTCAGCTTCCTGATAAAGAGAATGGGAATTGTGTCCTTTACAAGGTGAGGGACCTGAGCCTGACAGGGCTCACGCTCTGCTCTGTGGGTCAAGCTTAGAGCCTGAAACTTCCCAACCACCTTCTTCAAGGTTCTTCTGGCTCGCAACCCCCACCCCCTCCCACCCCACCGCAATGGTGGGAGGCACCCTGCAGGGAGCCAGGTGAGATCATCACTTTGGGACAGTAGAGAAAAGCCCAGGCCTGACACAGGGGTTCCACTGTCCAGAGACTAGCCTCTGGGGAAACTCAGGCTGTCCCTGGACATCAGGGCCATGGCCAGATCAGGGCCACTGCCAGACTGGCCGACAGCCAGGCTGCATGCAGGTGGGACAGCGACCAGCAGCCTCTTCGACCTGTCTCCAGCTCAGCCACCCTGCGAGCCGGGACTGGGGTCTGCAGAATGACTGGTGGCTTCTGGGCTGGCGGAAAGTCGGTGCCTGGAGCTCAGCCCTGCTGCAATTGTTCATCTGGGTCAGCGCGGTGGGAGGCCTCGTGGGCCCAGAGGGCCATTGTATCACCAGCTTCGCCGGGAGGAGGCTGCTGGCCACAGGGCCTCTCCCAAAGAACAGACCTCTGCACACGTTCCTCTGCCCCCACCCCCAGTCCTCGCACACGGTGTTTGGGAGTTATGGAGGGCCTCCTCACAGCCCCCAAGCAGGACTTACTGCTCTCTAGGGACCCAGCCACCTGTCCCAGCCCCTGCCTGGGGCCTCACACCTCTCACTTCTCCACTGGCCCTGCCCCCTCGTGGCACCTTCCCAACAAAGAAGCTCCGCCTCCCCTCCCCCCACCTGCAACTCAGGCCGCAGCGCCGCGCCCCTCCCCCTGAGAGTGGCAGCTCTGGCTTTGAGGCACAGGCTGGGGAGAGGACATAGAGGGACTAGACAATCCCAGGCGTCAGGGAGCTGAGGGACTTTCTTGTAAGATGCCCATTGATTCAGTAATTCCTCGCCTAGCCCAGAACCTGCTGTCCACCCCCAGACGCCTGCAAGCCACCACATGTTCAACTGTTGCACAAATATTTATTGAGTGCCTATTATGCCGCGGGGGCTTACAACAGAGCTCCGGAGGCAGCCCCCAGGAGCGGTCGCAGCGGGCTCGCAGCGGCGGGTTGTGTGGCGCAGCCCGCAGCCCTACACCCAGCACCCACGCGCCAGGCCGTCCCGCCGCCGCCGCCCAGCTCTGTGGTCGCGCCAGCTCTGCCTGCCAAGCCAAAAGCTGAAATACGACGTTGGACGGAGGAAGAAGGAGGGAGGGAAACGGCCGGTGGCCTCCTCTGCCCACGGGGTTCCAGAAGTAACGGTTTGGGGCCGGGGGGCGGTGTGTAGGAGGTGGCCTCTGCGACCGCGCCTGGCACTGCGCCCGCCCGGCCCTTCACCGCCGCCAAGCGCGCCGGCACAGGAAGACGGCGGTCAGGAGCCCTGGGCCGGGTCCAGGCTGGGTCCCCGCGGCGAGGTGATGGCCTTGGCGGCTGCACCAGCCAGCGCGGCCACGGCACCGAATGGCAGGATGCAGCACGGCCAAGAGCAGGGCGCGCAAGGGCCCTGGAGGGCTCCGGAGCGCTCATGCCGCCTACGTGGTGGCTGCGCTCGGTGGGTGGTGTGGATGCCCCGCGCAGTCCCAGTGGCATTCAGGGCCCGCCACATCAGAGCCCATTGGCTACAGAGGCGGTGACGCCAGCGCGGACGCCCGGGAGTTCGCGCTGCCTCCTGGTTTTGGCGGGGAATCGCGGTGGGTGGGCGTTAGTCGGAGGGTGTCTCTTTCCCGCCCTGGACCCCTGTGTCAGGGCCTCCTCAGGGCCCCCACAAAGCTATCCCAGCCACCCCCCTGCTCCAGGAAGCCACCGTGCCCTGGGTGGGCCCCGGGATAGGTGGATCATCAGGGCCTGGCCGGGGTGGAGGGGGACAGCGTGCCTGCCCTCCTGGGGCACACATCCAGCAGGCATGGGGGTTAAACCAAGTCAGCCAGTGAAATAAGGCTGGGTAGGGTCCACCTTGCTGTGGAAACCCGCGGAGTGGACAGTCGCAGTGTGATGGGGCTTCCAGTGAGTCAGCGGCTCCTGCAGCTTGGGGTGCCCGGGAGTAGCCTGGAGACAGCAGTGGGGTGGTTGGGAGGGGTGAGGCTGGCCCACCTACTCAAGGGGTGTGTGACCCTAGGGCTGCTGCCAGGCTGCTGGGGGCAGGGGGTGGGGCTGCTGCCTCAATGCAGTAAGGACCATTGTTTTTGGTTTCCTATCTTGGTCTGTCATCGGGTCCCCAGCAGCCCTCAACTTGGGAGCATGTTTCTGGCTTGTTGGACTGTCAGGCCCTTTACAAGCAGAACCTCTGGCTATAGGCCGAGAGGCCACCTCGGAGCCACAGCACCATCACCCAGTCATCCCTGTATACCTGCGACGCTTCATCAGGCTCTCAGAAGACCCAGCTCTCTGGGTGCCACCCACCTCCTGTCCTGCTGCCCTGTCCATGGGGGCACCTCCGGGAAGGGGCTGGTCATCTTCCCTGCCGCGGGTCTCTGCCCACAGCTGGGCGTGGTGGAGCTCTGAGCTGTCTACAGAGCACCTGACCCCAGTCCCAAAATGCGTGGGATGCCCCCGGGCCCTCAGTGCAGGTTCCTTTAAAGAATGCCAGGGGCACTGGCCATGGCCCTATGGCCAGCATTTTTTTTTTTGAAACAGCGTCTCGCTCTGTCGCCCAGGCTGAAGTGGAATGGTGCAATCTCAGCTCACTGCAACCTCTGCCTCCCAGGTTCAAATGATTCTCCTGCCTCAGCCTCTTGCCTAGCTGGGACTGCAGGCACCTGCCCCTGCACCCAGCCAATTTTTGTATTTTTACTACAGATGGGGTTTCACCAAGTTGCCCAGGCTGACATGAACTCCGGACATCAGGTGATCTGCCCATCTCAGCTTCCCAAAGTGCTGGGATTACAGGCGTGAGCCACGGCACCTGACCTACTTATAATCTTGATAAATACACTCGGTATGTTCTTTTTCAGCGTGGCATATATCAACCAGTGATAAAACTTGATAAATAAAAGCAAAAAGAGCAAGTGCCCACCAAGTCTCATCCGGTGGGATTCAAACACATACACTTTCAGCGGGGCGTGGTGGCTCGTGCACACAGCGTGCTGGGAGGACACGAGACGGAAAGTTTGAAACCAGCCTGCCCAACATGGTGAAACCCCAACAATCAGAGGAAAAAAAAAAAAGCCAGGCGTGCTGGCAGGAGCCTCAGGCAAGAGAATCACCTGAACCTGGGAGGCGGAGGTTGCGGTGAGCCCAGATCACGCCACTATACTCTAGCCTGGGTGACAGAGTGAGACTGTCCCAAAAAAATCAATCAATACAAATGCTTTCTAAAGTAGCTTTAATATCACACAAGCAGCTCTTTGGTTTATAGTGAGAAAACAGAAGGAGCCAAGAAAGGCTCCCTGCTGGCCACTGGAGTCCAGGAGCCTCGGGAAGGCTGAGAGCCAGCCCTGACCAGCAGGCTGAGTCGTCCTGAGAAGAGCCAGTGAGGCCACCCCATCCACTTCACCAGGTTTCCCAGGGGAAGACATCCCCAATCCTGTTCTGAAGAGGGCTGAGGGGACGTTCCCTGGCAGGCCAGCGCCCAGGTGGTCCTGAGGCCTGGGAGGTGGGTGGGGGCAGCAGAGGAAAGGCTCACTCCACGGGGTCGTCTCTAAGGACGGTGAGGACACGTGCGCCTCCCTCACAGAGCAGGCTGTGCGCAGCCCGGCAAAGGGTCAGCCAGGGTGGTCCCTGCAGCTGTGTGGCGCTTACCACGGGGAGGAGTTCAGCCATCAGGACCTGGGGGCAGGGCAGGGCCAAGGTCTCAGGGCCACCTAGGCGCAGGGCAATCCCAGGACAGGCCTCAGGCCACCATGCTCTAGCCCCTCTCTCCTCCTGAGGCTCCATGCTCCATCCTGCTGTCCCTAGCCCAGTCTGACCAGTGCATTTCCCAGCCCACACACAGACCTCAAGCTCACCCCCATCCTCCTGGGTCCTGGGGAGTGGAGCAGTCCAGCCCCTACCCTCAGGTCCTCCTCCTCTCAAGGCTGCGAACCCCTGTGGCCCACAGCCCCCCTACCCCAGGTGCCCTGTTGCCCCCAACCTCCTCTTCCAGAAGCACCTTTTCCAAGTGGATCTGCTGTTCCAGCATGGCCACTCGAAGCCTGAGGGCTGCCAGGGTCTGCAGCTCCTGGGTGCTGGAGTAGACAAGCAGCTGGGGGCTCCATGCAGGATCTGTTCCACCCCCACAGGATGGCGAGGTTCTGGGGGGCCTCCCCACAGGACATGGTCTTGGTGGCTGTTCTGCTACCGCTGTGTGCACAAGAGAATGTGGCCTTTGGGGTGGCAGCTGAACCCAGAGTCCAGCTTCTCCTGTGGGCTGGTGCCTGCCCACCCGGCATGTGCATCACTTGCCCTGCCTTTAGCGGGGAAAGGTGGGCTTTCAGGACAGCCCCGTGCAAGAAGGTGTGACGGGGGCCTGGACTCACTGGTAGGAAGTCCTCTGTGGGGGGCCCTCTGGCTGTGGGGGGCTCTCTTTACCGTGTTTAAGCATGACTTTTGTAAGACTGGCTTTTCTTTTGACAAATGATGTATCTTCACTCTGAAAAACTTCAAGCAATTAGAAAATCCACAGGAGGAAGGAAGCTCTATAGTCCGTAAGTAACCACCTCCTGTATGCCAGGCCAGTCACCTCCCGGGAGCTGATTCACACACTACTTCTTCCATTTTTTTTGTTTTTGAGGTCGAGTCTTGCTCTGTCGCCCAGAGTGTCTCTCTCAGCTCACTGCAACCTCTGCCTCCTGGGTTCAAGCAATTCTCGTGCCTCACTCTCCCAAGTGGCTGGGATTACAGGCGTGCGCCATAACACCTGGCTAATTTTTGTATTTTTAGTAGACGAGCTTTCACCATGTTGGCCAGGCTGGTCTCGAACTCCTAACCTCAATGATCTGCCCACCTCAGCCTCCCAAAGTGCTGGGATTACAGGCGTGAGCCACTGTGCCCGGCCTCACATGCTTTTTCAAAAACGAGGTAAATAAGCAACTGCTGAGAGCAGTAACGTTCTGTGTTCAGGGAGCAGCGAGGAGGGCAACTGCCCTGAGGAAGGGAAGGCTGGCAGCTCCCACAGGACAACTGGGGAGACCAAGCACACTGGGGAGTGGCGTGGGAGGGGTGGAAGGGCCCACCAACTTGCTTCTGGTCCTTGGGCTGCTCACCCTTCCCTGAGGCACAGACAAGGCTGGCTACTGCGCCGTGTCCCCGGTCCAGACCTCAGTGCAGGTAGCAGGATGACGGTGGGGTCTCACCTGCACGCAGCTCCTGTAGCCTGTGCAGGCACTGGCCCACCATGGCCTGCAGCCCCTCCAGCGTGAGCAGGCAGCGGTACTCCTGCATCCAGTCCGTGGGGGCTGCAGAAGTCAGCGAGGGCAGGTGGAGTCCATGGCGGTCTGGAAACCCTCCCTGCACCCGCCCTCCACACTCCTCCCAAGACAGGCCCAGAACCACGCACCTGCTGAGAGCTCCTCCCTCATACGCAGTCTCAGCAGCGAGCAGGCCTTCCAAAGGCGCCCCGTCTCTGCCTCCACCTCCTCAGTGCTGAGCCTGGGCTGGGGCCCGCCTGACTGGACGTGGGTCAGGAAAACCTCCCTGTGGCCAAGCCCCTCTGCTCCCACCAACAACCAGGTCTGGGAAGTGGCCCTGGCCATCCCACGCCAGCCCTTCCCGGGGCTTCTCCGAAGACCCGCCAGGGTCGAAGCCAGAGGCCCCCGGGGTTCCCGCGAGCCCAGAAAGGATACAGCTGTCTGCATGTTCTGGAGGAAACGGGTTTTAGCAGCAGCAGTATCCGTGGTCTGCATGGAACGGAGCTGGGCCCACAGGCTGGGTGCACACATGGGGCACCCCAGGAAACAGAGGGACATGGTTATACCAGACAGCAAGCTGGGCCCTGGGAGGTAGGCAAGGGCCCGGGTGGGGACCCCAAGCTGGGTGTCTGGCTCTGCTGAATGCCAGGAGGGGCCTCCAGAGGCCGCAGGGAACCAAGAGGACACTGACTGGGAAAAGGGGATAGAGCTGACCAGCTGACAGAGTTTCAACATCACAGTGACCTCACTTAGCAAAGAGAGCAGAGACCCGCTGGAAAGTCTCTCAAACCTGTCCCTGAGCTGGTGATGCCTCCCGGTTCTCCTCTGCCCCTGCCTAGGCAAAGACCTGGCCTCACCTTGCGTTCTGGGAAGCCACCTTCCTGAATGCCACAGGCAGCCGCAACAGGTGCCTGTCGGAGAAACCTGTGTTCAGAGGAGCCTTGCTTTGCTCTGGGATCTACAAACCCCATCTCCTGGTCAGAGCCCAATCAGGGATGAACCTTCTTGGCCCCTCTCCCACACCTGACCCCACTAAGGATGAGCCCCCTTGGACAGGGCTTCCAGAGTGGCCATGGGAGCTGCGAGGTCCAGTGCTGCCCCAGTAGAGAGAAGAGGGGGCCCCGTGAGCAGAGCCCACCTGGAGCCTCTGCGTAGATAAGGGGACAGCCACAGAGGAGGGCAGGACAAGCTTCCCATCCTGAAGGTACCGACCTGGACACCGTGACACAGCTGCTTCCTTCTGCCAGCTTCTGAGCACGAGCCTCAGAGGTGTGCCCCAGGGCTCAATGCTGCTAATGCCCTGCCCTCCCTGTCACTGCAAATCCCAGACTCCTTGCTAGCCAGGGTCTGAGCAGGCAGAGACAGAAGTCCCTCCAGTGAAGGTCGGGGAAACCTACCCCTTTTCTTTGAGTGTGAAGACTTTTGGGGCCTGAGGCGCAGCTGATGGGGCCATTTGCTGGTTCCTGAGGCCCGGTCCAGGCCTGGGGGCCTGAGCTCCTGTCCTGACACGAGTCTTATCCCCCAGTGACAGCAGCTGGCACTCAGAGTGGCCCTTGGCAGGCACCGTGGTCTGGCAGGGGCCTTTGGTGGGTCTCAGGTCTGAAGCATGGCCACCAGCTCGGCCTGGGGTCTGGGGTGGGGCAAAGGCTATCGTGCCAGGAGGAGTGACAGTGGACCTAGATTTCAGGCTGGGGGCCTTGTCTGTTTTGCCAGCCTTAGCGATGCCTCTTCGAACCCGTACAGCCTTCTCCAGTGCCTGGGTCAGAAATTCCAGCTCTTTGAGGTCTTGTGGACTGGGTGTGCATGCTGAGAAAGCCAAGAATCATGCAGTGATCGCTCCTCACTGTCCCCAGGAGGGTCCGTCACAACTGCACGCTAAAAGGCCAGAGCAGCACCTGGGGAAGGTGGCGGTGGAGGTTTACCTGGAGGCGGGTCCTCTTCCTTAGTTTCTGGCCCTGGAGGTGGCTCCAAAGCCCGGGTCCCGGTTGGTTCCCTGCAAAGACGTGGGCAGCTGTTGCACGGCCAGCAGGTAGGGCCCAGCCCCTAAAGATCCGAGAGGGCCGCCGGGCCCCGCCGCAGACCCCCAGCTCAGAGCTTGCAGGGTAAGGGGGGGGTGGCACTGACAACCTGTAGTTCGGAAGAGGGCGGCTGGGCCCGACCTCCCAGTCCCGGGGGCTCGCTGCAGGATTCTGAGGGGCCGAGGGAGGTCTGGCCAGGGGGTCCCGGGGTCCGCCTACCAGGCCTGCAGCAGCCGACGACAGACGCGCAGGCTCTGCTCCAGCTGCAGCTGTCGCTCTGCGCAGGCGTCCAGGGCGCCCTGCAGCTCGGCCACCAGCCTGGGGGACGCACCGGCAGCTCAGCACCTCTGTTAGCGTCGGGCCTCCGGCCCCTGCCTGCCCGCCTGCCCGCTCCCTCCCGCCTCGCAGGCCTCACCGGCGCGAGCACTCCCGGGGCAGCATGAAGGCGGCGGCGACTCCTTGCAACTTGCCGCCTCCGAAGAGTCACGCCCCTTCCGGGCGGGAAGCCCGCCCCTTCCCGGCCGGGCTGCCCAATCCTGAACCACGGTTCGGGGTCCGTCCCCCGAAACTCTCTCCCCCATTACGGGGCAGTCTCAAGCCCCGCCCACTCCTGCCCCCCAGGTCTGGTGGGGACTCCCGCTCGGAGCTGGGTCCCGAGGCCGCCAGGGAGGGGACTGCGGGCGACTCTGGGCTTTTGGTTTGGGGAACTGGGTAGATGGGGGCGCCGTTCTCGCGCTCCTCTTGCAGGGCGCCTGTGCGGGGTATACGAGCGGCCCCATCTGTTCTACTCAAAGCGCTCTAACGCGGGGATCGGCCGTCCTGCTAACGCCGGGCCACAGAGCACGGGACCAGGCAGGAGGACAGCGTTGGAGATGAAGATGGCGCGTCAGGAGCAGGGACGAGGGAGGAGAAATGTTCACTTTTGGATACATGACGTCATAGCACTGGGTAGAGGGGAGGAAGCTCAGACCCTGGTGCAGTGGGCCTGGCAAGGTGGCCCCTGGTGGGGTAGGAGGCTCGGGTAGGGACAGGTGAGCCACGGAAAATGGGGCCCATGCAATGGCCAGGGAGGTGGAGGAGCAGTAGGACAGTGTCACAGAGGCAACGGCAGGAGGGAGCGGGCCACAGGCCAAGCACTGCTGAGGCCTAGGCAGTGTACACAGCATGAGAGGACAGGGCCTTCAGTGACAGGGGACGCCTAAGTGGAAGGGAGCAGGGCAGCGGGGCTCCACGTAGTTGGAGTTAAACAATAAAGCTGGGTGTGGTGAAATCCCAGCACTTTGGGAGGCAGAGGTGGGCTTATCACATGAGGTCAGGAGTTCGAGACCAGCCTGACCAACGTGGAGAAACCCCATCTCTACTAAAAATACGAAAAGTTAGCTGGGCGTGATGGCGCACGCCTGCAATCCCAGCTACTTGGGAGGTTGAGGCAGGAGAATCACTTGAATCTGGGAGGCGGAGGTTGTGGTGAGCACAGATCATGCCATTGTGCTCCAGCCTGGGCAAGAGGAATAAAACTGCCTCAAAGATAAATAAATAAATAAAATACGGGCGAAGAAATCCCAGGTGGTAGGTAGCTGGAGAGAGGACAGACCTGGAGGTGCCGTTTAAAGATGGGACAGGTGAGTCTGTTCCATAGTTGTTAATGGGAAGGTGCCATCGCAGAAGGGCACGGAATTGTCAGGGAGGTTGGGACCCAAGCAGCTCTGGGCCAGTCCTGGGGGTGGGCCCCTCTGTCAGCGGTGGGGGAGGCTGCCAGTGGCCCTGCCTCCCTGGAGATTCTCTGAAGGAGAAGGCTGGGAAAGGTTGAGTCAGGAGCCCACCACACGCAGGCAGTGCCAGGTCCCCCCAGAGTGGTTTCCTCCTTCACCATCCAGAGTTGGGATTTGGACAAAAGAGCCCCCAGAAAAGGGGCGGAGGCAGCAAAGGACATCCATCACTCACCTGCCACTATGCTCCTCATATTTAACCCTCACAACACCCCTGTGAGGTAGGGATCATCGCCCCTCTTACAAATGAGGAAACTAAGGCCCACACATGCCCAGGGGCACACAGCCAACAGGACAGGTCTACAGTTCCAACGCTTGGTTTCTCACCCCAAACACGCCCCACCCAGGGTGGCCAGAATTCCCTTCAAGTAGCAAAAAGACAGCTGCCTCAGACATAAACACACAGAAAAGTAGTCACTCAGTGAGCATCTCCCAGTCCTGGGCTTCTGGTTCAAGAGCATTTGAGGGCCAAGGTGTGGTGGCTCATGCCTATAATCCCAGCACTTTGGGAGGCCAGATTGAGAAATCACCTGAAGTCAGGAGTTCAAGATCAGCCAGACCAACATGGTGAAACCTCGACTCTACTAAAAATCCAAACATTAGCCAGGCATGGTTGGGTGCGTAATCCCAGCTGCCCGGGAGGCTGAGGCAGGAGAATCTGGGAGGCAGAAGCTGCAGTGAGCTGAGATCACACCACTGCACTCCAGCCTGGGTGACAAGAGCAAAACTGTCTCAAGAGAAAAAAAAAAAAAAAAGCATCAGGGGACTCTTCTTACATTTTCAGAGGAAACAGAAGAGGATGGCAGCAGGATGAGTGTGCTGTGGTCAGCCCAGCCCCGGGGAGAGGCCACGGTCACCTGGCTGGAGGCAGGCTCCCCAGGCATGGGCTGCTGTCTCCCAGGCTCCCTTTTCATGTGAGACCAGAGTCTCCGTGGCGAGCGGGAAAGGCTTAGAGCATCTGCCTCCCTCCCTCAGGTGCCCAGAGCAGAGCTGCAGCTGGGATCAGCCAGGACGTGGCCCCAGACTGCTCTGCTCGTCTGCCTCGGTAACCTCAGATGTTACAGAGGACTTCAAGTTTTTTCTGGTTAGCATCTCTGGGAAAATTCTTTTTGCATAAAGAGTGTCAGGATGGCATTGAGGGGCGGGAGTAAGATTTTTGTTTTGCAGTTAAGCCTAAATAACGGTGGGAATCTTGTTTTTTTAATACCCTCTGTTGTAAGTTTTTCTCATTTGCATCTTAGAAGAAGAAAATTTAGAAATAAAGACAGGAAAAGAATGGCCCAGAAATTCAGCACAGAGAGGTGTTCACATTGACACCATCTGTGGGTCAGACAAATGTCTCTGGGACAGAGCTCTAAAATGACTAACATGTCGTAGGGAGTGGGTCTGTGGCCAAGGTAGTCCACGCAGTATGCAGGGACACAGGCGCCCTGGCGACAGGAGCCCTGCCCAGAAGGAAGTGGGTGCCCACGCAGGCTGAGGTGGATGAGGGGACACACTGAAGGGACAGTGGTGTGCTCTGCGCTGCCAACTCCCCCCTGGGGCCCCAAGCCAGACAAATGGTGGGCTCAAATGGTGTCTGACTACCCAGGGCACACGTGCTCTGAGTGAAGGCTGTCAGCTCCCGGCACGGGGCTCTGGTGGGGCTGGGAAGACCAGGACACACACAGGCCTCCAGAGACACACAAGTTTCCAGAGACAGTGGGACCCAGAAGGACAGAGTGGTGCCCTCCACGCAATGCGGCTGGATTGCTTTGAGGCTAAACTTTTTAGAGGTGGATCTGAGCTCTTCACCCTCATTTGGACATTCTGATGACTCACATGACGCCCAGGGAGAAAGAAACTTGGTGGCCACAAGTCACACCCTCTGCTCTGTGCGAAGGCCGCCGGGGTCTACGCAGCAATCCTATGTTGTGCTCCCACCCCGCGAGCAGCCCCCCAAGTACACATCCACCGCGACACACACGCTGACGCAGTCACAGCCTCACAAGCTCCAGTTCATGCCCTCCTCCTCACTGTGCACACACAGATTTTTCCACTTCACCTGTTGCTGGGGAACACTGCCCTCCGGGGGACTTGGGGGACGACACTGTAAACATGGCTTCCTGGCCTGATGGTGGTAGGGCTGTGTGCGCAAGTCACCGTCCAGAGACAGCACTGAGGTAGATCGGGGCAGGACCCCCAAGCTGCCATCCACAGAGCCTGTGGGACTTGCGGTGCTGACAGAGGAGTACCCTGAGGTCGTGATGTCCTTTCCTGGCTGCTGGCTGGTGCAGAGCGGGGAGTCGGGTCCTGGGACTGCAGGGATCTGGGTGTCCAGCACCGACACCTGTGGGTCCTGGGGACCCTCGTCCTCTGGGCAAGCCTCCTCATCACTGGATTCCTGGCAGCAATGCTGTTCTGGGTTCAGGTAGACCACGGTGACATCGAGGACGCCACTGGGAGCTGTCACTGCAGGATGGTTGGTGGGGAGGGAGGTTGTGTCACACTCAAGCATCAGGGGAGACCCCTGCCAGGTCAAGAATCTTCTACCTCACTATGGACCCATGTTGCCCTCCTGTGGTGAGAAGCTGTGGGTGACAGGGCTCTTCCAAGGTTGGACGGCTGCCTGCCATGACCCCAACAACAGTGGAGATGACAAGCTGGCCATCTACCTCAAGCCAAGTGGACGTAGAAACAACTGGGAAGTCGCCAGGCCTTGTCCTAACTGGGCTTTTGGCAAGGACCCCTGCGGTCTGCCTGGCGTTTGCACAGGGCACTGATCCCAGAAGGGCAGCGAGGAGTGTCATGTATACCACGTGGGCACATCCCAATATTCTAGAAAGAATGCCCAGGCTAGAGTGCAGTGGCATGATCATGGCTCACTGTAGCTCCTGCCTCCTGTGCTCGAGAGCCTCCCGCCTCGGCCTTCTGAGCAGCCACCACACCCAGCTAATTTTTAAATTTTTTGTCTTGCTATGTCACTCAGGCTGGTCCTGAACTAGCCTCAAGTGATCCTCCTGCCTCAGCCTCTCAAATTGCTGGGATTACAGGCATGAGCCACCACACCTGGCCCAGAAAGATCTTATCATGAGCTCCAAACTGGGCCTCTACCTCCGCAACCCTAGTACGCCCTCCCAACACAGAATCAGCAGGTGCTAGATAGGTGTGGCCTAAGCCCTCTGGTCCCTGTGTGGTGGGAGGAGCCCTGAGCTGGGGTGTTTTGGGGGCTCTCTCCCCTCCTCTCACTCTCCTGGTGTCTGGACATGCTCCCCTGTGGGGCAGGAGCTGGCCCCGCCCACAGGCCCTGCGCTGTGCACATCCTCCTCCCTCCCACAGCACACACACAGGGCCAGGTGCGCGGAGGCCCTCAGTGAGGGCGGCTGTCTGCAACGTTCCCTCAAGTGCACCGCGGCTGCCCACTCACCATCGCCCTCCTTCTCGCCCTCACTCTCCTGGTCACCTTCATAGCCGGAGCAGCAGTCCAGGCTCCAGTCGAGGAAGCTGCCCAGCAGCGTCTCCTCCTGGCTGGACAGCTCCGCAGTAGGGGTGGTGACGAAGCTGCCCCTGTCCTCCTGGAAGCTATTCTCCCGCTTCCTGCAAGGGGGAGACAGCCCAGGAGACCCGGTCATGGTGGCAGCACTGGGAGGCTGCGTCCTCCGCAGCTGCCTCTAACACCTGCATGCCCGGCCTGTCACCGCGTGCTCCCGAAGGGTCTGCTGCATACAAAATGCCAATGAAGCTAGAACACGTATAAACCCTTGAGGCGGGGCTGACATAAAGGGCAGCTCCGGTGAACTCAGGCCACAGGTCTGGGTGTGAACCCCCGTGTACCTGGCTCAGCTGTGGGGCCTATGCCAACCACCTGGTCCCTTGGAAACCCTAAGATGATGCCACTCTCCAGTGATTTTTTTTTTTTTTTGAGGTGGAGTCACTCTGTCACCCAGGCTGGAGTGCAGTGGCACAATCTTGGCTCACTGCAATGTCTGCCTCCCGGGTTCAAGCGATTCTCCTGCCTCAGCTTCCTCAGTAGGTAGGACTACAGGTACGCACTATCACACCCAGCTAATTTTTGTATTTTTAGTAGAGATGGGGTTTCACCACGATGGCCAGGTTGGTCTTGAGCTCCTGACCTCAAGTGATCCACTCACCTGGGCCTCCCAAAGTGCTGGGATTACAGGGGTGAACCACCACCACGCTTGGCCCCTCTGGTGTTGACTGATAAGGGGCAGGCAGTGCTCAGCCCAGTGCCAGGCAGACTGCACGAAATGGTCCGGCCTTGGGCAGTGCTCGCACCCACACCCACCTGGGGTCAAGTCTTGACCAGGATGGGGCTGGAGGCCAGAGTTTGAGACTGAGCCTGGGAAAACCCACCACACCAGCCAAGCCTTTCCATCCTGATCCCAGGGCCTGGGAGGAAGGCAGGGTGGGGAGAGCTACCCCAGTGTCACCCATGAGGGTCTCTCTCAGAAGACTGATGGGGTTGTGATGGGCCTGTGAGAAGCGGGTTTGACAGTGAGGCTGAGCACAGGGCCAGGCCCCTCCCGGAGTAGTAGTGTATGTCTGCGTGGACTCTGGACAGAGTCAGGGTGTGTGTGAGGAGTGAGACAGGAGGGCCAGGTCTCCTGCCTTCCGCACAATGGAAAGTCCTGTCATGCTTCTCAGGGAGAAAAGTGGCAGCAGCAGGGGCTTCGGCTGCTTCCCCAGGGCTCCCAGAAGTTTAGGGTCTCCTTCCAGGGCCCACTCCCCACACAACACTCTTAGAGGGAGCCCCGCCTGGTCCTGTGTTGACAGTCACCCAGTGCCTGCCCTTGGGAAGTTCACGGGTGCCCACGGTGCTGAGGAGTCACAGAGGCAGGCCAGCAGCACAGGGAGGGCCCTGCTCATCTGCGCTTTGCAGGGTACAAGCTTTCCAGATGCCTGAGGTGGAGAGGGGAAGTCAACTCCCGGAGGAACAGCCAAGCTACTGAGATAGGAGAGGGGGGTCCACAGGTCCGCACGGGGCGAGGGAAGTGCTGGGGATGGGAATAGGTTACAGCTGGAGTGCTGGAGTGACAGCGGCACCATGGACCAGAGAAGCCCAGGATGCGGGGAGGGCTGGAGCCGGGGCCGGGTTCCCGCATGCTCTAACCATCCACAGGAAGCCCAGTCAGGACGAGACAACAGCCTGGAGGAGGAAGACCTGGGCCAGAGATGCTGGAGGTCACGCAGGGGCCCAGGGCCTGACAGCAGGGCTCGGTCCCAGGGTCGCTGTCCTCGGATCTGCTGCTCCCCTGACAAGCCTTGAGGGCCTCTCTGTGTGAGGAGGCAGCACCACTGAGGGAACTGGGCTGGGACGAGGGATGACTAACCGTTTGCTTCTCCGTCCCGAGGGAGAGCTGAGGAAGGCGTGGATCTCTCCTGTGCTGAGGAAGGTTGGGGGGTCGGGACTGTCTTGTGTCACCCCTAATGCCGCACACAACTGGCTGTAGCTTAGCACCTGAGGGGAAGCCAGAGTTAGGGGGCACAGAGGCCCCGAGGACAAGGCCCACCCACACCCCGGCACCCCATGAGATGCCCAGGTGTCTGGAGGGAGGCACCTCTTCCTGGCTGATTTCTCCATAGCGCTTGTCCTCAAATCGCTGCTTCACGGCGGTCAGAGAGACTTGCCTGTAATCCTTGGGGGCGTCATCGTGGAAGCTGGAAACAGAGTCACATGGAGTGGACACGTGAGGCACCCCCACCCCATTTTTGGCAGCAGTTCGCCCAAGTGAGCAATGAGAATATGCAAAATGGTGCAGTCACCCTGGAATCTGGCCTGGCAGTCCCCCAAATGGTTAATGCAGCCACCATAGGACCCAGCAATTTCCCTCTAGGTAGAGACCCAGGAAAAAGGAAAACCTATGTCCACGCGGAAGTCTGTACTAGAATGTTCATCACAGGACTGTTGACAAAAGGCAAAATGTCCTATCCAGCTGCGGGCTGGATAAACACATGTGGTCCCTGCAGTGGCGTATTATTCAGCCATGAAAGGAACAAGGCAGGGACACATGCCACAACATGGACAGACCCACAAACATGACACCCAGGGAAGTAACCCACGCACAAAAGGCCACTTGTCCTGTGACTCCATTTATACAAAATGTCCAGAAGGGGAAAATCCGTGGAGAGAAAGTAGACCACTGGGGGTCGCCTAGGGCTCAGGCAGTTTCAGGGAATGGGAGGGTGACGGCTGAGGGCTGTGTGGAAATGTTCTAAGTGTGACTGTTGTGACGACAAGCACAACTGCGTGAATGAACTAAAGCCCATCAAATCACAATGAAAGGAAGTTCAGTTTGTGAATAAATGTTTCTAATTTACCTGGTTTGGAAAAAAAAATTAACTTCTTCAGGAAGAAGAGAATAAACACAACCCAGAAACAGCCAGTGTCAGGGGACGATCTGTGCTCCCCGTAAACAAAGGTGGGGGGTGAGATTCACACTGACCCTTCCACTGTCACCCTTGTTCCTTGCCCAGAAGGCACAGAATCTGGGCACTGCAGGAGAAAGCACCAGGAACCCTGCACATGCCGAAAGCCCAGGAGATGGCACCAGGAACCCTGTGGCTCTAGCCCAACATTGGGGAGAAACAGCAGATGGGCCAGAGAAGGGGCTGCTCAGGGGCATCGGAACCCCCCGGGAGTACTGATCTCATCCTAAAAACCGACAGTAAGGCCCTGGGTGGCACACACAGGACTCGTGCAAGGCGGCTGCCACAGAACTCCAGGAGGCCAGGCAGCCGCCACGTAGGGCTCCAGCCCCTAGGCTGTGAGTGCAAGAGGAAAGTGATTTGGCGCGGATGCAGGGATAGAGAAGCAGCCAAGGCTGGTGGAGGGCTCGGCTCGGGGAACAGGGCTTCGTGCACAACACCAGGGCTAGAACAGGCCATTGACTAAGTCACGCTGGCAGGGGGGTGGCAGGTTGAGGTTGAGATGTGCTGAATCCTGGAAGTGGTGAAGTCTCCCCGGAAAGGCGTCTGAGGAGTGGCAGAAAGCCAGAATTCCCTGGCCCCTTTGGGTAGGGGAGAAGAGAGACCACCACCCATGCCGCAAGGTCTAGTTCAGGAAGCCGAGGGAGGGAGGGTCAACGTAATGCCGGCTGGAGAAAAGCCCACCCGGGCCTGGTGTGGTGATGTCTGTGGTTTCAGCTACTCAGGAGGCTGATGCGAGACGATCCCTTGAGCCAGGGAGGTCAGGACTGCAGTGAGCTAGGATGGCACCACTGCACTCCAGCCTGCTCTCCAACTCAAAAGGAAAAACAAAGCTCACCCCAGCTGAGTCTGCTGGATTTGACTGAGGAAAGGGAGGTCATGGCAGAAGCAGAGAAGGGGGAGACTACAGAGTGGGGGTGCTGAGAGGTGGGAGGAGCAAGTCTGTGAGCACAGCTGAGGAGGGGAGAGGGAGGTGGCCTGGCCAGATGCAAACTCAGCCCCATGCGCATCCTCCGTGCCCCACACTGCCATGATTCCACTCACGGCCCTGGCATGGCTTCCCCCTTTGCTTGGGACTCAGATGCTCAGGTGCCCCCAGCCGCACTCTGTGCATGGAGCCACACCCGCCCATGCTGCCTGACCTGCACCAGCCTGCTGTTTCTCCCGTCACAACCTGACCTCTGAACTCTCTGTTGTCCTGGCCTCTCCCCCAGTACCCCGCCCATGGACTGCTTGGAACAAACCAATGTTTCTGAAGGAAGCTGCCAGAGCAAGTGAAAGGGCTCAGGTGCAGTGAGGGCTGGGCCAGACCCAGCACACAGTAGGGCAGAGAAGCCAGGGCGGGTATAGAGAGAAGCCCAGCGGGGCTGGGGCAGAGAGGGGGCCACAGCTGGGCACAATGGGGCAAGGGACCCGCCTGCAGGCTCCATCTTCTCAATGAGATGGAGGATCATTCTATCCCAACAGCTGCAACAGGGCAGATGCCATTCTCTCAAGGGAAGGGGAGTATTATCCCACTGGGGACCACGTGGTCTCTGCTGCACTATGAAATCAGCCACTGCCAGAGCAAGAACAGCTGCAGACAACGTGGAAACCAACGAGGGTGGCTGCTGCCAAGAAAACCCCGTTCACAAAAGCGGCCAGACGTGGCCTGAAGCCACGGTGTGCCAGCACCTGAGCTAGATGACAACCCGTCACACACGAAGTTACCACAGGTCAGAGAGATGCCCTCATCTCTTCTAGCATGTTCTGCTGTCCAAACTTGGGTTGGGAGCAGATGCTCTAAATGCGAAAAGGTGTGGAAAAAAAAAATGGTCTGGAAATTTTTTTTTTTGTGGGGAGAGACGGAGTCTTATTCTGTCACCCAGGCTGGAGTGCAGGGGCATGATCTTGGCTCACTGCAACCCCCACCTCCCGGGTTCAAACGATTCTCCTGCCTCAGCCTCCCGAGTAGCTGGGATTACAGGCGTGTGCCACCACACCCAGCTAATTTTTGTATTTTTAGCAGAGACGGGGTTTCACCATGTTGACCAGGCTGGTCTCAAACTCCTGACCTCACGTGATTTGCTTGCCTTGGCCTCCCAAAGTGCTGGGATCACAGGTGTGAGCCAGCATGCCAGGGCAGTTTTCTTTTTTCTTTTGAAACAGAGTCTTGCCCTGTCACCTAGGCTGGAGTCCACTGGCATGATCTCAACTCACTGCAACCTCCGCCTCCTGGGTTCAAGCAATTCTTGCGCCTTAGCCTCCTGAGTAGCTGGGATTACAGGCGTGTATCACCACGCCTGGCTAATTTTTATATTGTTAGTAGAGGTGGGGTTTCACCGTGTTGGCCAGGTTGGTTTTGAACTCCTGACCTAAAATGATCTGCCTGCCTTGGCCTCCCAAAGTGCCAGCCAGAATTTTTAAACATCAGCGCTGAGGAAGCCCTCCTGTACCTTGCTCACTGAAGGAAGATCTGCATGTGACTGCCAGTTGTCTCAGGGGAAACAGATGCCCTCAAAGGGGCTCGAGCCCCACCCACCGTGGCGCAGTCTCATCAGAGGACTTGCTTCCTTCGTACTCACCACTTCCTATGAAGGCTCAAGACGCAGGGAATGAGGTCCTCAGAGGAGAATCCGGTGAGGTCCCACAGCTGAGTGGTCCAGGGCTGTGCTGGGGAGGAGAGCAGGCAGTGGATGGAGGGGCTGTGGTGACAGCCACCTGACCACTCCCACCCGGTAGCTGGGTGGGTTCTGCTGTGGAATTTCCTGGAGCTCAGGGTTACAGTCTTTTAAAAATAGTTTTGAAAAAAACCCACACAGGACGTACAAGCTCAAGGTCAGAAATCTGGGACATACTGAAGCTAGGAGCTGTGCTGTACCTCGCCCCCGAGAAGTAACCAGGACAAATGGAGGCTGGACTCTTCCTCCCCAGAGCCTCCTCCTATGTGAGCACCTTCCCTGACACAGGCATCCCCGGGAAAGGCTGTTCCTTACTCTGCCTGTGTGTCAGCCTGGCCAGGAGCAAGGCTGCGGCGGCCAGGCGGGCCGGGGCGTAGGCAGACAGGCTGGTGTGCAGCAGGGAGAGCTCACAGAGGAAGCTGCACAGGTGCTGGGTTCTCGGCTCCACAGGGACTAGCGTCAGCAGGACCTCCTTGTAATCCACCACAGTGGGGACCTAGGCAGCAGGGACTGGGTGTGGGCTCTCAGCTCTCAGAGCTCATTTGCGCAGTGCTGCGTCCAAGCCTAGCGTAGGGTGTAGCCCAGATGAGTCCACGCCAATGCTGTACGTGCAGGGCACCAATGCAGATGGCGATACGGTGCAACCGGGGCCTCCTGCTCCATGGCTCTGGGCACAGCACAACAGCTGCCCTCTGGGTCCGCGAGGCCCTCCCACAGCAGGAAAGCTGCATGCCCCCCACCCCACCCTCCCGCACAGCGAGAACTAAGATTAACGAGGAAAATGGAACCACTGCTTACTCGAATCTTCCCTTCCAGGGCGGAGACGATCTCGCCCATCATTCTCACTAGGTCCTCGTACTTGTACGTGTTATCCGTGAGCCACACAGCCTCCCGGATTGTCAGGATCTCTTTACTGATGAACCTGCAATGCCGAGAAGGGGTCTCGGTGCGGAGCCCACTTCCTGGGGCAGGGGTGGGAGGCAGGGACCCAAGGCTTTAGGAGGCTTCGAGGTAGGGAGGGAGCCACGGCTTTAGGCTTTGGTGACAAAAGGAGGCTACATAACGGACCCAGCTGCCTGCGGCCGACTAGTGGAGGCTCAGGCAGGAGGAAGGCTCAGCCAGCAGTTCGAGACCGCCCTGGGCAGCAAAACAAGACCCTATCTCTACAAAAGGTTAAAAAATAAAAAATTAGCAGAGCATGGTGGCATGCATATAGACGCCCAGTTACTTGGGAGGCTGAGGTGGGAGAACTGCTTAAGCCCAGGAGGTTGCGGCTACAGTGAGGTATGATTACACCACTGCACTCCAGCCTGGTGACAGAGCAGGTCCCTGCCTCAAAAAACGAAACCAAACAAAACAAAAATGTATCTAATAATAGTAGTCACAGGAGGAGGTCAGAAAGTACTGGAAAGAGGGATGAGAACCACAAGGCAGACAGAAGGCTGCAGGGCTGTTAGACACACTCACAAATGCCTGCAAGAGGCCTGAGTGCCATGAGCATTCAGTTTGCTGAAAAGCACCAAGGACGGAGACTTGCCTGTCACGTGACGGCTCTGTGAGTGGGGTGGAAATGTTTTAGACCCAGAAGGTGGGCGAACCACCACATCTAGGAATTGGAGGCAAAGTGCCCAAAGATTGTTGCAAAGTCTGCCCGGCACTGTGTGGCCGCAGAAATCCTGACTGTCCCCAGGCAGTGATCACCCTGTTCTCTGCCATCTACCAGCACCAGCTATCAGGGAACATGCTGCTCCAGTGGCCCCCAGAGCACTTTCCCCTGGGACTGAGGCCAGGTCCCTCGGCTGCTCCGTCCTGGGGCCTCTGCAGGTTGCATGTGCCATTAGCTTGACCGAGAGGACAGGAGGCACAAGGACCATGCCTGCCAGTGTGCGGGCTGCAGATGCCAAAAAGACGAGATGTCAGTGGCCAGTGAGAGCCCCACGTGGGGTGCAAGGTGCCTGGCGGAGCAAGGAAGGTGCTGCTCTGAGAGCAGAGGTGGAGAGCAGCTTAGCCTTTCAAACTTTCTTTTTTTTGAGACAGGGTTTGCTTCTGTCACTCAGGCTGAATTAGTACAGTGGCACGATCTCAGCTCACTGCAACCTCCGCCTCCCAGGTTCAGGTGACTCTCATGCTTCAGCCTCCCGAGTAGCTGGGACTACAGGTGCATACCACCATGCCTGGCTCATTTTGTTTTTTTGTATTTTTCGTACAGACAGGGTTTCCCTATGTTGACCAGGCTGGCCTCAAACTCCTAAACTCAGGCAATCTGCCCACCTCAGCCTTCCAAAGTGCTGGGATTACAGGCATGAGCCACCGTGCCTGCAACACCCACTTAGGAAAAAAAAAGAGTAAGGCAGACATTATTGGAGGGAGCCATGGTGACAGTTATATGGACCACTGCAACCGGGTCTTGTGGAAGTGGACTCAGCTCACTGAAACGTTATTCTCTCACGGCCAGCCGGTCTGCCGCCAAGGAGCCGGTCATACGCAGTTAGACACAGGGAGGCAGCTGCTCCACCTTCTCAGGTCAGAAGACCTGGGACGCTGGATTCAGGCTGAAGAGCACATCTGAAGACGGCTCTGCATGCTTGCGGCAGGGGCTGCCCCCTCTTTCCGTGGGAATGACACTGCTTCGAGCTGCTGCCACACGCAGGCCCACAGAGACCACACTTCCTGGTTCCCGCTGGTGAGATGTGGCCACAAGACTAGGCTAAGTGCAAAGGTGAATGTGACAGGTACAGGTGTCCCAGGGACAAGGGGAGCACCCTAACTGGTGGCAGAGATTAAGATGGGAGATGGGCTTCCTTTGCTTCCTCGTGAAACAAAAATCATCCCAATGACCTGAGCCTGGACCCTCTGCCTCTGGGTTACTTTTGCAAGAGAGAAACAAGTCTCTGTAGCGTACGTATAAGCTGTGTGCAGCCAAACCTATCCTCACCCACCAGGCACTACAGATGAGTCGGTCTGGAAAGCCCTTCCTAGGGAGGTGTAGACCATGCTGGGGACAGCAGGTTTAGGAAATGCGAAACGTAGTAGGAGAATCATTTCCACACTATTTCCAAAGGTGGAACTAGGGGATCCAGCATTGGTCAAAAAAGCAGCGGCCTGATGTGAAAAGTACAGGCCACTGTGCGAGGATGCACCCTGCCGCTGAGAGCCACCTTTGTGGTTGGCGTGGGCACTGCAGGGCACCAGTGGGGGACAAAAAACCCTGGACTCCAGGAGCATAGGAAACTCTGGCAACAGACTTCAGAACCTAACTTCAGAGAACGGCAGCTGACTGCCACCCTCCCTAATCAGTCACCCTGCCGTTCTCAGGAGCCAGGGGACAGGAAGTCTAACCTGTGGCTGCCAGAGTGAGGCCGCACTCCGGGTCCTAGTCACTGTGCCATGACGAAATGCCTGGATGCAGGTGCCCCACAGAGCAACCCCACATGCTGAGGGCCATTCTGCCACCCCTGCCTGCGGAGGGCTCTCAGCTCAAAACTTCACGTCTGACCAGGTGGCTCATGACTCAAGAACGCTTGAGGGCCAGGCACAGTGGCTCATGCCTGTAATCCCAGCACTTTGGGAGGCCGAGGCGGGTGGATCTGAGGTCAGGAGTTTAAGACCAGCCTGACCAACATGGTAAAACCCCATCTCTACTAAAAATATAAAAATTAGCTGAGTGTAGTGGTGGGTGCCTGTAGTCCCAGCTACTCAGGAGGCTGAGACAGGAGAACTGCTTGAACCTGGGAGGCAGAGGTTGTAGTGAGCCGAGATCGCGCCACTGCACTCCAGCCTGGGTGAAAGTTAGACTTCATCTCAAAACAAAAACAAAGAACCAGTGAGGGGCACATGAAGGGCAGTGCCCTTGACCCCAGGGAGAGCCAGTATGTCCCTGCTGGCCAGACGGAGGGGGCTTCTTACCGGGTGCAGATGACCATACAGGCAATGCCCAGCAGCTGCAGCGTGTATCGCGGCACCAGCCTCCTCCGAAGGTAGCGGTCCACACACTCCACGGTCAGGTGCAGGCACAGGCTCGTGAAGTCCTTCATGGTGGCGACTTCCACCAGCCAGTCGATCAGAATGTACCTGTGGATACAGCAGCAGCTGAACTAGGGCAGGTGTCCCTGCTTGCAATTTCAACTCCACCTGTTGGGCCTGACCAAATCCTAGGTAGCTCTAGAATCATGGATGTACCCTGGGACCCAGGCTGGGGAGGCCATGTCCCAGGAAGCCCGGGAGGCTCGGTGGGAACCCAGCCCCAAAAGCAGGCCCCACACCCTTTGACGGGGTTCCTGCGAGGTGGACAGACTTGCACACCTGTGCACCCGTCTCCCTCCTAGAGGACCACACGTTCCCAGTGTTCCAAATCACAAGCGCTATGAGACTGCAACCTGGCACGGAGTAAAAAGTCAGCCCATAGCTGTTTATGCAGCAATCAGCGCTGCACCTTGGGGCCTGCAGGTAGCAGGGGACAAGGGAATGCCACAGGACATTTGCAAGGGAAATGGAACACAGACGGCTGCAAGGGAATGCCACAGGATACCCAATATGGTAAATGCCTTTCTGAATAGAATGGAGACATTTGTGTCTTTTTCTTTTTTTTGAAACAATGTCTCACTCTGTCACCCAGGCTGGAGTGCAATGGCACAATCCCAGCTTACTGTAAACTCCACCTCCTGGGTTCAGGCGATTCTCCTGCCTCAGCCTCCCTAGTAGGTGGGACTACAGGTGTGCGCCACCACACCTGGCTAATTTTTTAATTTTTAGTGGAGACAGGGTTTCACCATGATGGCCATCCTTGTCTTGAACTCCTGGCCTCAGGTGGTCTGCCTTCCTCAGCCTCCCAAAGTGCTAGGATGACAGGCACGAGCCACCATACCCAGCTGCAGATGCTTGTCTTCAAGCAGAAGGGTCAGAGTGAACAGAATGTAACAGGAATGGGAGGATGTGTGATTCTGCTGGACAGGCAGAGCAGGTGTCAGGCGTTACCCCAGACAGAAGCATCTTCAGTGGTGGAGGGGAGGAGAGGAAGATGAGCCGAAGCATGAAAAGAAGGGCAGAGGAGAAGCCGATCAACCTCTATTTCGTCCTAGAACAGAGACCATGCAAGGGCCAGGTGTTTAAGGTTTAAACTGGCCGCTACTGTGAACAGACTAGGAAGCTTACTAAAAGCAGATGGATTTAACAAGCGTAAAGATCTGGCTTCTAAAAACCACCACTGGGCCGTGCACAGTGGCTCACACCTGTAATCCCAGCACTTTGGGAGGCCAGGAGGGCAGATCACTTGAGGTCAGAAATTCAAGCCCAGCGTGGCCAATATGGTGAATGCCCATCTCTACCAAAAAATACAAAAATTAGCTAGGCGTGGTGGTGCATGTCTATAGTCCCAGCTATTCAGGAGGCTGAGATGGGAGAATTGCTTGAACTCAGCAGGTGGAGGCTGCAGTAAGGTAAAATCATGCCACTATGCTCCAATCTGGGCAACAGGGCAAGATTCCACCTCAAAATAAATAAATAAAAACAGGCCTGGGCAAGGTGGCTCACACCTGTAATCCCAGCACTTTGGAAAGCTGAGGTGGGTGGATCACGAGGTCAGGAGTTCAAGACAAGCCTGGTCAAAATGGTGACACCCCATCTCTACTAAAAATACAAAAATTAGCCAGGTGCAGTGGCAGGCACCTGGAATCCCATCTACTTAAGAGGTTTGAGGCAGGAGAACCGCCTGAACCCGGGAGGCAGAGGTTGCAGTGAGCTGAGATCGCCCAATTGCACTCCAGCCTGGGCGACAGAGTGAGACTCAAAAATAAATTAAAAAAAAAAAAAAAAAAAAATGGACCACAAAATTATATACTTTAAAATGGGGAACGCACCTTCACTTTTTATCAGATGCTGCATTTCCCTGGCAAATAAATTAAAAACAAACAAACAAAAACAAAGCCCACACGCGAGTATCAACAAACCAAAAAAAAAAAACAAAAAAGAAAGAGCAGACCAAGGTTAGAAGGTGTTATCAGCCTATTTCTTCCAACGGACAGAGGGAAGGGGGCTGCCACCACCACACAGGCAGCACAGAACTCAACAGCACTACAGCCTGGTGCCATTAAAAAAATGTATATATATTTTTGAGGACAGGGTCTTGCTCTGTGGCCCAGGCTGGAGTGCAGTGGCATGATCATAGCCTTGAACTCCTGGCCTCAAGTGATCCTCCCACCTTGGCCTTCCAAAGTGCTAGGATTATAGGTGTGAGGCACAGCACCTGGCCAGTGTCATTTAATGTAGCACAAAGCGGTGCTATATCCCTAAGACTGTGTGTGAGTTTGAATGTGCGTTTGTAAGAAAGGAACATCAGCCCTCTCTTGGGGAAGGAATAATAGTTCTTTTTTTAAAATAGAGATGGGGTTGGTCTCAGATTCCTGGGCTTAAGTGATCCTCCCTCCTCAGAGTCCCGAATACTAGGACTGGCAGGGTGTGGTGGCTCATACCTATAATCCCAGTACTTTGGGAAGCTGAGGTAGGCAGATCACTTGAGGACAGGAGTTCGAGACCAGCCTGGTCAACACGGTGAAACCCTGTCTCTACTAAAAATATAAAAATTAGCCAGTTGTCGTGACACATGCCTATAATCCCAGCTATTCAGAAGACTGAGGCAGGAGAATCACTTGAATCTGGGAGGTTGCAGTGAGCCAAGATCGCACCACTACACGCTTAGCCTGGGCGACAGAGCAAGACCCTGTCTCAAAAAAAAAAAAAAAAAAAAGCTAGGCTTACAGGTGTGAGTCACCATGCCTGGCCTGATCATTTTGTAAGTACATAAATGTTCACTGAGTGCTCATTATGCACTGGGTGTTTGAAATCATGCCACTGCTCTGCTGAGTGGGTAACCAGAGGCTTCCCATTGTAAATCCAAACTATCTGAAATCTCATGTGTAAAGTTGAGAAATCACTCGTGTTTTCCATTTTACCCTGCAACGCATTCTGTGATTCAGTGGTTAGCATGGCAGCTGCCCTGGACGGCAGGGCTCCCGAGGGTCACTGAGTTTCATGTGACATACTGATGCTCGCAGACTGGCCATAAAGAAGAGGCTGTGTCTCAGCTTGGGGAATGTGAATCTCACCATCTCAGCTGGTGTTTGAGACATTCGATGGAGGCTGCCAACAGTAACTCACGCCTGTAATTTCAGTGCTTTGGGAGGCCGAGGCAGGCAGGTCGCTGGAGGCCAGGAGTCTGAGACCAGCCTAGCCAAAATGGCAAAACCCCATCTCAACAAAATGTATAAAAATTAGCCAGGTGTGGAGCCTGTAGTCCTAATTGGGGGACGGAGGTGGGAGGAAAGCTTGAGCCCAGGAGGCGGAAATCACAGTGAGCAGGGTCCACCCTGGGGTGACAAAAAGCCCATCAAAAAAAAAAAAAAAAAAAAAAAAAGGTATTCAATGTGTTCTGTAGCTTCAAAAAGATCACTGCACTGTGGGAGACTGGGCAGGAGGATCGCTTGAGCCCAGGAGTTCAAGATTAGCCTGGGCAACATAGTGAGATCCTGTCTCTACAGAAAATACAAAATCAGCTCTGTGTGTTGGTGCACGCCTGTAGTCCCAGCCACTAAGAAGGGTAAGGTGAAAGGATCACTTGAGCCTGGGAGGCAGAGGCTGCAGTGAGCTGAAATCATGCCACTGCACTCTGGCCTGGGTGACAGAGTCAGACACAGTCTCAAAAAAAAAAAGAAGGAAGCAGAGTAGGATGTTTTCTTCCAAAAAGTCCATGATAACTTAGGCATTACCGGTTTTAAAAAACACCCAAATGGGGGTATCTGGTGAGGTGATAAAGGGGACTCTATGCTGCCCCATGGCGGGTGACTGGGGAAAGTGGAAAGGGCTCCCTTCCTGGAGGCTGCCGGCCGCGCTGCTCTGATTGGAAGCCCCGGCCTGAATGTCTCACCTCATTGTGTCGTTGAGTCCCTTCTGCACGGAGAAGACTTGCTGCTTACTGACAGCCTGGGAGGCCTGAAACAGCTGGCAGACGATCTCACTGGAAGCTCTCACCTCCAGTCCAAGCTGGTTTCCATTTGCACAGGCTTTGGCTAAAGACAGCTGAGGGAAAGACAAGCAAGCGCGTGAGGCGGCAGCCGTGTTGCAGTTTCTGTTTCTGAAGCAAAGGCTTATTGAGGGAGCAAACGCATGTGGAAACATCGCCCTCCTTACACTAAACCTTTGCAAGCTTCGGGAAGAGGCTGACCAGGGCTTTTGTTGTTGTGGTGCAGTCTTGCTCTGTCGCCAGGCTGGGGTGTAGTGGCGTGATCTCGCTTACTGCAATCTCAACCTCCTGGGTCCAAGCAATTGCCCTGCCTCAGCCTCCCGAGTAGCTGGGCCTACAGGTGCACCCTACCGCGCCTGGCTAATCTTTTGTATATTAGTAGAGACTGGGTTTCACCATGTTAGCCAGGATGGTCTCAACTTCCTGACCCCATGATCCACCCGCCTCAGCCTCCCAAAGTGCTGGGATTACAGGCATGAGCCACTGTGCCTGGCCTCAGATTTTAATTATTATTCTTTTTTGAATAAGAAAGAGGCCGGGTGCAGTGGCTCAAGCCTCTAATCCCAGCGCTTTGGGAGGCCGAGGCGGGTGGATCACGAGGTCAAGAGATCGAGACCATCCTGGTCAACATGGTGAAACCCTGTCTCTACTAAAAATACAAAAAATTAGCTGGGCATGGTGGCACGTGCCTGTAGTCCCAGCTACTTGGGAGGCTGAGGCAGGAGAATTGCCTGAACCCAGGAGGCGGAGGTTGCGGTGAACCGAGATCGTGCCATTGCACTCCAGCCTGGGTAATGAGCGAAACTCCGTCTCAAAAATAAAAATTAAAAAAAAAAAAAAAAAAAGCAAGAGATGACATGATGAAAGACGTATGATGAAACATGAGCTGCCTTTCCACCCTGGTGGAGGTCTCAGTTCCTTACATGGGTAATGCCTGGGGCAGCTGTGTTAAGTCTCCGGCCACACGCCCCAGTGCTCTCTGAAAGGCTTATGCCAGTGTTTACACTCAGGATTAGGAGAACCTGCTTCATCACAGCTTCACACCACCAAACACTGTGATTATGAAAAACAGCTATTTTCAGAAGTTACTAGCTAGCCACTCAAAAACATGTACATAAATCTTGCTAATGTGATCGGCCCAAAATATCTCATTTAAAAGTGCACCTAGGACGAGTAGTAAGGTTGAACATTCCAATTCCTAACCAGTTGAGTTTATTTCCGCTTTTGATTTATTTTTTTATTTTGGGGGGCCAGGTTCAGTGGCTCACCCTTATATTCCCAGCACTTTGTATTCCCAGCACTTTTGGAGGCCGAGGAAGGCAGATTACTTGAGGTCAGGAGTTTGAGACCAGCCTGGCCACCACGGCAAAACCTCGTCTCTATTAAAAATACAAAAGTTAGTTGGGTGTGGTGGCAGGTGCCTGTAGTCCAGCTACTCAGAAGGCTTGAACCCAAGCAGCAGAGGATGCAGTGAGCTGAGATCACACTATTGCAGTCTAGGCCAGGCAATGGAGCGAGAACTCCTGGTCTCAAGTGATCCTCCTGCCTTGGCCTCCCAAAGTGTTGGGATTACAAATATAAGCCACTGAGCACGGCCCTATTTCCTCTTTTTTGACAATCAACAGAGGCCGTCTCAACTTCCATCAGGGTCTTCCTATTCTTACTGATTACCCTGAGTTTCCAACAGACCTACATTGTTGCATTTCTTGTAAAAACTTTTTGTTGAGATGGGGTCTCCCTCTGTAGCCCAGGCTGAAGTGCAGTGGTGTGATCACAGCTCACTGCAGCCTTGACCTCCTGAGCTCAAGAGATCCTCCTGCCTGAGTAGCTGGGACTATAAGGCACACACCATCACATCCAGTTAATTTTAGAATTTTTTGTCGAGATGGGGTCTCACTATGTTGCTGGGCTGGTCTTGAACTCCTGGGCTCAAGCGATCCTCCCAACTCAACCTCCTAAAGTATTGAAGTATTGGGGTTATAGGCATGAGCCACCACTTCTAGCCTTCTTGTAAATCTGTTGACTGACATTTTGGACGTGAACACCACAGTGTGTCATTAACAGGTTGGGCTGGGCCATTATCAATCTGTAATTTTGCTCCTAGCATGGGAGCACGGATCACTCTGCCACACACTTGGTAGGGTGACAAGAACAAGCTTCTGTCTATTTGGCAGAGGGGCTTTCTTTGATTTGCCCTGATAACTTCTTTTTTTGAAACAGAGTCTTGCTCTGCCCAGACTGCAGTGCAGTGGCACGATCTCGGCTCCCTGCAACCTCTGCCTCCCAAGTTGAAGTGATTCTCCTGCCTCAGCCTCCTGAGTAGCAGGTGCCTGCCACCATGCCCGGCTAATTTTTGTATTTTTAGTAGAGACAGTGTTTCATCATGCTGGTCTCAAACTCGTGACCTCAGATGATCCCCCCCCCCCCAGCCCCACCCCCGGCCTCGGCCTCCCGGAGTGCTGGGATTACAGGCATGAGCCACTGCACTTCCTTTTTTGGGGGGACAGACTCTTGCTCTGTTGACCAGGGCTGGAGTGCAGTGGCATAACCTCAGCTAACTGCAGCCTCCGCCTCTTGGGTTCAAGCAATTCTCCTGACTCAGCCTCCTGAGAAGCTGGGATTAAAGGTGTATGCCACCACGCCCAGCTAATTTTGGTATTTTTAGTAGAGACAGGGTTTCACCATGTTGGTCAGTCTGGACTGGACTCCTGACCTCATGATCCACCTGCCTCAGCCTCCCAAGATGCTGGGATTACAGGCGTGAGCCATGGTGCCTGGTCCCTGACGACTTCTTTGCAGCTGTGAGGGGAGAGTCTACCGATGCTTGATCTCCTGTCTCTAGCCCTGGATGACTTGGTGAGCAGGTGACCTGGCAAGCAGGGCAGTAATAGGAAGAGGGAGCAGGAAGGGACCCCACATGCTCTCAAGGAGCCTCGAGTTTTGTTCTACTTATGGGATAACTTTCAAGAGTGGTACAAACTTTGACAGCAGCTGTAGATCATAAGCATTTGAAAATTAGGAGGCTGCCGGCTGAGAGGAGAGGGTGGATGGGGAGAGAGTAACATCCCATTTCCCAGCTCGTCTCGAAGTGTACCTGTCCCTTTAAGACTCAGTTCCAATGCCGGGCGCAGTGGCACACACCTGTAATCCCAGCACTTTGGGAGGCCAAGGCGGGCAGATCACCTGAGGTTGACAGTTCGAGACCAACCTGACCAACATGGAGAAACCACGTCTCTACTAAAAATACAAAAATTAGCCAGGCGGGGTGGCGCATGCCTGTAATCCCAGCTACTCCGGAGGCTGAGGCAGGAGAATCACTTGAACCCGAGAGATGGAGGTTCCGGTGAGCCAAGATGGTGCCACTGCACTCCAGCCAGGGCAATAAGAGTGAGACTCCATCTCAGAAAAAGACTCAATTCCAGTCCTGAACTGATCTCCTTTTTGTTTGAGACAAACTTCCAGTCTTGTCTCCCAGGCTAGAGTGCAATGGGGCGATCTCGGCTCATGGCAACCTCCGCCTCACCAGTTCAAGCAATTCTCCCGCTTCAGCTTCCCGAGTAGCTGGGGTTATAGGCACTTGCCACCCCGCCTGGCTAATTTTTCGTATTTTTAGTAGAGACGTGGTTTCTCCATGTTGGTCAGGCTGGCTTTGAACCCCTGACCTCAGGTGATCTACCCTCCTCGGCCTCCCAAACTGCTGGGATTACAGGCTGAGCCACTGTGCCCGGCCTCCTGAAGCCATCTTATGGTTTCCCTGAATCCCAGCCTCCCATGCGGGAGCCCAGATAGTCCTGCCCCAAGGCTGGAGGGAGAAGAGCTGGCTCCCCATGTCGTCGCAGCCCCGGACGTCACCTGCGCTTCCCAGCAGCCCTTGGCAGCGTAGTCCCTGAGTTTTCGGAAGCTGTGGAGACTTCGCCCAGGATCTGACATCTGTCAATGGGAGAAGATCATCGAGCCTTTACACCGCTGTGTCTCGGGAGGGACGGGTACCAAGACACAGAAGGGCCGACGCTAAGCTAACTTCCCACCTCTGCTCTCTCAAATGGCGGGAGTCATTTTGGGGGTTTGCCAAGAATAGCCAAGAATAGCCGACTGTCCAGTGGCTCCTGGAGGCTGAGAGGCTGGGAGCAGCAAGAGCCACCTCCCTTTTGCAGACAGAACCGCATCCAAGGACCAGCATCAACTGTGCCTTTGTCCAGCGTTAACTCCGCCCCACCCAGAGCAGGCTCCACTCACATCTGTCCTCCTGTCGCTTTCCCAGAGGAGGTATGCGCTGCTCAGACATCCCTGACGAGCAGCCTCTTCAAACAGGTCCCGAGCCTGCTGCTGCTTTTCTTCATCCTAGAATAAATCCCAGCAGAGTTCATTCTTCTCTTATTCTTTTCTTTTTTTTTTTTTTTTGATACAGTTTTGCTCTTGTGGCACAAGTTGGAGTGCAACGGCCTGATCTTGGATCACTGCAACCTCCGCCTCCCATGTTCAAGCAATTCTCCTGCCTCAGCCTCCTGAGTAGCTGGGATTATAGGCGCCTGCTACCACACCCTGCTAATTTTTGCATTTTTAGTAGAGACAGGGTTTCACCAGGTTGGCCAGGCTGGTCTCAAACTCCTGGCTTCAGGTGGCCACCCACCTTAGCCTCCCAAAGGGCTCGGATTACAGGAATGAGCCACTGCGCCTGGCTATTTTTGTTGCTGTTGAAACAGAGTATCCCTTTTGTCACCCAGGATGAAATGCAGTGGCGCAATCTCGGCTCATTACAACTTCCACTTCCTGGGTTCAAGCAACTCTCATGCCTCAGTCTCCTGAGTAGCTGGAATTACAGGTACCCACCACCATGCCTGGCTAATTTTTGTGTTTTTTTTTTAATAGAGATGTGGTTTCACCACATTGGCCAGGCTGGTCTCGAACTCCTGACCTCAGGTGATGCACGCACCTTAGCCTCCCAAAGTGTTGGGATTACAGGCGGGAGCCGCTGCACCCGGCCTCCATACTCGTAAGTTGTAACACACGTTGCCCCGAGCTTTACTAACATGAGTTACTGAAATCAGAGCAGAAATGGCTTCTCTACAGACACCATTCCACACCCAGCGAGGAGCATGAACTCAGAGCTCCAGCCACAGAGGCCCTGCTCTCTTCCTAGAAGGGTTTACATTTGGGCTGGGCCTGCAGGCTCCCTGGTTCGGCTCTGCACCACCAAAGGCCTGCCCTTCTCACCGCTGCCAAAGGAACTGCCCTGAACCACCACAACAGTGGTGGTGGCTCTCGGGGCTTCTCCTCAGTGTCCTTCTCGGATGCATTTGCCATGCCTGTCACTAGAAGCCACCACGTTCCTGCGATTTGCCGCAAAGGGGCTTTACGGATCACGAAGCCCATTAGGACATCGAGAGCAGAGAGGTCCACATGAGCAGAGGGGAGGCCCAGCTCCTGCGATTTCCTCTGCAGTTCTCATCGCCCCCACTCATCCGCCAGCTGGGGCACAGAGCCAGGACCACAGCCTGCTGCCGGCCCAAGTGTGCCACCTGCCTTCCCCAGCTGGGCCTTCCTGGGCAAGGCTTGCCTTTGGTTTTGGGCCTTGGACGCCCCCTGCTGCCGCTTTTCACTGCCAGTCAAACACAGTCCAAGTGTGGAGAACAATGTGACTCACCTCGAACAGACTCAGCACTCTGCCCAAGCAGTGCAGTATGGATGCTTTGTGAGTCTTAAAAAAAAGGAGAAAGAAGTGTGATTTCCAGCAGAGAGAACTGACAGGGGCCGTCCCTCCCCAGTTTGTGTGTCTTTGGGTCCCATGCCCATGGCCCTGCTGCCTGGCCCTCCCTCCCCTGCAGAGGGCCACTCCAAGATTTGAGTCTTGTTTTTTTTTTTCTTTTAGTGGAAACAGGGTCTCGCTCTGTCACCCAGGCTGGAGTACAGTGGTGTAGTCACAGCTCATAGCAACCTCAACCTCCCAGGCTCAAGCAATCCCCCCACCTCTGCCTCCTAAGTAGCTGGGACAACAGGTATGCACCACCACCCTGGCTAACATTTTTGTATTTTTTTTTGTAGAGACGAGGTTTCATCATGTTACCCAGGGTGGTCTTGAACTCCTGGCCACAAGCAATTTTCCAGCCTTGGCCTCCCAAAGTGTTAGATAACAGGCATGAGCCACCACACCCGGCCGGATTTGTGTCTTGGGCTCCAACTGCTGCATACAGCCTCAGCCCCATGTTTCCAGCCGTCAGCAGGTGTGCCCAGAACTCTACAGCCCACCCTGGCTCTCAGGCTTTCTCCTCTCCTGCCAGGTAATTTCAAGATGCTTTCCCTACATATGCACTCTGTTTTCTGCATCTTCACTTCTCTTAGGCACCTGACTTTCCAGGGTCCAGAGCCTACCCTCGGGGTGTTCCTGGGACCCTGCAGGTGGCCTCACAGGTGCTGCTGCTGCTCGCGCCTCGCCCAGACTCACCCTCTGCAGTTGGGACTCTGCCCTGAGGCTCTCGTGAACCACGGCCTTGCAGCAGCTTCCACTCACCGACCACGGAGGGCGGATGAACAGCCAGATGAAGGGCACGGCACCAGCGTTCAGCCGCTCCGTGAGACTGAAGAAGTGAGAGGCCTTCAGGCCATTCACTTCCGCACGGGCCTCATCAGACACAGACACTGCGGGGACAGACAGCACAGGACCCAGGGATGTCTCTTGGGCGCAGAATGTGGAAAGTTCTGCATGGTCTTGGTGGACAGCGTAAAGCCTAAAGCCCACCATAGTGCAGTGTAGCTGGTGTTTCAGGAGGGAAGAGCCCTCCAGGATGGGGGTACCTGCCTCTTCTCCCCCTACTTGGTTAATGTCTAGAACAGAGGGGTCATTGTGATCAAGGCCCCTGCTACTCTCCTCCCAGAAGCCTGGATTCTGAAGGTAAGGGGGAGGAGACCCTGCCACGCTTCAGGTCCCATCCTCCCTCCAGCTGGGAACCGCTTCCTGACTCCCTGGTAATTGGTCCAGGGCACGGGTGGGGGCTCTTTTTGGGAAAAGGAGAACATTCTAAAATTAGACAGTGGCAATGGCTGCACGACCCCGTAAGAACCACAGAGTTGCGCACTTTAGATGGGTGAACTATACTGTGTGTGAATTTTATGTCTGGGAACTGCTCTCTGATGGGAGGGTGGAGAGAGGACCTCAGCTTCCCTGATCCTGGAGGAGGGTGTTGCTCATGGTCACTCCCTGTCAGTCACCGAAATCCTGCCAGCTGGCAAACAGGAGACTTTCCCAGCAAGACACCAGATTGTTTAGAAGTAGGAATGTGGCAGGCAACACCCCGGTCTTTATGTGTTTTAGGAGCTGGGACAGGTCGTGGGCTCATTCCTTGGGGTGCTGAGCAGATAAGCGGGAACTGGTAAAAGAAAAGGTTCTTTTAAGAAGCAGCTGGCCTCTGGGGATGAAGAAATACAGGCACCAGGCCAGCTCCGACCTGCCCGTTCCTGCTTCCCGTTTAGAAGCTTGGCTCTGTGTTACTAACTGTGTAATAGAAATTACATTGTTTGACCTCGGTCTCAGAGTTCTCAGAGGATGGCCAAGGAGAGGGCCAGCATCCACACGTGGGCCTGCGTGCTCATGGCACAGAGGGTGGGAACTCAAACAGCCCCTGTGGAGGCTCTGGCTTAGTCACTCTTTGCAAACTGAAATGAAAGGGTCTGCTAAAACCAGAGCTGACTCCCTCATAACCTACGAAGTCAGAGTATCATTAGCGGGTCCCTTAGCAGGTACATCTGGGCACAAGCTCCTGAGAGGGGATGGGAAGGTAGGCCATCAGATAGGGCAAAAACAGCAACTGAACTGCTAACACAGGGACCACCACTTCGTAGGGCCAAAGGCTCACGCTTATCTAAAGCGCCAACATGCGGGCGGGGTCAGGACTTACGGCCTTCATTGTAGAGGTACGCTATGCCCAGCTTCACAGCAGCTTCGAAATTCCCCTTTTCAGCAGCCCTGAAATATTAAGAACATAAAACATCACAATATTTTATGCCACAAACATTATGAAGTACCACAGCACTTTAAGTCAGAACATTCGATCCCTGAATCACACACACACACACACACACACACACATATTTTGTTTGTTTTTGAGGAAGGGTCTTGCTTTGCTGCTCAGGCTGGATCACTGATCCAGCAGTGGTGTGATCATGGCTCACTGCAGTCTCAACCTCCTGGGCTTAAGCCATCCTCCTACCCTGGCCTCCCAAGTAGCTAGGACTACAGGCATGTGCCACCATGCCAAGCTAGTTTTAAAAAATTTTTTTTTTTCTAGAGACAGGGTCTTGCTACGTTGCCTAGGCTACTATCAAACTTCTAGGCCCAAGCGATCCTCCTGCCCCGGCCTCACAAAGTGCTATGATCATAGGTACGAGCCATGACGCCTGGCCCTAAGACATTTCTTTATGTCTTGTAGTCGAATACAAATTATCCATTACATAGCAGGGTCTGTGAAAGCCAGTCTCAAAAGACCATGTGTTGCATGATTCCGTGTGAACTGCTCACAAGACGCACATCCAGAGTGACAGAAAATCGATTAGGGGTTGTCTAGTTTCCAGGATTGTGGGGAAAATGGGAAGTGACTGCTGATACGGACAAGCTTTCTTCTTGGGGTGAGGGCAATGTTCTAAAGTTATATACTGGTGAATATCTAGGTAACTCAATATACCAAAACCAATGAATTACACGTTTTATTTATTTATTTATTTAGAGACGGAGTCTCATTCTGTTGCCCAGGCTGGAGTGCAGTGGAATGGTGTCAGCTCACCGCAACCCCCACCTTCCGGGGTCAAGCGATTCTCCTGCCTCAGCCTCCTGAGTAGTTGGGATTACAGGCGCACACCACCATGCCCGGCTAATTTTTGCATTTTTAGTAGACGGGGTTTCACCATGATGGTCAGGCTGGTCTTGAACTCCTGATACCTTGTGATCCGCCAGCCTCAGCCTCCCAAAGTACTAGGATTACAGGTGTGAGCTACTATGCCCGGCCACATCTTATTTTATTTTTCTTTTTGAGACAGTCCTACCCTGTTTGACGTGATTTTGGCTCACTGCAACCTCTGCCTCACAGGTTCAAGTAATTCTCATGCTTTAGCCTCCAGAGTAGCTGGGAACTACAAACGCCCATCACTGCACCCAGCTAATTTTTTTATTTTTAGTAGAGACAGGGTTTTGCCATGTTGCCCAGGCTGGTCTTAAACTCCCCACCTAACGTGATCCACCCACCTCAGCCCCCCAAGGTGCTGGGAATACAGGTGTGAGCCCCCACAACCAGGTGAGTTATATATTTTAAATAGGTGAACTGTGTGATGTGTAGATCCTGTCTCAATAGGAAATAGACACATTCCAGCTGGAAGCAGCTGAAGCACGGCCCCAGTAACACGGCTGCCTGCCTTTGCTGGCTGGCTGTCTATCTTGATTTCTAGCAGGTAGAAATCGTCTCAGGTGGACGAAGGCCACAGTGAATCCCCATCAGAAAAATCCCAGCCTGAGCTGTGGTTCTTTCATTTGTTAAGCTCAAGCTAGGCCTGCTTCTGAGGGTGCCCTACCTGGGCCCATGAGCACATACGAACAGGGTGTGGGGTGCAGGCTGGGGTGGAATCTGCCAGTGAGTGAAATGCCATAGGATAGAAATTACATTGTTTTGACCACAGGGAAGGAAGGCTGAGTGAAGTTTCCACAGGAAGGTGACTCGTGTCTGGGTCATGGGGGAATCAGTCACAGCCCTCTGGAGGCATGGCAGGCCCATGTCAGTGGCATGGAGAATGACTGACAGCACGACCTGGTGGAAGGTGTGTGGCTTGCACGGCCTGATGTGTGAGGTCTGCCGCCCTCAGTCACTCCCCAGAGCATGAGGTAATGTCATGGGAGACAGCAACAGGAAAACGTTGCTGAAGCAGGCCTCGGGACACAGGCTGGCACATAGAAAGGCCAAGGCAGGAGAAGACCAAGCCATTCTTAGGGTGCAGAGATACCTTTCAAAGAGCTTCAGATTCCCTGGAGATGGCCACAGCTCCTGGAAGCTGGCACATGCCCACACGCTGGCATGGTTGTCTACCAGGTCCTTCAGCTGGGAGTGCACCTGCAGAACAACAGAGATGGTCATGGAGGGACCACCTGAAATGAAAGCCCCATGCCTGGAGGCTCTTGAGGATGAGGTGCAGACGAAGGGTCTCCTGTCTCCCTCCCATGCCAATAGTTAAGGTCCCCAATCTCTGTGCGTGAAAGTAACCATCACTTTGAACAGACAAAAGAGCCCCAGATATGCATTTCTCTAAGGTTCTAAAGGCGGGCGGAGGACAATGGTCCTGGGAGGAGGGGACAAGCACTCAGGCTGAGAAGGAGGGTTCGACATCCCTGCAAAGGTATCACCCGCAAAGACCAGGGAAAGTGACTTTAAACGGGGGCGGGCAGGACGGAAATGCGTTTTGTGCCTCCCTGCTGGGGGCCTTGATAAAGGGAGTGTGAAAAACAGGTCACAGGGACTCAGGGCAAAGAACGACACCCATGATGGAGGTCTCAGGTAGAACCTGAAGCCTCTGCGCTGGACCAACACAGAAAGTGTCTGGGCCAGGACCCGGAGCACAGGTAAGCATTTTAAATGCCAAAGTTTCCACTGACATTGGAAAATCAGCACTTCTTGGGGTGCATACAGTGTGTCACACCTGCAATGGAGGTGGCTTTGGGAGTCAGGAAATGCATTCTTGCTGGAGTTTTCCCATGAATCCAGTGTAGACTCTAGGTTAAGTCACTGAAAGTAAGGCTACAGTCCCAGTATCTAGAAGATAACCCCTAAAATCCATTTCAACGGTACCTGTTCCATGGGATTTGTATGTAAGAATATATTTTTATCCTTTTAAACACTATTCTGTTATCTAAGGGATGCAAATTTCACTGCCATAAAAGGGTACTTTCTCTGTTGACACCACAATGAATAGCGGCAACCTTAGTGTGCTGGGAGACAGCAATAGAAATTTCTGTAATCAGAATGTCTCAAAGGAAGCATCTGGTAATGTCCTTGTTTCCTTTGCCCTCCTCTTTTTTTTTTGGATACAGGGTTTCGCTTCCATTGCCCAGGCTAGAGTGCAGAGGCACTATCATGGCTCACTGCAGCCTGGACTGCCCGGGCTCAGGGATTCGTCCGGCCCCAGCCTCCCAAGTAATGGGAGTACTGGCATGCGCCACCACACAGGGCTAACTTTTGTATTTTTTGTAGAAACGAGGTCTTGCTATGGCTGGTCTTGAACTCCTGGGCTCAAGCGATCTGCCCTCCTAGCCTCCCAAAGTGATGGGATTACAGGCGTGAGCCACAGCACCTGGCCTGCCCTCCTTTTTAGCCAGCTTTGCTCTGACATTTAAGAACGCAAGGCCTTGATGGTATAATCAACAACGCTAGGGCTCATGCTGTTTCCATCTGGGGACTCACAGCTCGGACTGCCAGGATGTCTTCCACAGAAAGCCACTTCAGGATGTGAAACAGCACATCTTCGGGGAGACTCAAGATGGTCAGGTTTCGGGGCCTCCTTCTTACTCTTCGCTTTGTAGGATAACAGAAACACTTGGCACACCTACAGTGGACCACTTAAGGAAAAAGAGACAGAAGCCTTGATAAGATGAAAAGTTACTCTACATACAACCCTTAAAGGAAAAAAAAAGGATAAATTTCCATCTGAAGATGATCTAACGGTTACTATTCCCTGCACCACAAAAGAAGGAATCATGCTTCTTGTCTCAAACAAAGATTACGCATAGGAGTGGCATTGCAGGAATTACAGAGGACATCATTCATTTTCAAATATTCAACAAATATTTGGCAAATGGCACCCATCATGTAACTTAGCTATTGGGAAACCTTCTGATCCAGGGCCCACAGACACCCAGGGAGGGGAAAAAGCTGCCAAGGCTGAGGACGGTTTTCCTCACATTCACTCTGAGGAAAGCCCCTGGTTACCCCGCGACCCCTGCCCTGGGTTAAAGGGCTCCAGCCCGCCCTCCTCAGCCAGGGACTCTCCTCTCGACGGACCCCTGGGGCCTTTGGGGGATAGCTTGCTTTTGCCACACATGACCAGGGTGCGTAATGTTCACTAAGGATCTGTGGGCTTGAAGCGTCGTGTTTTCAAGTCCAAATTAGAAGGGTCGGCCATGGAGAGCAGCCACAGACTTGGAGGCCGGGGGCAGTGTGTGCCCGAGTCTGCGCTCTGCAGACCTGCCAGGCCCCTGAGTCTCAGTGTGTCCTCCACTGCAGAATGTGGGGTTGACAGCTACACAGTAAGGTTGTTGCTCAGATCCCAACACAAACCTAAACCTGTAGGTCTGCGTACAGGTGCAATCGTTAAAGGTGAGGCAGGCTCTCCACCCACCAGGCAGGCAGCCCAGCCATGCTGCTCTCCTCTCCCCACAGTCCGATTTCCCAATTCCTACCCCAGCAACCCCTTCCTCACTCTAAGCAGATGACCTTAGCCCTTATTTCATAGGACAACAGAAGCCCTCAGGGAGGAACCCCAGGATCCTGCCTCCCCATGTACAAATCTACCTTTCTTTTTTTTTTTCTTTTGAGACGGAGTTTCGCTCTTGTTACCCAGGCTGGAGTGCAATGGCGCGATCTCGGCTCACCACAACCTCCGCCCCCTGGGTTCAGGCAATTCTCCTGCCTCAGCCTCCTGAGTAGCTGGGATTACAGGCACGTGCCACCATGCCCAGCTAATTTTTTTTTTGTATTTTTAGTAGAGACGGGGTTTCACCATGTTGACCAGGATAGTCTCGATCTCTTGACCTCGTGATCCACCCGCCTCGGCCTCCCAAAGTGCTGGGATTACAGGCTTGAGCCACCGCGCCCGGCCCAAATCTACCTTTCTGTCCATTCTTCTTCCAGTCCTGAAAGGGAACGCCACTCCCCTCAGTGGGCCCGAGCCTCTCCGCGCCAGAACCTCCCAGCGATCGCCCCCTGCTCCCCTCTCTTGCCCTGGGTCTTCCCTTCAGCAATTAAATCAGCTGCAAAAGCCAAACGTAGTCTAGAGCTACAAATTCTCAGATTCTGAAGACCTCCCCATTAAACAGTCCTCATTCCCCGGCTCGAGGACAGACACTTGGAGTCGTGTGACGATCGCCGTGATGATAACTGAACCCGCAGTTCGGGCTCCCCAGCCTCAACGCGCGCGGAGCCGAGCGCGGCTTTCCACGGAGCTGGGTCTACGGCCCCGCTGGACGGAAGCCCCGTCAGGACCGGCCGGGCCGCGGGATCGCCTCGCCCCACGCGCTCCGCAGCCCCATCCCCGGCCAGGAGGCGCTGGTGTTTGGCTCCCCGGGACCCCACTGCCGCTCCGGGAACTGGCTGGGAAACGTCGCGGCGAGGGAAGACGCCGAAGGGCTCAGGCGCCCGCAGGGCATTTAAACCGCGCGCCCGGCCGCTGCGGCTCCCCGCGCCGAACGCGACCCCCGCCCCGGGGTTAAAGGGCTCGAGCCCGCCCTCCTCAGGCCGCAGGGTCTTTCCTCTCGCGGGACCCGCCGTCCGCCCCTCAGGACAGGCAGAAGGGGCGCGGGGCAGGGACCGGCGGACATCTCCCGGTACTCACCGCCGCCGCTCCCCATCGCGGCGCTCGCGTAGCTGCAGCCAGAGCCCGCCTGAGAGCGCGCCCGAGCCCCGGCTGGAGCGCGCCGATCCCTTGCGCAGGCGCAGACCCCGCCCCGCCGCCCGCCCCAGTTTTCAAACGCGCCCGGCCCTCCCATTGGCCTGCTCGGGGGGGCCGCCGGCGGCCTCGCCCACGCCCCGCCTCGGACACGCCTTATTCCCCGCCCTCCACGCCCACCCCGTCTGCTCAGGGCGCCCACCATTGGCCGCGCCAGGACGCAAATTCGAACCTTGGCCGCTGATTGGTGGAGCCCGCGTGGCCGCCCCGCCTCCCCAGCGGGGAAGTGAGTCCCTGAGCAGCTCCCGGGCCGGGCGGGCGAGCGTTTGGCTCCGTTCTTTCCCGCCTGCGTGAGTCCGGGCTGTGCGGCTGACTCCGGCGACTGGCACCCGCGATGCCACATACGCTGCGAAGACGCGTGCCGGCGGCCAGGGGAAAGGGGGACTCCTTGGCGCCCCTCGCAGTCGCCGCCGTGACCCGACCTGCGAGAGCCCCGACGTGGCGCTTCTAGGACGAGGCGGTGCCCTGCCCCGGTCCCGGGGTCGGTCCTGCGCCCGCGACCCTCGCCCCTGGCCTGCACGGTCTTCCTTTCAGCCGCCCGCTTCAGGTGGAGACCCTCGGGTTTGTGGCCGAGCGCTCCTGGGCGGGGATGCCGGCCCAGATCGTGGCACGGAAAGCTGGAAGTCTCCCCGGCCCACCCTCCGGAACGCGGACCCCTTCTTCCCGCGAGACGTGGCGCACCCTGGACGCCTCAGTGCCCCAGGACCGGGGCAAGCCCTCCTCACCGCTCTGACCGGTTGCTGACCCGTCTCGCCTCCTCGGCGCCGCTCGGGATCTGCCCACTCTTGTCTCGGGCAGAGCGCATCCGAGCTGTCCTTCGGGAATCATCCTCACCCCACCCCTTTCACGGCACAGGCTGTCAAGGGAACACGCATCCTCCCGAGTGTCTGGTGGAGGCGGGGGCCTGGGCCAAGGCTGCCCACCCCTCCCTCACGCTTCCCTCAGTCTGCACCCTCCCATCCTTCTGAGTGCCCACAGCCCTCGTGATCACCAAACCCCTAAAGGTACTGGGCCTGCCCTGGGCACACAGACAGGAGCTCTGGCATGCAGGCGTCAGCCAGCCTGGAGCTAGAGACAGAGTACACAGGTGATCACAGCACGGGGCACAGAAGAGTTCCTGGCCCCCGAGAGGCCCTGGAATCTGGAAGCTGGTGAAGGAGGGTGAAGCGAGGACAGGCTGAGCGAGTTTGGGGCCTGCTCCCCAGATATCCCATGTTCTGAGCCCCCAGATTTCTTATCCCATCATCTCACTTTTGTCCCCCTGGATTAGTGTTCCTTCTTTGTCACCGTAACCTGTGTCCCCCTAGGGCAGAGGTGCACTTTCGGGGTTAGCTTCTTGAAGGGATTAATCCAGAGCCAGCCATGAGCACACTGGTGACACCGGCTGCCTCTAGGACCTAGACCAGCATCCCTGCTCCCTGTGTTGTTTGACTATCCTGTGCTTTGTGTCCTGATCACTCTCCTGTCCATATTGAGAGGCAAATCTCTTTTTCAGGGAGCAGGAGTTGTCTTGGCTCCAGCCACGCCTGGCCCATTCCACCCACTGCGCTGGCAGCCAGAGCCTCCAGGGCTGCGCTGGGGTGATGAGTGGCCCCTCCAGGGGGTCAGCCCGTTTCCCACTGGGCTTTAGAAATGATCAATAAGGATCTGTGGGCTTGAAGAGTCTTGTTTTCAAGTCCAAATTAGAAGGGTCAGCCCTGGAGAGAATCCACAGACTTGGAGGCCGGGCCGTGTGTGTCCACCTCATGTCTCAGGGTGCGTTGGGTGGCATGGCCTGCTGTGGGGCGAGGGGTGCACTGGATGGACAAACGATCTGGGCAGGGCATTCCAGCAAAGGATGAAAGTCCACACATCCAAGGTGAGGCCTTGTTGGAAAAGTCCAAACCATTAGGAGCTCAGGGAAATTCCTGGTGGAAAGAGGTGTCAGTTGAAAATGTCATGGGTGGTGAGGGGCAGGGGGAGAGTAAGGGAACGTGAAGTAGTTGGGAGCCTGAGCCATCCCACATTTAGAGAGGAGGATGGGCCTTCAGTGGAGGCAGAGAGTGGCATGGGAGGAATGAGCTGGATGTGGGAGCAGAGGCCCAGGGAGTGGCCTTCATCACAGGGAGCAGTCACCTGAAACGCGCTGAGAAGAGGGTGGGTTGGCGACCACGGGTGTGCTTTGCCATTGTTCTGGGCAAGCATAGGCAAGGCCGGTGCCCCACACTTTGGTGAGTCCTGCATCTGCACTTCCCAGAGGGGAGCTTAGGGGCCTGTGGCAAGGGACAGAGTGAGCTCCATAGAGAGAGAAAGGCCACTGATGGACTCAGAGAGGAGAGTGTCCACGACAAAGGCATGTGGCCACATCCGTCTGCATCTGGATGGTGCGATGGTTGGTGCCTACGGGGCCTCTGCTCAGTGGTTCTCGCACTGGAACCGTGTCAGAGCACCTGCTATAGGGCTCGTTGCAACATGGATTGCTGGCCCTGCCCCAGGCATTTCTGATTCAGTAGAAATGTTGGCCCAAGCCTACATTTCTAACAAGTTTCCCAATGGTGCTGCTGCTGCTGGGACCCCACTGGGAGAACCTCTGCCCCACTGTAACCCTGGCTCCCCTGCCTGTTGATGTGGGAAGTTGCTGGCTGCCTCTAGACCAGTCAACCCATGTGGGAGGTGGGGTGCTGTCCACTTCATGGGTGGGTATAGGACCACAGGTAGCCCTGACTTTGCAGGAGCCAGGGAAGAGGATGAAACTCCACATATCCAAATATCTAAATGCCACAACATCCTGACTTAGGCTAGCAAACCTGTCAATGTTCCTTTCATCCTTCCTTCAGACGAACAGTGTCATTACCACCTGGAGGCCAGCTGTGAGTTGAGAATCATGGTCTCTGTGAAGCTCCACTCTTGCATGTGGCCACGGGAGCCAGGCCCACCCTGGCCTGCGGATACCCTTCTCTCTTTCTGGCTCTATCCTGCTTTCCAAGGGATCTGTGCACATGTGTGGAACCCCCAAACGCCACCCACAGTTCTGCAGAGCTGCTGCTTTGCTGCACCTTGAGTCTCAGGCTGGCATGGCCTGCCCTGCCCTGCCCTGGGAGGGAATGCACTGATGGACAAACGATCTGGGCAGGGGATTCTAGAGAAGGAAGAGCGGAAGCTTTGGGTGAGCATTTCCCTCTGTCCTGCAGACTTCTTGCCCATGAGCAAGGGCACGGCCAGGACAGGCCCCTTGAGGCTGGGCCTGAGGGTGGTGTGATCAAATGACATAATGCCTGCAGGGGACCAACCATAGAGCTGGCACCTGGTCGGGACATGGTTAGTGCTGTGGTCACCCCCTGGCGGCCACCCTTGGAAAGATGTTTTGAGGCTGCTTCCACAGCCAGGTCTCAGGAAGACCACAGGCTACTCGGGTGGGACGCGGGCATCACTTTCTACTGAAACGCTCCTGGGTTCTCCAGGGGGCCTCTCAAGTTCCCCAGTGGGCCCCATTCTGCTCTATGCACTGCAGTTGAGGGGAGAGCCCTGTGCCGAGCCAGCTGGGCTGAGAGCCGCCTCTGCAGCCCTGGAAGCTCAGGGCAGGCCATGCATACCTGGGCCAACCTGGCACTGGGATGTGTTTATTACAGCAGGACAGGCTCTGAGGGAGGCAGGGAGCACGATGAGGGGCCCGAATGCTCTGCCTGCTCTCGTTGGCCTTCACTTTGGACCAGGGGCACAGGGCAGGCGAAGCTCAGGAAGATGTCCTCCAGGGTGACCTGACTGAGTAGTCATCCAGCATGTACTTCTTGGCTTGCTCCAGAGTGCCAAACACCTGAGAGGAGAGAGGAGGCTGCTGTGGCCAGGCTGCCCCACAGACACACACAAGAGGCCCGTCCCTCTCTCGGCTGCTCCAGAACACTTCCCAAGAAGTCAGCACTATGGACCTCCACTGCCCGTACTCTTGGGTGGGAATGGTGCCAGAAGGGCAGAGGCCTGGCAGGGTCCCTGGCTTGCTGTGTGTCCCTGGGCATGTGGTGTTTCCTCTCTGGGCCTGCTCTCCTCTCCGTGAAATGAGGGGGCAGGAGGAGCTGATCTCCAAAGTCCCTTCCAGCTGAAGCATCTTCCGTTCTATGAAATCACATGAATATTGCCATGGAGATGGTTGAGGACAGCGGCAGTGCTGAACATGACTTCAGGACGATGGGGAGGAGAGAAAGGGGGAGAGAGAGTGACAGAGTACCCCAGAAAGTGGGTCACGTCAAAGATATGCACTCCCCTTCGCCCAGCTGAGGTTCTGGCCTGGCAGGTGGTAGTGGACCATGCCTTGGTGCTCATCTTCCAGGACGCTGCCTGCAAGGAGACGGCGTGGCTGTGAGGGCTGGGCTGGAGGATCAGGGAGGGTGCCTGGGTGCTCGGCACTGCGATCCTCGTCTCAGGGATTGGGGAGAGGGGACATGGCAGAGGTGAGGCACAGGCACGTCTCACGGCAGATGGGAGAGGCCTAGACAGGGGCCCAGGGCCCACCCAGTGTGGGGCTGCCAGGGCTGGGACACACCTGGAAAGGTCAGGTCCACGAAGGCCTTGAATTCCTCCAGCGCCTCCTGCTGCCCTTCACTCCGGACCTTGGCTCTCAGGGAGTAGCTGCTGCCAAACTTGCTTTTGAGGTGCTGGGGGCTGCCCAGGCACTTGAACTGCCCCTGCACCATGATGACCAGCCGGGTGCACAGGGCCTCACACTCCTCCATGCTGGGGAGAGGGCAGGGCCTGAGACAGGGCTGAGGGTACCAAAGGCTTGTGCAGACAGGAAGGGGGGGTGGTACCCTGATCAGGCCGTTCCTGATACCCATGCTCAGAGTGTGGCTCATGTGCAGAGCCTAGGGAATTTCCTCGAAGACTCTGCACCAGGTGCTGATGGATCTCCTGGCCACCTGGCTCCTTCCCAGCCCACCTGGTTTTGAAACTTCCAGTGACCCGCAGAGCCAGACTCTACCCGTGGGAGGTGATGACGATGGTCTTGCCGGACTCGCGGGCTCGAGCCACGGCATTCCAGAGCAGGCACCGGGCCACAGGGTCCATGCCAGTGGATGGCTCGTCCAGGAAGATGACAGCAGGCTCTCCAATCAGAGCAATGCCGGAGCTCAGCTTCCTCTTGTTACCACCACTGGGGGTGGAGGGGAGAAGGTTAGGTGACGGGAATGGTCAGACTCCAGCAGTGAGCACTGCTGGCTCAACACTCACCCCCTTTCCTCCTCTGTTCAGGAAGTGTTCCCACACCCCTCATGGGGCTTTCACCCAGGGCTGGACCGTGGCTGGGGCTATCCACTCAGGGAATAAACACCTTCCCCCGGACACAGGGATGAGTCCAGGGTGAGCACATGGTTGGCGAGTCTTCTTTGAGGGTCTGGAAGTGTTGAGGGCAAGTGCTTCTCCATCTGAGAAGAAGGGCATTGGCCCATCTTAGCTAACTTAAAACCTATAGCATTTACTATGTGCCACACACTGTTCTAAACTGCAAATATGAACTCATTTGATCTTCCGAAGATACAAGGAAACACGAAAACCTGCTCGGAACAGAAGCCAACAAAGAGGGGAGAGCCAAGGGATATCATCATCTGACCCTGGGCCCACTTTGCCCACGGTGTGGGCACCTCTACGTCCCAATCCTGGGTATGCAGTACCGCTCCATGCCTCCAGGGGCGCTGCACACTACGTGAAGGGAGTCCTCCGACCCCTGCGGTCTGGGGCCTCGCCTTTTTTTTTTTTTGAGACGGAGTTTCACTCTTGTTACCCAGGCTGGAGTGCAATGGCACGATCTTGGCTCACCGCAAGCTCCGCCTCCTGGGTTCAGGCAATTCTCCTGCCTCAGCCTCCTGAGTAGCTGGGATTACAGGCACGCGCCACCATGCCCAGCTAATTTTTTGTATTTTTAGTAGAGACGGGGTTTCACCATGTTGACCAGGATGGTCTCGATCTGTTGACCTCGTGGTCCACCCGCCTCGGCCTCCCAAAGTGCTGGGATTACAGGGGCCTCGCTTTAATAGTTAATTGGAGTCGGGCTTCTATCACTGACAGAAGCCTGAGGAATACCCCGGGTTCTTCAGCAGAACAGGGACCCTAGACACAGAGGTATGACGTAACTGTGGCTTAAAATGCAAACTTACCCAAAACAGAAAGCCCTTCCTGAAGTGGCAGGAGGAAGGTCTGTCCTCATCTTACCAGGACAGTAACACCTGTGGTACCAGTTGCCTGTCGTCAGCCATGTAAAGTGCCTTTGGACTGGGCAGCTTCATAATCCACTGGAGCCCAGGAGCAAGCGGAAGTGGTGCCTTGGGGCAGCCCAGGCCACTGACCTCTTCCTACAGGCATGGAAGCTGCCCCCAACCACCTGCGCGGGGACCTCATGCCCAGAGCTGGCGGCTCTGGGAAAAACTGGAACTTACGTGGTAACTGGAGGCGGAGGGGCCGGGGGAAGCCTCAGGTCTCACCTGTAGGTCTTGACCAGCTTGTCAGCATACATGTACGTGACTAAGTCCTCAATAATCTGGCCCACACAAGCACAGATGTGGTGATCTGGGATGCCCCAGATCCGGGCACACGTGACCAGCATCTCACGGCCTGTCATGAAGTTCAGCAGAGCATCAAACTGAGGACAGTAACCGATCCACCGCTGTACTGGGTTAGAAAACAGCCCCGAGAGGGAGACACGTCAGAGGAAACCCTCCTCCCACCAGGGTCACCAAGTCTGCAATGAGGCAAGGGCCTGGACACCTGCTGGTCTTGCTCCGGCTGCTGCCTCTGCCCTGTGAATGCACAGGCACCCACTAAGGACCTGTGAGTGGCACTGTAGTTCCGTCAGGGAGCTGCTGCTTAGTGGGCAGAGTGGGTCACTTATTTGGCTCCTCCTCCAGCTCACCCAGCATTAAACCTCAGCACCCAGTGCCTCCCTACTTCCTGGTGCCTTTGAAGCATCCAGTCAATACAAGAGGCTTGCTTTGCTTTTTTCCCGTTTAGAAATATTTCCTATTAGACTTGTAATCTGCAAATCGATTTTCTTTGTAAAATATTCAGGTAAAGACTCCTGCAGTCGGTTGGCGGCCTGCCCCAGCCCACTGTGGCCAGGCAGCTGTGCAGCATCCAGCATTCTGTGTTGGCAAAGGCACCCGCGTGGGCCTAGGCTGCTTGCTCAGGACTAGCTGGGTGCTGTTTTTTGCCAGATGGTATCATCCTTTATCATTCTGTAACATGCTTTTTTTCTTTCTTTTCTGAGAAGAAGTCTCACTCTGTAACCCAGGCTGGAGTGCAGTGATGTGATCTCAGCTCACTGCAACCTCCGCCTCCTGGATTCAAGCAATTCTCCTGCCTCAGCCTCCTGAGTAGCTGGGATTACAGGCACCTGCCACTACGCCCAGCTAATTTTTGTATTTTCAGTAGAGATGGGGTTTCCCCACATTGATCAGGCTGGTCTCGATCCCCTAACCTCATGATCCACCTGCCTCGGCCTCCCAAAGTGCTGGGATTACAGGCATTAGCCACCGCGCCCGGCCAACATGCTTTTTATTTATTTTTTGTTGTGACAGAGTTTCTCCCTGTCGCCCAAGCTGGAGTGCAATGGCACAATCTCGGCTCATGGCAACCTTCGTCTCCTGGGTTAAAGCGATTCTCCTGCCTCAGCCTCCTGAGAAGCTAGGATTACAGGCGCGCATCACCATGCCCAGCTAATTTTTTTTGTATTTTTTTAGTAGAGATGAGGTTTCTCCATGTTGGTCAGGTTAGTCTCAAACTCACAACCTCAGGTGATCTGCCCACCTCGGCCTTCCAAAGTGCATGCTTTTCTTACTCAATATCATGTCTTCAAGATCTTCCTAGGGCAATAAACACAGACCTACCCCCACCTATTTTCACTGCTGCTTGGTCATCCAGGGAAGGGTTCTAGATTTTATTCAGCTGTTTAAAATATTCATTTGACTCATTTCTAGGTTGTTGCACCTTTTTTGGGGGGGTTTGAGATGAAGTCTCACTCTGTTGCCCAGGCTGGAGTGCAGTGGTGCGATCTTGGCTCACTGTAACCTCCACCTCCCGGGTTCAAGCAATTCTCCTCTCAGCCCCATGATGAACTGGAGCTACAGGTGCACACCACCATGCCTGGCTAATTGTTTGTTTGTTTGTTTGTTTGTGACAGAGTCTTGCTCTGCTGCCCAGGCTGCAGTGCAATGGCACAATCTCAGCTCACTGCAACGTCCACCTCCCAGGTTCAACTGATTGTCCTGCCTCAGCCTCTCGAATAGCTGGAATTGCAAGTGGGTGCCACCACGCCCGGCTAATTTTACTTTTTAATATTTTTAGTAGAGATGGGATTTCACTGTGTTGGTCAGGCTGGTCTTGCCACCTGACCTTGGCCTCCCGAGGTGCTGGGATTACAGGCGTAAGCCACCACACCCAGCCAATTTTCTGTATTTTTAGTAGAGACAGGGTTTCACCACGTTGGCTGGGTTGATCTCAAACTCCTGACCTCAGGTTTTTGCCTTTCTAAACTTGCAGCTGGCCACCCGGGTTTGTACCCACGTTCATCTGCTTCCAGATGCTGAAAAGAGTGGGATGGCATTTTTGAGAAATGTTTCCCTCCTATTTTCTCTCCTCTTCTCCTCCCTGGTGAAACAGCTGGAAAACTCTGGGCTCCACTGCCTGAAATTGGACGACGGGGAGGATTTTACAGGGTGCAAAACAGAAAACCAGATGGAGGCCGGGCACGGTGGCTCACGCCTGCAATCCCAGCACTTTGGGAGGCCGAGGCGGGTGGATCATGAGGTGAAGAGATCAAGACCATCCTGGTCGACATGGTGAAACCCCGTCTCTACTAAAAATACAAAAATTAGCTGGGCATGGTGGCGCGTGCCTGTAGTCCCAGCTACTCGGGAGGCTGAGGCAGGAGAATTGCCTGAACCCAGGAGGCGGAGGTTGCAGTGAGCCGAGATCGCGCCATTGCACTCCAGCCTGGGTAACAAGAGCGAAACTCTGACTCAAAAAAAAAAAATCTTCCAAAACAGAAACTTTTGTCTTTTCAGCAAATGGCACTGGGACAATTACACATTTATGCCAAAGAATGAATTTGGATCTCCACCTAACACTATATAAAAATTAACTCAAAATGAATCAAAGGCCTAAATGTAAGAGCTAAAACTCTTAGAACAAAATGCAGATGTAAATCTTCCCTGTCTTAAATAAGGCAATGGTTTCTTATATCTAAAACACAAAAGAGAGGAGAACAGACAAATCGGTCTTTGTCATAATTTCATAATTAAAAGCTTTTGTTCATCAAGGGTTACTAACAAGAAAGTGAAAAGACAGTCGGGCGCGGTGGCTCACACCTGGAACCCCAGCACTTTGGGAGGCCGAGGCGGGTGGATCTCAAGGTCAGGAGATGGAGACCAGCCTGGCTAACACAGCGAAACCCCGTCTCTACTAAAAACACAAAAAATTTAGCAGAGTATAGTGGCTTGATCCCGTAATCCCAGCTACTTGGGAGGCTGAGGCAAGAGGATTGCTTGAACCTGGGAGGTGAAGGTTGCAGTGAGCTGAGGTCATGCCATCGCACTCCATCCTGGGCAACAAGAGTGAAACTCCACCTCAAAAGAAAAGAAAGGAAAAACGTGAAAAGACAACCTGCAAATGGGAGGAAATTTTTGAAATTGATATATTTGACAAGGGTTTAGTATACAACTTTATAAAGAATTATTGGCTGCATGTGGTGGCTTATGCCTGCAAGTATTTTGGAAGGCTGAGGTAGGGGGATTGCTTGAGGCCAGGAGTTCGATACCAGCCTGGGTAACATAGTGAGACTACTGTCTCTATAAAAATTTAAAAATTAGCAGGGTGCAGTGGCACGCACCCATAGTCCCAGCTATGCAGGAGGCTGAGGTGGGAAGATGGCTTGAGCCCAGGAGGTTGAGTCTGCAGTGAGCCATGGTTACGCTCCAGTCTGGGTGACTGGGTGACAGAGTAAGAACTGTCAAAAAAAAAGAATTCTTGGTTGGGCACAGTGGCTCACGTCCACTGTAATCGTAGTACTTTGGGAGGCTGAGGCAGGACGACTGTCTGAGCTCAGGAGTTGAGACCAGCCTAAGCAACATGGTGAAACCCCATCTCTACTAAAAGTAAAAAAAATGAGCCAGGCATTGCAGTGTGCACTTATAGTTCCAGCTACTTGGGAGGCTGAGGCAGGAGAATTGCTTGAACCTGGGAAGCAGATATTGCAGTGAGCTGAGATCGTGCCATTGAACTCCAGCCTGGGAGACAGAGGGAAACTTGGTCTCCCCTCCGCCCCAAAAAAGAATAATTTTTTTACAACTTCATGACAAATAGAATAGCTCTCCCAAGAATAGCCAACAAGCACATGAAAAGATGCTCAACACCATTAGTCATTAGGGAAACAAAGATCAAAACCATAATGTGATACTAATGTATACTCATTAGAATAGCTCTAATATTCTGGGCTCAGTGGCTCACGCCTATAATCCCAGAACTTTGGGAGGCCAAGGTGGGCTGATCACCTGAGGTCGGGAGTTCGAAATCAGCCCGACTAATATGGAGAAACCCAGTCTCTGCTAAAAATACAAAGTTAGCCGGGTGTGGTGGCGCATGCCTGTGATCCCAGGTCCTGGGGAGGCTGACGTGGAAGAACTGCTTGAACTTAGGAGGCGGAGGTTGTGTTGAGCCGAGATCACGTCATTGCACTCCAACCTGGGCAACAAGAGTGAAACTCAGTCTCAAAAAGAAAGAAAGAAAGAAACAAAAGAAAAGCTATAATAACTTTTTAAAATAACAGATGGGGTTTTGCTATGTTTTTCAAGCTGGCTTCAAGCTCCTGGACTCAAGCGATCCTCCCACCTCGGTCCTCTCAGTAGCTGGGACTACAGATGCATGCCACTGCACATGGCTTTATAACACAGTATTCTAAAGGAAATTAAAAGTTGTTGGATAAGGGGGCATAAAATTACCACCAGAACTGCCCTGTAAGACATGCTGAAAGGAGGCCAGGCACAGTGGCTCATGCCTGTAATCCCAGGACTTTGAGAGGCTCAGGCGGGCGGATCACCTGAGGTCAGGAGTTTGAGATCGGCCTGACCAACATGGTGAAATCCCGTCTCTACTAAAAATCCAAAATTAGCGAGGCATTGTGGCACAATTCTCCTGCCTCAGCCTCCTGACTAGCTGGGATTATAGCTACTCAGGAGGCTACCAGCTACTCAGAAGGCTGAGGCAGGAGAATTGCTTGAACACAGGAGGCACAGGTTGCAGTGAGCTGAGATCGTGCCATTGCACTCCAGCCTGGGCAACAGGAACAAAACTCTGTCTCAAATAAAAAAAGAAAAATGCTGAAAGGAACCTTTTAGATGGAAATGAATCAAGGTGGCTCATGCCTATAATCCCAGCAATGTTGGGGGACAAGGTGTGAAGATCACTTGAGGTCAGGATTTTGAGGCCAGTCTGGCCAACATGGTGAAACCCTGTCTCTACAAAAAATACAAAAATGAGCTGGGCATGGTGGTGTGTGCCTGTAATCTCAGCTACTCTGGAGACTGAGGCACGAGACTCACTTGAACCTGGGAGTCGTACATTGCGGTGAGCCGAGACTGCACCACTGCACTCTAGCCTGGGTGACAGAGTGAGACTCTGTCTCAGACAAAAAAAAAAACAAAAACGAACGGCTGGCTGGGTGCAGTGGCTCACACCTATAATTCCAGCCCTTAGGGAGGCTGAGGCAGGTGGATCACGAGGTCGGGAGTCCAAGACCGGCCTGGCAAACATGGTGAAAATACATCTCTACTGAAAATACAGAAATTAGCCAGGTGTGGTGGTGGGCGTCTGTAGTCCCAGCTACTCGGGAGGCTGAGGCAGGAGAATTGCTCGAACCGGGGAGGTGGAAATTGCAGTGAGCCGAGACTGCACCACTGCACTCCAGCCTGGGTGACAGAAGGAGACTCTGTCTCAAACAAAAAAAGGAATGGCTAATAGAAATTTGATGCTACATGAAGAAATAAAGGTCTCTAGTAAAGGTAAATACAAGGACAAATATATTTTTGGACATATAATAAATAAAGATGTAATTTTGTAACATCAATAACAGAGAATGGGGACAGGGCTTTATAGAAACGGAATTTTTGTATATTATTCAAGTTAAGATGATATAATTCTAAACAGAGTGTTCTAACTCTAGGATGTTGAATGTAATCCCTGTGGTAGCTACAAAGAAAATAAGCCAATAGTTATAGGAGATACACAAAAGGGCCAGGCACAGCATCTCACGTCTGTAATCTCCACACTTTGTGAGGCCAAGACGGATGGATCGCCTGAGGTCAGGCGTTTGAGAGCAGCCAGGCCAGCATGGCAAAACCCTGTCTCTACTAAAAATACAAAAAGTAGCTGGGTATGATGGCATGTGCCTCTAGTCCCAGCTACTCAGGAGGCTGAGGCAGGAGAATCGTTTGAACCCAGGAGGCGGAGGTTGCAGTGAACCAAGATCGTGCCATTGCACTCTGTCTCAAAACTCCATCTCAATTAAAAAAAAAAAAAAAAAAAAAGAAGATACACAAAAGGAAATGAGAACTCGATGAAAATGTTTCATATAAGGTATTTAATCAAATTCAAAGAGACAGAGAGTGGAATGTTGATGACCAGGGGCAGGGTTTAGGGGAATGGTGAGTCATTGTTTATTGGGTTCATAGGGTCCGTTTTGCAAAATGAAAGAAGTTCTGGAGATGACTGTGCTAGTTCACAACAACTTGAATGTACTTAATGCCACTGAACTGGACACTTTAGAATAGCAAATTTCAGTTGGGCACGGTGACTCATACCTGTAGTCCCAGCACTTCTGGAGGCTGAGGCAGGTGGATCACCTGAAGTCAGGAGTTTGAGACCAGCCTGGCCAACATGGCAAAATCCCAGCTCTACAAAAAATTCAAAAATTAGCTGGGTGTGGTGGCGCGTGCCTGTAGTCCCAGCTACTCATGAGTCTGAGGCAGGAGAATCACTTGAACCCAGAAGGCAGAGACTGCAGTGAACTGAGACAGTACCACTGCACTCCAGTCTAGGTGACAGACTAAGACTCTGTCTTAAAAAAAAAAGAAAAGAAAAAAAAAATTCATGCTATGCATATTTTACCATAATTTAAAAAGTAAATAATTTTTTTTTGAGACAGAGTCTCACTGTGTCGCCCAGGCCGCAGTGCAGTGGTGCAATCTCGGCTCACTGCAAACTCTGCCTCCCGGATTCAAGCAATTCTCTGCCTCAGCCCCCTGAGTAGGTGAGATTACAGGCACCCGCAACCATGCCCAGCTAATTTTTGTAATACAGACGGAGTTTCACCATGTTGGCCAGGCTGGTCTTGAACTCCTGACCTTGTGATCCACCTGCCTCAGCCTCCCAAGTGCTGGGATTACAGGCACGAGCCACCGCGTCCAGCCAAAGCAAATACTTTTTTGAAGTGTTGGAGAGGATGTGGAGAAACTGAAACCCTCATACTTTGCTGGTAAGAATGTAAAATGGTTCAGCTAATGTGAAAAACGGTTTGGTAGGTCCTCAAAAAGCTAAACAGAGTTACCAAATGACCCAGCAAATATACTCTTAGATATATACCCAAGAGAACTGAAACATGTTCACACAAAAACCCATATCCAAATGTTTATAATAGTGTTATTCGTAATAGCAAAAGCAGAAACAACGCACATGTCCACCAACGGATGAAGAGATAAACTGTGCTATAACCATGCAATGGACTACCTGACACTCAGCTGCACACAGGGATGGAGCACTGACCCCTGCTACAACATGGGTGAACCTGGAAAACATTATTCTAAGTCAAAGAAGGCAGGTACAAAGCCCACACATTGTGTGATTCCATGTATGCGAACTATCCGGAACAGGGCCATCCATAATGGCAGGAAGTAGATGAGTGATTTCGAGGGGCTGAGGGGAGAAGGGAATGGGGACTGGCTGTTAATAGATCCAGGCTTCCTTTTGGGGGATGAAAATGTTCTGGAATTAGATAGTGGGCAAGGTTGTACAACTGCATATACCAAAAACCAACAACGTAGTTAACAAATGCCATTTACAAGACTCACCGGCGTCACTGCATTTAGTCTCGCTCAGGTCCTTGACACCGCACAACCTCTGTAGTCCAAAGTTGTAACAGAAGTTGGAGAAAGCCATCCCCAGGCAGCGGCCCGGAAATATGAGGAATGTGTTATCCAAGGATCCTGAGATTGTTATGTAGCCTAGATCTGTGAAGAGAACAGAAAACGTTAACTCTGCCTGCAGCAAGACAAGCGCGTATCCTCTATCATCTATGCTGACCTACTCTGTTCTGTATCCATCTTTATGCTGTCACACTCCCAGCCCTCCAGTCCAGAAAACGGGTTCCCCCTGACTCCTCTTCCTCTACAGTCGTTCAGCCTCCAAGACCTAAATATTTTTCTTCTGTCATGCTTTTTGAATCTGTCACTTTAACTTTTTTTTTTTTGAGACGGAGTTTTGTTCTTGTTACCCAGGCTGGAGTGCAATGGCACGATCTCCGCTCACTGCAACCTCCGCCTCCTGGGTTCAGGCAATTCTCCTGCCTCAGCCTCCTGAGTAGCTGGGATTACAGGCACGCGCCACCGTGCCCAGCTAATTTTTTGTATTTTTAGTAGAGACGGGGTTTCACCATGTTGACCAGGATGGTCTCAATCTCTTGACCTTGTGATCCACCCGCCTCGGCCTCCCAAAGTCCTGGGATTACAGGCTTGAGCCACCACACCTGGCTAACTTTTTTTTTTTTTTTTTTTTTTTGAGAAGGAGTCTCGCTCTGACACCCAGGCTGGAGTGCAGTAGCATGATCTCGGCTCACTGCAACCTCCGCCTCCCGGGATTAAGCAATCCTCCTGCCTAAGCCTCCCGAGTTGCTGGGACTACAGGCGTGGGCTACCATGCCCAGGTAAGTTTTGTATTTTTAGTAGAGACAGGGTTTCACCGTGTTGGCCAGGATGGTCTCGATCTCTTGACCTTGTTGTGATCTGTCCACCTCAGCCTCCCAAAGTGCTGGGATTACAGGTGTGAGCCACCATGCCCAGCCCCACTTTACTTCTTTCAGTTGTTCATGCAGGAGAATGCACTAGAAGAATACGGTGTGTTTTGGAAAATCAGGAGCACAGCCCCAGCATGGGCTGCATCTGTGGAGGTGGGAGATCTGAGGGTAGAAGGAGATGAGGTTTACAGTTGATCTGTGTCCGGATAGCAGGGGTGAAGTGCCGGCTTCCAAGTCGTTTGAGTGTCAACTCACATATGATGAGGGGGATGCAGTTTCTGACTCTACAGTTTGTGGAGATAAAACTATCATCAAGAGTCTCTCAGGAGACATAATGACTCCCAAGTTAAAAGTAGAGGGAGCCAGGCGCGGTGGCTCACACCTGTAATCCCAGCACTTTGGGATGCCAAGGTGGGTGGATCATGAGGTCAAGAGATTGAGACCATCCTGGCCAGTATGATGAAACCCTTCCCTACTAAAAATACAAAAATTAGCTGGGTGTGGTCCCAGCTACTGGGGAGGCTGAGGCAGGGGAATCACTTGAATCCAGGAGACAGAGGTTCCAGATCACACACTGCACTCCAGCCTGGCAACAGAGATCAGCCTGGCTAACATGGTGAAACCCTATGCCTACTAAAAATACAAAAATTAGTTGGGTGTGTGTGGTGGTGGGCACCCGTAATCCCAGCTACTCAGAAGGCTGAGGCGGGAGAATCCCCTGAACCTGGGAGGTGGAGGTTGCAGTGAGCTGAGATAGCACCATTGCCCTCCAGCCTGGGAGACAGAGTGAGATGCCGCCTCCAAAAAAAAAAGCAGAGGGAAGCTGTTAGATCATTTTTAAGAAAACCAAACCCAAACCCAACGTCTATGTGAAGGAAGTGTTCAGGATAAATGCCAGTGGGGTAGAATGTAACGGAGTCAAATGTCAGCGTGCCTCTCCAGCCTGACTCGTCGACACGGCGGCACAAACGCAGCTTCTTTCACTCTAACTGCGCACTCACCGAGCAGCCTGTCCTCAGCCTGGGCTCTGCGAACCCAGAAAATATGACGGGTCTCAGTTAATGTAGAAAGTTTATTTTACCAAGGTTGAGGTCATGCCCTGCCATTTACTTATTATCTTTTTTACTGAGGAATTACATATTTCAATGATGTGCATAGATCTTAAGTAGACAATCTGATGAATTTAGAAAAATCTATAAGCCCATGTAGCCAACACCTTAGTCAAGATGAAGACCATTTCCATCACTCTAGAGAGTTCCCAAAGTCTCTTTTCAGCCAATCTCCCTCTCCCCAACCCCGAGGCAACCACGTTTCTGGTTCCAACTCCGGGACCTCGTTTGTGTTTCTGGAGATGGAGCTGCGTTGGCGCCACCACACGGTGCTCCCGCTTTTGCTCAGCACTGTCTTTGAGGTCCATCCACGCCGCTGCAGGTCCCTTTTACATCTGTGAGGGAGTCATCCATTCTCCTGGAGGTGTGTGCTTGGGACATGCACACTGGGGACTCTTCAGGCAACAGCTGCTGTGGACACTCCCTCACAGGTCTTTAGTAGACATGCGGTTTCCCGGGTACAACTTTGGAGGCTGCTGGAGGGAAAATCAAAGCTATGTGGGCTGTGTGCTGTGCAGTCCTCACCTTGTTCACCTGTGACTGAGACGAGGACCAAGGGGCAGATGCTGAGGAAGGTGAGCATGATGATCAGCTTGACGCAGGCGTTGCCGTGCTGTTGAAAGAGAAGCTGACCAAGTAGAGGAAGCGGATGATAGCGGAGCCATAGAGCATTAACAGCAGGGTGACAGCCAGGACATTTTCATTGTGTGTAAAAGTTTCTTCACGATAGTATAAGCACCACCTGAGGAGGGGCAGGGGAAGGGTTTGGGAAAGTCATTGAGTCAGTCCTAAACACTGGAGGAAGAATATCAGAATCTCAACTTTAAAAGTAAGGCGTCAGCAATACTGCCTGAGCGCTTTCTTTCTACTCATCTGCACTTGCAGAGATGAGCAAGCCCTGAACCCTGTTCTCTGGGAGCTGGCCTGGAAGTCAGGGGTGCAGGGTAGTGTGATAAGGGGTTCAGAGATGCTCACAGAACACAGGCGGAACAAAGCATGAAGTGGTCCATTCTGCATAAAATAACCAGGGAGCCACAATCAAGTCCTTCAACCCATCAGTACCCTGGTGAGGTATTTCTGGACAATAAACGTATGTCCCCAGAGTACTGCCCCTTACCAGCTTGAAGTAGAAATACTTGGGGGAGGGCACATGGAGACCCTGAAGCAGGTCCCTCTGCTCCTAACAAAGCTGGGAACTTGGGTCTTCTACCAAGGGTCAGTGATGAGGGAGATCTCACACCCTGGGTCCCCACTGGGGGCAGAGTTGCCAACCTAGACTTCCTAGTTGGTTCTGGCTCTAAGCAGGAGTCCCCAGGAGAAACCCCCTACGATACGCAGCCGAAGAATCTGGGCACCCTCCAGCACTCACCAGCAGCAGCAGACTGCGGATGAGGAAGAAGATGAGGTCCCACAGCAGAGCGGAGAGCCAGAAAGTGGCCACATAAGCTCCCCTGATAAACTGGACACGCCTGGCCTTAACGAGCCTCTCTCTAACTGTCAACACGGAAAAAGAGCTAGACAGGAAAGCTAGTCCAAAAAGCAAGTTGACAACAAGGTAATGTCCTTTAGGACCCCTGTGAAACACAGGACGTAAGGTGAGAGGTAGCAGAGTAAGTGGAACTGCTCATAGCAGCCATCTTCCAAATAACACTTTGTAATTAAAACAAGAAGCAAAGGCAGACAGAAATAGGTGGAAAAGGGTGGAGCCCTACAGAGGTATAGATGGAGAGAAGAACATTCACACATACGATACCACAAACTCTCCGCATCCTCCGCAAATGTCGGAGGTTGAGGGTGGTTGGATATGGTAACGGAAGCCCTGGCACCAGGAAGCAGCTTGAAGAGAAAATTGTCCTCCAGTGCCAGAGCCAGGGCAGAAGCATGGTATGCCTGCTGTCACTATGGTGTGATTTCCCACATCTTCAAAGGAAGCTGCCACTAAGCAGAGCTTATCAAAGCCCCCAGGTTCCTCGTTTGCCTTTTTCAATAGGAACTCTTCTACAGAACCTAGAAGGGAGCAAAATATCCACCAGGCAGTAAGAAGGAGCATCACACCAGGCCCAGTGGGGTGGGGAGAACTCACCATCGGTCTCCGGCAACCTGCTGCTTCTCCTAGGTACTTCATCGCTAACCCCCACCCACCTCTGAAAGCAGGCCTCCTCCCACCACACCCTGCCCTGAATTCCAGTCAATCTTGGAGTCTTGTCTATTTTTCCTTCATTTTATTTTACTTATTTATTCACATTTTTAGAGACTTTCTCTGTTCCCTAGGCTGGAGGGCAGTGATGTGATCATAACTCACTGCAGACCTGACCTCCTGGACTCAAGTGATCCTCCCGCCTCAGCCTCCCCAAGTGTTGAGATTACAGGTGTAAGCCACTGTGCCTGGCTCTATTAATCTTTTAAGTTTCTTGCGATTGTCTGCTTCTCTCCTTCCCACTGCCTTGACTGGGTCTGGGTCTCATCATCTGTACCTGGCTTATGTAGCCCCCAATGAAAATGAAGATCTTGCCTTCTTTTTTTTGGAAACAGATTGTTACTCTGTGGCCCATGCTGAAGAGCAGTGGCAGGATCTCGGCTCACTGCAGCCTCCACCTCCCTGGTTCAAGTGATTCTTCTGCCATAGCCTCCCAAATAGCTGGGACCATAGGCACACGCCAGCACGCCTGGCTAATTTTTGTATTTTTAGTAGAGACAGGGGTTTCACCATTTTGGCCAGGCTGGTCTTGAACTCCTGGCCTCAAGTGATCCACCCACCTCAGCTTCCCGAACTGCTAGGATTACAGGCATGAGCCACTGCACCCGGCCAGATTTGCTTTCTATCTGGTACCTCCAGTCTGATTGAAAGGACACATCTGGCCATAATGCACCCCACCAATCAACTTGCAGTGGCTGTCCACTGCCCTCACAACAAAGCCACATTCCTGCACGAGGTACAGAGCCCCTCACTATCCAAATTCAGCCCCTCACTATCCTTAGCTCCAGCCAAACCTAAGGATTTACAGTGCCCCATGCTTACAGATGCTCCTCTTGTTCGGAACGTTCTCTGGGTTACTTTTCCCTTCTATCAGTCAACGCCTACTCATACCTTGGGCTCTTACTTGGAAGCCCACTCTGACCCTCCCCGGCTGACATACGTCCGTGTAATTCCACAGCATTCCGATTGCAGTCACTGTCACCTTGTGTCGTAACTGTCATTTATGCGTAAGATCTCAGGACGAGAAGCTCCTCGATGCACACGGTGCCAAGTCAAATTCAAATACACAACCCACCTAGAGTCCAGACACCCGAACTCTTCAGTGCTGAAGGGACCTTCAGTCATAATGACGAAAACAACAGCACCAGCACCCCGGCGGAGTGCTCACATGGTGCACCTGTGCAAAGCGCTTGACAAGCACTCAGGAGATCACCCAATGACACTGTGAGGTGAGGCCTGTCATTCTCCCCATTGGGAGTATGAAGAAACCAGGGCCTCGAGAGCCAGGCTGTTATGAGGCCAACCATTTTGTCACATCGTGTTCCACACTCGAAATCCTTATTTCAAAAAAGTAATTATTTAAAAATGTTAATCAAAATAATGCATGAATATAATTTTTAAAGTCAAATAGTTATACAAGAAACAGCTGTGCTCTTCCCTAGCCCTGATCCTCCCCAACGCCTATTCACCAGAAGCAGCCCCTTTCCCATCTTTTACTGGCCGTTTCTCCACGTCGCTAACAGCACGTTTAGCTGATGATGCCTCACGATGGAAGCCGGGATTTTGTTCTCTTACAACCATCCTCTCTTACAACCCTGCAGATTTCCCCTTACCTTCCTCTCACCAGAGTTACATCACAATTTTGGCTAAAACAATAGTCAGTTTTGACATCATTATGACTAAGTAAAAACTATTTACAACTGAAGCAATAGTATGTTTGTCGTACGACTTTCCCCTTGAAGTCACTAACGTTCTCCTTTCCTCATTTGCCTAATTTTCTTTATGTCTGTCACCACTTCATGCATAAACTCTCTCGACAGAAGTGGAGACCTCATCCAGTCACGGTGGCTCACACCTGTAATCCCAGCACTTTGGGAGGCTGAGGTGGGTGAATCATGAGGTCAGGAGTTCAAGACCAGCCTGGTCAATATGGCGAAACCCCATTTCTACTGAAAATACAAAAATTAGCTGGACATGGTCGCATGTGCCTGTAATCCCAGCTACTTGGGAGGCTGAGGCAGGAGGATCGCTTGAACCTGGGAGGCGTAGGTTGCAGTGAGCTGAAATGGTGCCACTGCACTCCAGCCTGGGCAATGGAGTGAAACACCACCTCAAAAAAAAAAAAAAAAAAAGAAGTGTAGCTCTCCTTTCAATACAATTCAAACGTATTGAATAGTTTATCAATTTTATTTTGGGAGGCTGGGCACAGTGGCTCATGCCTGAAATCCTAGGACTTTGGAAGGCTGAGGTGGGCGGATCACCTGAGATTAGGAGTTCAAGACCAGCCTGGCCAATATGGTGAAATCTCATCTGCACTAAAAATACAAAAATTAGTTGGGTGTGGTGGTGGGCACCTGTAGTACTAGCTACTTGGGAGGCTGAGGCAGAAGAACTGCTTGAACCCAGGAAGCGGAGGTTGCAGTGAGCCAAGATCACACCATTGCATTCCAGCCTGGGCATTGCAGCAAGGCTCCATCACACACATACACACACACACACACACACACCAAAAAAACCCACAATTTTATTTGGGGGCATGCTTTCATTCCTAGAAAGGCACATACTTGGTCTTATTTCTAGGGACTCTAGCTTTCCCGTCATTTTGGGTTTGAGATATGGTTTTCTGAGATTTCTATTCATTTCTAACTTCAGAGGGCACCACGTGGCCCAGCAGCACACGGCTTCAATAAAAACAACGATAGGGTGGTTTTGTGCCCCATTTTCCTGGGCCTGGTACTTACCCAGAACCTCCAGAGGAATCTGTCCCTCAGCTGTAAGCATATTTGCAAAGCGTTCTGAAAGTTGAGGATCCAGCCTGGGATTCTGAGAAATAAAGAAGGGAACAACGGTCTGACCATATGTTTTCAGAGTCAGCTCCAATGGGACATTTTCCATGGTTCTGTCTTTGAAGTTGAAGAACATGAGGCTTAACATGGTGATCACCAGAGGGGAGGGACCACGATCTGTACTGATAACAGCAACATCCGGTTGTGCCACGAATATGTGGCCTTTAACATGGTGATCACCAGAGGGGAGGGGCCACGATCTGTACTGATAACAGCAACATCCGGTTGCGCCACGAATATGTGGCCTTTAACATGGTGATCACCAGAGGGGAGGGGCCACGATCTGTACTGATAACATCAACATCCGGTTGTGCCACGAATATGTGGCCTTTAACATGGTGATCACCAGAGGGGAGGGACCACGATCTGTACTGATAACAGCAACATCCAGTTGCGCCACGAATATGTGGCCTTTTTCAGGAGCACGGCATAAAATTGTTGGCAGAGAAGACTGAACTACGATAAAAAAAAAAAGAGAGAAACACAGCATTAACATGGACACAGATAGAAGCTGGAGGCACTGAAGTGGCCCCTGGCTCATGTCCACTTGCACTCCCTAATACTATGTATAACTAACTTTTCAATACGTTCAAAATTTGCTTCAAGTTAAAACTCTTTGAACTTAAGACTTTTTCCTTTTTTGAGATGAGGTCTCACTCCGTCACCCAGGCTGGAGGGCAGTGGTGTGATCTGGACTATGCAGCCTTGACCTCCTGGGCTCAAGCGATCCTTCTGCCTCAGCCTCCCTAGTAGCTGGGACTACAGGTGTGCGCCACCATGCCTGGCTAACTTTTTATCTTTTTTAGAGATGGGTCTTGTTTTGCCTGCTGTGTGAGACGGGTGGCTGACCTAGCTGACCCCAAGACCCTTCCCAGCTTCCCTGTAACTGTGTGATTCAAGGCTATTAACAGTAAATTAATCTGCTGACTAATCCACGAGTCAGTTCTATTTTACGTTAATACTTGTGTATAGCTAATCAAGGACACTTCATAAAATGCACATCAATATTCTTTTTTCCTTTTTTTGAGACAGAGTCTTGCTCTTATCACCCAGGCTGGAGCCTCCGCTCACTGTCACTGCGACCTCTGCCTCCCGGGTTCAAGTGATTCTCCTGCCTCAGCCTCCTGAGCAGCTGGGATTACAGGCACGTGCCACCATGCCCAGCTATTTATTTATTTGTTTTTCTATTTGTTTGTTTATTTAGACAGGGTTTCACCATGTTGGCCAGGCTGGTCTTGAATTCCTGACCTCAGGTGATCCACTCACCTCAGCCTCCCAAAGTGCTGGGATTACAGGTGTGAACCACCATGCCCAGCCCAATATCCTTTTTTCAGCATTAAAGGAATATTACAGGTGGTCCATACATTTAATAATAAAGATATAGTTTAACCATTTTAAATGCTGAGCGATACACGATTTGTTTCATAGTGAAAGATACCTGCTTTCCGGCCGGCAGATCAGTAACTGTTACTCTACCTTCTTCCTGGTCGGAGGAGTGGCCAAACCTCTGTTATAATCTTTGATGATCCTTTCCTACACTGGATTAATCCTGTCCAGACCATCACCCTTTGCCTCTGAACTAGAGCAGAGACCGCAACAGTGCTCAAACTGGCACGGCCAATCTTTTATAACTAAAATGTGCATATTTTTTCTTAAGCCCCTGTAAAAGGCTGACGTAACTTATTGACAGAAAGACAGCGTATTTCCAAGAATTAAAGCAATATGTGCTTTCTTGCATGCATTTGGAATACGTTACTTACCCCAGTGTTTGGTTTGAGTGGCAGCCCAGTCTGTACCGAGAAGATCCTTGAGTGAAGACGTTTACTTCTGTCAACAGGAATTCTGCTAAGCCGGGGCTGGGGATGGATAGAGGGACGTGTGATGTTTGGGATAGCTGTACTGGCATCTGCCAACATACAAACCCTAAACCAAACCCAAAGCAAAAACAAACAGAAATTCTCAAAACCACAGCACATTTCGTTTGAATTTGAAGATTGAAAGTAATATAGTATTTGAAAAAAATAAGTTAGGATAAGAACAAAGAAGAGAAAAAGCTGCATCTGGATTATACATGATGGGTAGCAAGTATATACTGGCTGTGTGTGTGTGTATGTGTGTGCGTAGTATATACTGGCTGTGTGTGTGTGTATGTGTGTGTGTAGTATATACTGGCTGTGTGTGTGTATGTGTGTGTGTAGTATATACTGGCTGTGTGTGTGTAGTATATACTGGCTGTGTGTGTGTGTGTGTAGTATATACTGGCTGTGTGTATGTGTGTGTGTAGTATATACTGGCTGTGTGTGTGTGTGTAGTATATACTGGCTGTGTGTGTGTATGTGTGTGTGTAGTATATACTGGCTGTGTGTGTGTGTGTGTGTAGTATATACTGGCTGTGTGTGTGTATGTGTGTGTGTAGTATATACTGGCTGTGTGTGTGTGTGTGTAGTATATACTGGCTGTGTGTGTGTGTGTGTAGTATATACTGGCTGTGTGTGTGTGTGTAGTATATACTGGCTGTGTGTGTGTATGTGTGTGTGTAGTATATACTGGCTGTGTGTGTGTGTGTGTGTGTAGTATATACTGGCTGTGTGTGTGTATGTGTGTGTGTAGTATATACTGGCTGTGTGTGTGTGTGTGTGTAGTATATACTGGCTGTGTGTGTGTGTGTGTAGTATATACTGGCTGTGTGTGTGTGTGTAGTATATACTGGCTGTGTGTGTGTGTATGTGTGTAGTATATACTGGCTGTGTGTGTGTGTGTAGTATATACTGGCTGTGTGTGTGTGTGTGTAGTATATACTGGCTGTGTGTGTGTGTGTGTGTGTGTAGTATATACTGGCTGTGTGTGTGTGTGTGTAGTATATACTGGCTGTGTGTGTGTGTGTGTGTGTAGTATATACTGGCTGTGTGTGTGTGTGTGTAGTATATACTGGCTGTGTGTGTGTGTGTGTGTGTAGTATATGCTGGCTGTGTGTGTGTGTGTGTAGTATATACTGGCTGTGTGTGTGTGTGTGTGTGTAGTATATACTGGCTGTGTGTGTGTGTGTGTAGTATATACTGGCTGTGTGTGTGTGTGTAGTATATACTGGCTGTGTGTGTGTGTGTGTGTAGTATATACTGGCTGTGTGTGTGTGTGTGTGTAGTATATACTGGCTGTGTGTGTGTGTGTGTGTAGTATATACTGGCTGTGTGTGTGTGTATGTGTGTAGTATATACTGGCTGTGTGTGTGTGTGTGTAGTATATACTGGCTGTGTGTGTGTGTGTGTAGTATATACTGGCTGTGTGTGTGTGTGTGTAGTATATACTGGCTGTGTGTGTGTGTGTGTGTGTGTAGTATATACTGGCTGTGTGTGTGTGTGTGTAGTATATACTGGCTGTGTGTGTGTGTGTGTGTGTAGTATATACTGGCTGTGTGTGTGTGTGTGTAGTATATACTGGCTGTGTGTGTGTGTGTAGTATATACTGGCTGTGTGTGTGTGTGTGTGTAGTATATACTGGCTGTGTGTGTGTGTGTGTAGTATATACTGGCTGTGTGTGTGTGTGTGTGTAGTATATACTGGCTGTGTGTGTGTGTGTGTTGTATATACTGGCTGTGTGTGTGTGTGTGTGTGTAGTATATACTGGCTGTGTGTGTGTATGTGTGTGTGTAGTATATACTGGCTGTGTGTGTGTGTGTAGTATATACTGGCTGTGTGTGTGTGTGTGTAGTATATACTGGCTGTGTGTGTGTGTGTAGTATATACTGGCTGTGTGTGTGTGTGTGTAGTATATACTGGCTGTGTGTGTGTGTGTAGTATATACTGGCTGTGTGTGTGTGTGTGTGCGTAGTATATACTGGCTGTGTGTGTGTGTGTGTGTAGTATATACTGGTTGTGTGTGTGTGTATGTGTGTGTGTGTAGTATATACTGGCTGTGTGTGTGTGTGTGTGTAGTATATACTGGCTGTGTGTGTGTGTGTGTGTAGTATATACTGGCTGTGTGTGTGTGTGTGTAGTATATACTGGCTGTGTGTGTGTATGTGTGTAGTATATACTGGCTGTGTGTGTGTGTGTAGTATACTGGCTGTGTGTGTGTGTGTGTAGTATATACTGGCTGTGTGTGTGTGTGTGTGTGTGTAGTATATACTGGCTGTGTGTGTGTGTGTGTAGTATATACTGGCTGTGTGTGTGTGTGTGTGTGTAGTATATGCTGGCTGTGTGTGTGTATGTGTGTGTGTAGTATATACTGGCTGTGTGTGTGTGTGTGTGTGTAGTATATACTGGCTGTGTGTGTGTATGTGTGTGTGTAGTATATACTGGCTGTGTGTGTGTGTGTGTAGTATATACTGGCTGTGTGTGTGTGTGTGTGTGTGTAGTATATACTGGCTGTGTGTGTGTATGTGTGTGTGTAGTATATACTGGCTGTGTGTGTGTGTGTAGTATATACTGGCTGTGTGTATGTGTGTGTGTGTAGTATATACTGGCTGTGTGTGTGTGTGTAGTATATACTGGCTGTGTGTGTGTAGTATATACTGGCTGTGTGTGTGTATGTGTGTGTGTAGTATATACTGGCTGTGTGTGTGTAGTATATACTGGCTGTGTGTATGTGTGTGTGTGTAGTATATACTGGCTGTGTGTGTGTGTGTGTAGTATATACTGGCTGTGTGTGTGTGTGTAGTATATACTGGCTGTGTGTGTGTGTGTGTAGTATATACTGGCTGTGTGTGTGTGTGTAGTATATACTGGCTGTGTGTGTGTGTGTGTGTGTGTAGTATATACTGGCTGTGTGTGTGTATGTGTGTGTGTAGTATATACTGGCTGTGTGTGTGTGTGTAGTATATACTGGCTGTGTGTGTGTGTAGTATATACTGGCTGTGTGTGTGTGTGTAGTATATACTGGTTGTGTGTGTGTGTATGTGTGTGTGTGTAGTATATACTGGCTGTGTGTGTGTGTGTGTGTAGTATATACTGGCTGTGTGTGTGTGTGTGTAGTATATACTGGCTGTGTGTGTGTATGTGTGTAGTATATACTGGCTGTGTGTGTGTGTGTGTAGTATATACTGGCTGTGTGTGTGTGTGTGTAGTATATACTGGCTGTGTGTGTGTGTGTGTGTAGTATATACTGGCTGTGTGTGTGTGTGTGTGTGTGTAGTATATACTGGCTGTGTGTGTGTGTGTAGTATATACTGGCTGTGTGTGTGTGTGTGTAGTATATACTGGCTGTGTGTGTGTGTGTGTGTAGTATATACTGGCTGTGTGTGTGTATGTGTGTGTAGTATATACTGGCTGTGTGTGTGTGTGTGTGTGTGTGTGTAGTATATACTGGCTGTGTGTGTGTATGTGTGTGTGTAGTATATACTGGCTGTGTGTGTGTGTGTGTAGTATATACTGGCTGTGTGTGTGTGTGTGTGTGTGTAGTATATACTGGCTGTGTGTGTGTGTGTAGTATATACTGGCTGTGTGTGTGTGTGTGTAGTATATACTGGCTGTGTGTATGTGTGTGTGTGTAGTATATACTGGCTGTGTGTGTGTGTGTAGTATATACTGGCTGTGTGTATGTGTGTGTGTGTAGTATATACTGGCTGTGTGTATGTGTGTGTGTGTGTAGTATATACTGGCTGTGTGTATGTGTGTGTGTGTAGTATATACTGGCTGTGTGTGTGTGTGTAGTATATACTGGCTGTGTGTGTGTGTGTAGTATATACTGGCTGTGTGTGTGTAGTATATACTGGCTGTGTGTGTGTATGTGTGTGTGTAGTATATACTGGCTGTGTGTGTGTAGTATATACTGGCTGTGTGTATGTGTGTGTGTGTAGTATATACTGGCTGTGTGTGTGTGTGTAGTATATACTGGCTGTGTGTGTGTGTGTAGTATATACTGGCTGTGTTTGTGTAGTATATACTGGCTGTGTGTGTGTGTGTGTGTGTGTGTGTGTGTAGTATATACTGGCTATAAACTGGCCAGTACAGTCTTTTTGTTTTTGAGATGGAGTTTTGCTCGTTACCCAGGCTGGAGTGCAATGGCACGATCTTGGCTCACTGCAACCTCCGCCTCCTGGGTTCAAGCAATTCTCCTGCCTCAGCCTCCCAAGTAGCTGGGATTACAGGCACGCGCCACCACGTGTACAGTTTACGTACATTTAGTGTGTGTATGTTAATATACTAAATGTATGTAAACTCTATATACTAATATGTGTATATATACACACATACTATATTTATACATGCTACATATACATGCACTTGTGCGTCTATAGATACTATATATACATTTACAGTGTATATATAAGTGTATATGATCATATGTATGTATATATCGTATATTGTGTGTGTGTACATGCACACACACTCTTAAAAAAAATAGAGACTGGGTCTCACTTTGTTGCCCAGGCTGGATTTCAGTGGTGATCACAGCTCACGGCTGCCTCAAATTCCTGAGCTCAAGGGATCCTCCTGCCTCAGCCTCCCAAGTAGCTAGGACTACAGGCGTGAGCCCCTGCAGCCGGGCTGGAACTTCATATTTTCAATGGTTATACTTATGTTAGATAGTTAAATAATTACTTATATAATATCCTTGATTATGCTGCTAAACCTACCTAGCATAAAATACTTACTATGTGCTCTCCCAACCTTTTTTTTTTTTTTTTCCATGTAGTCTCACTCTGTCACCAAGCTGGAGTGCAGTGGCACAATCTCAGCTCACTGCAACCTCCGCCTCCCAGGTTCAACCGATTATCCTGCCTCAGGCTCCTGAGTGGCTGGGACTACAGGCACGTGCCACCATGCCCAGCTAATTTGTGTATTTTTAGTAGAAATGGGAGTTTCACTATGTTGACCAGGATGGTCTTGGATCTCTTGACCTTGTGATCCGCCTGCCTCGGCCTCCCAAAGTGCTGGGATTACAGGTATGAGCCACCACGCCCAGCTGTGTGGCCCTTTAAGAAAAAAGTCCGCTGACCCCTGCTCTAGGCAAAAAGATGTGTTCAGTTGGCAGCAAAGTGTTGATGTGCCAGGAAACTACTTCTAGTCATAGGCTTTGGGCCATCCTTCTACTAGGAATTTGTCACAGCAAAATAATCAAGGATATTGACTATTTTCCTTCAGTATGGTTCTGTAAAAGTTGGTATGTTTGTTATCCAATGCTGGGACACAGATTTTGTGAAAAGTTAGCAGCTTAAAACAATGATAAACATTATCTCACACAGTTTCTGGGGGTCAGGAATTCGAGAGTGGCTTAGCTAGGTGGTTCTATATTAAGATTTCTCATGAGGCTGCGGTCAAGCTGGGGCTGTGGCATCTGCTTCCTTGAGCAGAAAGTTCAGTTTCCGACAATCTCATCTCTTCCCACCCCCCATTTCCCTATTTTTAACATTTTGCATCAGTGTGGTACATTGTTACAACTCACCTAGCATTTCCACCAGGTTCTTCTTTTTTTTTTTTTTTAAGAAAGAAATTGACGAGTTTATTTTAAAATTTACATGCTAATGTGAAAGATCTACGGTACCCAAAACAATCTCCAAGAAACAGAACAAAGCTGGAAGAACTATATACTACCTGACTTCGAGACGTACTACCAAGCTACAGAAATCTCAACAGTGTAGTTGAGATTTCTAGCATAGGAGAGACAAACGGATCAGTGACACAGAAGAGGGAAAGTAGAGACCTACAGTCAACTGATTTTTGGTGAAGGCATCTGAACAACTCAATGCGGAAAAAAAAGGCTTTGCAAAATACAGTGCGTCTCATCTGGATACTTACGTGGAAGAAAATGAGCCTCAACCCCTGTGATAAAACAACAGATCGCAGGCTGAGGTGGTGACATCATTCTATCACAAGGGTCAATAAAAAATAGTTGCTGGCTAGTAACTCCCATAGCTATTATTTCTCCCCAAGGCAGGCCACAGAAACCAAAAATATAATCTTCCCCCATCTTCCTGTCTTGGAGCTGGCCATAAGGAAATCATCTTGTCTGACTGGAGGTCATGAGACCCCCCCACCACTGTAGAAGGTGTACTATCCCAGACCCTGGGGGAAGGAATGCTGCACGGAGAGGCCGGGAAGGACCTGAACAAACAGGCCTTGCCGGGTTTTCCCGCCCAGACTGTGAGTATTAATACTACTCTTTTGACCAGTCTCATTTCCACAGTGGCCATGCTTCGCTCATGCCTTTCCAATGAAGTCTCCATAAAGGGCCCAAGAGGAGCTTCCAGATAGGTGAACCATTGGAGGTTCCTGGAGGGTGTCACACCCGGGAGGCCACAGAGGCTTCATGCCCCTTCCCATATACCTCCCCTTATGTGTCTCTTCTTCTCTATTCTTTGTAATATCCTTATGATAAACTTGGAAATGTGTTTCCCTGAGTTCCGTGAGCCACTTTAGAAAATTCATCGAACCTAAGAAGGGGGTGATGGGATCCCTAGTTTATAGCTGGGCAGTCAGAAGCACAGGACATGTGTAGCAGCTAACACCTGTAATCCGAGAAGTCGGGAGGCTGAGGCAGGAGATCACTTGGGCCCAGCCCAAAAGACAGAGACTAGCCTGAGCCACAGGGTGAGGCCTCCTCAACTGAAAACAGACAAACAAACAAACAAAGGATACGCAAAACAACCCAGGGCTTGTGACTGACACCGGAAGTGGGAGGTCTTGTGAGAGTTAGCCTTCAATCTGTGGGATCTGATGCCATCTCCAAATACTTGAGAACTGAATTGGAGGACACGCAGCTGGTGCCTGCTGCAGAACTGCTTGCTTGCTTGTTGTTGGGGGAAAATTCCCACACATTTTATCATAGGAGTCTTCTGTGTTGACTGCTGTGACGTGAGAGCAGAAAAAAAAACCAGTGTATGTTTTTCCACTTAACCTCTTACCAAACTGTACACAAGTCTAGGCACCGTGGCTCACGCCTATAATCCCAACACTTTGGAAAGCCGAGGTGAGAAGGTTGTTTGAGCCCGAGAGTTCCAGATCAGCCTGGGCAATATAGCAAGACCCTGTCTCTACAAAATATAAAAAACTTAGCTGGGGGTGGTGGTGTGTGCCTGTAGTCCCAGCTACTTGGGAAGCTGAGGTGGGAGGAACGTTTAAGCCCAGGAGGTGGAGGCTGCAGTGAGCTGTGATCACACCACTGCACTCCATCCTGGGTGACAGAGTGAGACCTTGCCTTACACATGCACACACACATACACACACACAGCCATACACAAAAATTAATAGAAAATGTGTTACAGGACTATGTAAAAGCTAAAATGATAAAATTCCTCAAATAAAAGGTAGGAGCATAACTTTGTGATCTAAGGGTAGGGACATATTTTTTTAGAAAGAATACAGAACACAGTAACAAAAAAAATGTAGGGGCTGGGCATGGTGGTTCACACCTGTAATTGCAGCACTTTGGGAGGCCGAAGTGGGTGCATCACCTGAGGTCAGGAGTTTGAGACCAGCCTGGCCAAGATGGTGAAACCCCATTTCCACTAAAATACAAAAATTAACCGGGTGTGGTGGCACGCACCTGTCGTCCCAGCTACTCAGGAAGCTGAGGCAGGGGAATCCCTTGAACCCTTGAACGGAGGTTGCAGTGAGCCGAGATTGTGCCACTGCATCCCAGCCTGGCAGCAGAGTGAGACTCTGTCTCAAAAAAAAAAATGTAGAAATTAGCCTTTATAAAAATGAAAAACTTCTAATGAAAAGCTACCACTAAGCTGGGTGCGGTGGTTCATGCCTGTAATCCCAGAGGCCAAGGCAGGTGGATCACTTGAGGTCAGGAGTTTGAGACCAGCCTGGCCAACATGATGAAACTCCGTCTTTACTAAAAATAAAAAAATTAGCCAGGCATGGTAGCCTACGTCTGTAATCTCAGCTATGTAGAAGGCTAAGACAGGAGAATCACTTAAATCCGGGCTGGTCGGTGGAGGTCGCGGGCCAAGATTGAGCCAAGATTGTGCCACTGCACTCCAGCCTGGGTGACAGAGTGAGATGCTGTCTTACAAAAAAAAAAAAAAAGCTACCCCTAAGAATATGAAGAAACAAGCCACATAATGGGAGAAAATGTAGATAAAACACATATCTGACAAAATAATTATATCTAGAATATATAAAAATTTCAACAACTTGGCCTGGCACAGTGGCTCGTGCCTGTAATCCCACCACTTTGGGAGGCCAAGGTGGGCAGATCACCTGAGGTCAGCAGTTCTGGACCAGCCTGGCCAACATGGTGAAACCCCATCTCTACTAAAAATACAGAAATTAGCTGGGCATGGTGGCACACGCCTGTAATCCCGGTTACTTGGGAGGCTGAGGCAGGAGAATTGCTTGAACCTGGAAGGCGGAGGTTGCGGTGAGCCAAGATCGCACCACTGCACTCCAGCCTGGGCAACAGAGCAAGATTCTGTCTCAAAATAACAAAAACAACAAAATTTCAAAAACTCAAAAATGAAAACTGAGCTGCAGGTTTGATGATTGCACACCTTTTGGTATGTACGTTATACGTCAATAAAAATGTAAGCATTTTAAAAACTAGCTGTGTCCAGCGGCTCATGCCTGTAATCGCAGCACTTTGGGAGGCTGAGGCAGATCACTTGAGCCTAGGAGTTCGAGGTCATAATGAGACCTTGTCTCTACAAAAAAAAAAAAAAATAAATACAAAATACTCTCAGTGGAAGTATTTAGCTGAAGGTCAGAAACACCTGCAGAGAGAATCAAAGATGTGGATGTAGATCAGGAGATATTATGTAGAGTGTAACTCAGAGAGACAAAAAGTTGGAAAATATTTAAAAAGTTAAAATTTGGCTGGGCATGGTGGCTCACAACTGTAATCCCAGCACTTTGGGAGGCCGAGGCAGGTGGATCACAAGGACAGGAGTTCAAGACCAGCTTGGCCAACAGAGAGAAACCCCATCTCTACTAAAAATACAAAAAATTAGCAGGGCGTGGTAGCAGGTGCCTGTAATCCCAGCTACTTGGGAGGCTGAGGCAGGAGAATCACTAGAATCTGGGAAGTGGAGGTTGCAGTGAGCGGAGATTGCACCACTGCACTCCAGCCTGGGCAATGGTGTGGACTCCGTCTCAAAACAAAACAAAAAAAAGTTCAAGTTCACATAGTAGAGTGATAAGATCTAACATGTCTAATTGGAGTTCCAGAACGAGAGGAGATATTTGAGCAGAGGCCCTGTATGAACAGATAATAGCCGGGGATTTTTTTTTTTTTTTTTTTTTTTTTGAGACTTGCTCTGTCACCCAGGCTGGAGTGCAATGCCACACTCTCAGCTCCCCACAATTTCCGCCTCCTGGGTTCAAGTGATTCTCCTGCCTCAGCCTCCCAAATAGCTGGGATACCATGCTACAGTAGCACGATACCATGCCCGGCTAATTTTTGTATTTTTAGTACAGACGGGGTTCCACCATGTTTGTCAGGCTGGTCTCGAACTCCTGACCTCGTGATCCATCTGCCTTGGCCTCTCAAAGTGCTGGGATTAGAGACATGAGCTACTGCACCCGGCTGGGGAGTCTAAACTCATGGGAGATGTCTGTAGACAGACATCAATCAAATCTCAAGTCAAATATGCATGTATCAAAATATCACGTGTATTCCATACATAACGCACATTATGTATCAATAAAATTTGTTTAAAGGCCAGGTATAATGGATCATGCCTGTAATCCCAACACTTTGGGAGGCTGAGGTGGGTGGATCACTAGAGGTCAGGAGCTCGAGACCAGCCTGGTCAACACAGAGAATCCCCATCTCTACTAAGAATACAAAAATTACCTGTAATCCCAGGCACTTTGGGAGGTCAAGTCAGGCAAATCACTTGAGGTCGGGAGTTTGAGACCAGCCTGGCCAAAATGGTGAAATATCGTCTCTACTAAAAATATAAAAATTAGTCGGGTGTGGTGCCAGGCACCTGTAGTTCCAGCTACTCGGGAAGCTGAGGCAGGAGAATTGCTTGAACCTGGGATGGAGAGGCTGCAGTGAGCTGAGATGGCTCCACTGCACTCCAGCCTGGGCAACAGAGCAAGACTCCATCTCAAAAATAAATACATAAAAATAAATAAATACATAAAAATGAGCCAGGCATGGTGGCACATGCCTGTAGTTCCAGCTACTCAGGAAGCTGAGGCAGAAGAATCACCTGGACTCAAGAGGCAGAGGTTACAGTGAGCTGAGATCTCACCACTGCACTTTGCTCTGGACAACAGAGTGAGACTCTGTCTCCAAAAAAATTCTGTTGCTGTTTAAATTTACATAGACTAGAAAGACTGGTAGAAAATATCAAATAAAATACCAGATATAAATTTGAGTATATTATAAATACTTGTAAATAGACTAGGTGGTCCAGTTAAAAGACAAAGATTGCCCTACTGGATAAAATACCTGTTCTCATCATCATTCTCTAGCCGGGCGCAGCCTCCCGGGTAGCACACCTTCAGTGTTCCATCAAAGCTGTCCTAGAATTGAGCCTGTGTGCCTGCTGCATGACACTAAGACTATGTGGTGGATGAATCTGCAAACTCTAGAGCTGCCCCATCTGGGGAATTATTTTTAAGTAAAATAAGAAATCCTCTTTATTGTTTAAACCTGCTGAGTTGGGACTATCTGTTATTTGCAGGCTAAACCATCTCAAATGATACAATATCTTTTTCTGTTCTTCATTCCTAGACATTTCTGCTAAGATTAGGATTGTTGAATGATATTATTCACCAGTATATCTGTTGCCCAAGGAAGGCAGATGGCTTGAGGTTGGGAATTTCACACCAGCCTGGACAACATGGTGAAACCTCATCTCTACTAAATATACAAAAATTAGTCGGGTGTGGTGCCAGGCGCCCATAGTCCCAGCTGCTCGGGTGTCTGAGGCAGGAGAATTGCTTGAACCTGCGATGCAGAGGTTGCAGTGAGCCGAGATTCAGGTACCCCTGTTACTGGAGGTACAAGTCAGAGGCTGGAAGGCCATTCAGTGAGGTTGCTACAGAAAAGATTCAAGCATTGAGCAATGTTTAGATAGATGACCTTTAAAATCCCTTCTGACCCGAAGAACCTCAGAGTCTTACAGTTTTATACGTGCTCACCCTACGAAGACATCCTCCATGGTGGTGACAGAGGCCCCAGAGCTGGAGATGCCCAGCTCTACCTGCCTCAGTTCCAAGTCAGTAACTAGAGATTCAAACCTGGAAGAAAAGAACTGGTTTTACTCTGAAAGGTGTAAGGTGAGTCCCTTTTATCACTGCCCTTGGCTCTCTGCTGGGAAAAAGCGCAGGCTTTGGAGTCAACAAGATATTTGTTCGAATATCAGCTTTGTCGCTAGCTTTATAACTATGCGAACTTGGACGGTGGGGGTAATAGCATTGACTCCGGAAGTTTCCTGTAAGGATTAACCTAACACACATTGGCAAGGTAATTATTAACTCATTTTTGCTTTTAAGTCAGTTACAAGAAATGCCCTGAGTAGAAAAAGCAAACAATTTTTGGAACACTTACTAAATGTCAGGGGCCCTTCACAGCTTTAAGGACAGTGCTGAGAAGTTAAGAAACTTCCCTGAGGCCACACAGCCGAAAGTAGCAGAGCCAGGAGTCAAGCTCGGGCCTTCCACCTCCAGAGAGAGCGATTCTAATTGTCCTCTAGTGAGGAAAGGAACTGATTCTTACTAGTCTGCTAATGTTGAAACCTTTCTCAAACACGCTTTCCTTTTTTTTTTTGGAATTAAATGAATCGTGGCTTTTTGTGTGCTATTAAGAAATCCATCGTAATCTTCTCCAATGAAGGCTTCTATTCTCTTACAACCTAGTGCCCAGCTTTTAAGAAACCAGAGACACACGCCAGATGCCTATACGGGGTCTGCAGGGTTTTGTGTGTGTCCCTGTGGGCAGACAATGTGGGCAGATTACAAACTAATCGTGGCTGCGTTTCAGTCGAGACTCTGTCACTTACAACTTTTGTGACTTTGAGCTACTTATTTCACCTTTCCAAATCTGTCCTCACCTGTAAGGCAGATATTGCGTAATTCAAAGAGTTGTGGTAAGGATTGAGAAAAATGTGAAGACACCCAGCAAAGTACCCAGCCTGTAAACATTCAGCAAATACTACTCACTGACTAGGCCTCGGTATGTTCACTGCCTTGCTCTTCACTCAGTTTCCAGTCGCTGAAACTGTACTCATGCTATTGCTACTGTCTTGCCAACAACACAAGAGTATCCCTTTTAAAAAACTGAGGCAAAATTTACGTAAAGTCTCTTCTTCTTAAGTGTACAGTTTGAGTTTTGACAAATGTGTCATCTCACCCTAATCAAGACACAGAACATTTTCCGTCACCCTAGAAATGCCCCATGTCCCCTTTCATGAGACCCTCTTTTGCTCTCACGCCACCAAATGTCCTGTATTTTAGAGTAGTTTTGCTTCTCCTCCCTTTTCATGTAAATGGAATCATATGGCCTTTCCATCTCTTGCTTCATCCATGCAACATGTTTCTGAGATTCAACCATGTTGTTACCTGCATTGGCTCGTTCTTGTTCATCGCATAGTGGCATTCAACAAAAGGAATATAGCTTTTTTTTTTTTTTTTTTTTGAGATGGCGTTTCACTGTTGTTACCCAGGCTGGAGTGTGATGGCGCGATCTCGGCTCACCGCAACCTCCGCCTCCTGGGTTCAAGCAATTCTCCTGCCTCAGCCTCCTGAGTAGCTGGGATTACAGGTATGCACCACCATGCCCAGCTAATTTTTGTATTTTTAGTAGAGACGGGGTTTCACCCTGTTGACCAGGATGGTCTCCATCTCTTGACCTCGTGATCCACCCGCCTTGGCCTCCCAAAGTGCTGGGATTATAGGCGTGCGCCACCGCGCCCGACCCAAAAGGAATATATCTATTCTCCTGTTGACAGACATTTGGATTGTTCCCGTGTAAGGACGCCTATGAATAAAGGGGCTATCAATGTTCTTCTACGTGGCCTGTGTTTGGACATATGCTTTCCCATCTTGGGTAATACAGTAAATAAAAGATAGCTGCAAATTATTGGCTACTTTCCCCACTGAGAGTCGGCGGCCTTTAATTCCCTTTTATCTGGGCTGGCCTCAGTGCGTTGCTTGAGTGAGAGGATGCAACGCAAGTGATGGAGGTGGGGTAGAAGGCTTCGGGTATCTTGATTGCTTTTTTTTTTTTTTAATGTGAAAAGATATACATATATTTAGAATTAGCCAGCTGGACTCAATGTAGATGATCCCAATTTTGTTGGCAACATCCAAAGCATTGTAATCAGGAGCCAGTCGACCATACGCCTTCTTCCCTCCATCGGGCCGAGTCCGGGTGCTGACCTTGGCCACGTCAGTGTCACAGAGCTTCTTCACAGCCTGTTTGATCTGCTGCTTGTTGGCTTTAACAGCCACAGAGAACCCAGGTGTGTTGTCTTCTATCTTCTTCAAGGTAGATGGAAAGTTGATGATAGCATAGTGGTCAAGCTTGTTCTCCTGGGGGTGCTCTTCTGAGGATATGTGGGCTGCCGGAAGGTGGGTGACCTGTGGATCTCCCTGTTGTGGCTGCGGACACATTTCAACACTGCCTTCGTGGCCTTTAAAGCCTTCGCTTTGGCTCCGGCTTCACGACGGGCAGGAGCTTCCTTCTTTGCTTTTGGCACCATCTTGTGAAAAGGGTCCAGGTATCTTGATTTCTTTGGGAGCCCCAAGCCACCAGCCTGGTTTCCCGATGCCTCACTACCTTAAAACCGGGCTGGATCCATGCCAAGGCACAGATGTGTGAACCAAGCCGTGCTGGAACCTCCAGACAAGTCCGCTCCGCAGCTTGTGTTTTCTTAAAGACTTTGATGTCTACGCCCATGAGGAACATTAGTCTGTGATTTCCTGTTGTCAAACCTTTTCCAGGTTGTGGTATCAGGGTTGTGCTGCCCTTAAAATGAGTTGGGGCCGGGCGCGGTGGCTCAAGCCTGTAATCCCAGCACTTTGGGAGGCTGAGGCGGGTGGATCACGAGGTCAACAGATCGAGACCATCCTGGTCAACATGGTGAAACCCCGTCTCTACTACAAATTACAAAAAATTAGCTGGGCACGGTGGCGCGTGCCTGTAATCCCAGCTACTCAGGAGGCTGAGGCAGGAGAATTGCCTGAACCCAGGGGGCGGAGGTTGCGGTGAGCCGAGACTGCGCCATTGCATTCCAGCCTGGGTAACAAGAGCGAAACTCCGTCTCAAAAAAAAAAAAAAAAAAAAATGAGTTGGGAAGTCCTTCCTTCTCTATTTTCTCAAGGATGGAGATTAGTTTTTTCTTCATTGTTCGATAGAATCCGGAGTTCTTTCTGGGAATACTTTTGATTGCAAATTCAATTTCATGAACACATATATGGTTACTCAGATTTTCCTGTTTCATTTTGTAAGTTTTGGTAAGTTGTGTTTTTTAAGAAATAAGTCCAGTTTACCTAAATTGTCCAATTTATTTATATATTTATTATTATCCTTTTTATAAGTCTAGATTCTGTAACTACAGCAGTTATTTCCTTTCTAATGATAGCAAATTTCCTTTTTTCTTTAATGGTCTTGCAATTAATGTTTTGTCATTTAATGGTTTATCAATGTGATCTATTTATCAATTTGACTAACCTTTTAAAATAACGTTTTGCTTTTTAGCATTTTGGCTTTTCTTTTTCTTTCTTTCTTTCTTTTTTTTTGAGACGGAGTTTCACTCTTGTCACCCAGGCTGGAGTGCAATGGCACGATCCCGGCTCACCGAAACCTCCGTCTCCTGGGTTCAGGCAATTCTCCTGCCTCAGCCTCCTGAGTAGCTGGGATTACACCATGCCCAGCTAATTTTTTGTATTTTTAGTAGAGACGGGGTTTCCACCATGTTGACCAGGATGGTCTCGATCTCTTGACCTCGTGATCCTCCCGCCTTGGCCTCCCAAACTGCTGGGATGACAGGCTTGAGCCACCGCGCCTGGCCCAGCACCGCTTCTTAATGTGAGGAGTGCCATGCTCAATCAGGGGGGTCCGAAATTGTTAGGCCATCTTCTCAGAATAGTTATGGCACAGAGACAGAGACAGTGCATCATGATGACAGTCCATACACCAGGAAGACATAACACTTGTTTTCACGCACGTGCCTCATAACAGAGCTTAAATACGTGAAGTGAATGTTGACAAAAATAGACTGAGTCAAAATCCCCATTATGTTGGAGATTATAGCGCCCTTTCCTCAGTTCTTTAAAGAACAAGTAGACAGAAAACTCATTAAGGATATAAAGTATTTTGATAATACTGTCGTCACACTTACTTCCTATAGAGAGACACTGCATACCACAGCTGCAGAGTACCCACTCTCTCCAAGTGCCTATGGGAGATTGACCACAGGGGATTACTGCGGCCCTCCCTCCCGTACCAGCTTCTCCTCTGTTGTACCAGTCCCACAGTCCAGACGCTTCAGGAGCTCTGACCTGTCATCTCTCCCTTCTCAGCTCAGCAAGTCCACTGCTACACGCTCATTTGCCTCTACTTCTCTGGGCCATGTTCTAGAAAGTGCCCATGCCAAGAGCTGGGGCAAATAGAGGTCTCTCTTTGGTGTTTCTCTTCTCTCAAGAATCAATCATGGTTCAGAACTTCCTAATGCTTAATATCTATAGTGTCTTCACATATTTTTGTCCAGCTTTAGTGGGAGGGTGTGCTCATGTGAAATAAGTCCAAATAAATTTCAAAAAATTGAAATCACGTGGATTATGATCTCTGACTACAATGGAATTAAATTAGAAATTGATTACAATAAGATGTCTAGAAAATTGACTAATGTTTGAGAGTTAAACTACACACTTCCAAATAACTCATGGTCAAAGAAAAAGTGGAGGCCGGGCGTGGAGGCTCACGCCTGTAATCCCAGCACTTCGGGAGGCCAAGGCGGGTGGATCACGAGGTCAAGAGATCGAGACCATCTTGGCCAACACGGTGAAACCCGTCTCTACTGGAAATAGAAAAATTAGCTGGGCGTAGTGTTGCATACCTGTAGTCCCAGCTACTCAGGAGGCTGAGGCAGGGGAATCACTTGAACCCAGGAGGCAAACGTTGCAGTCAG